AAGGTGTTAATCAAGGCATCGAAAGTGACAATCAATAAGGTGGAAATGGAGGTAGAGGTTAGCAGAGATGGGTTTAGGTTAGTACAGGGTATCATATAGCCTACCCTAACTTCCTCAGGAACTTTCTTTTAAACTCTTTTGACAAACCCCCCTTAGACCTTAATTAATTTAAACTCTTTAATCTCTCTCCCTCCTCCACTGCCCAGAAGCCACTTAAATATTCATCCAATTCCGCATCCATTTTTTACGTCTGTGGCCCCATTTGCACTTTGGCCAACGTGGCAAATGCGAATTTTTCCCACTTTCCTGACCAAGGAGTTGGCACCTACAGACCTCTTCCCGGCCAGATCCCACTCCGGGCATATCCATGGGAGATGGAGAAAAATAGAGGGACTTCCATTACCAATTCGCACGCACCAGGCGAGTGAGGAAGTGAACTGGGGAAGTCGGGGCCAGACCGACCAGGTTCGACTGCAGTTTCCGTTCGCAGAAATTTTATTTATTTTTTTTTCCCCAATCGCGTTTGCATATATTTGCGTTTTTCTTTTGTTTGGGGGAGTTGGAGACATGGAGATGGAGATGGAGTTGGAGGTGAACTAACCAAACGGAAAATCAACATTGGAAAAGCCAATCGATGGCAGACGGAGACCCCATCGATGCTGCTGCCACGGCAGCGAAAGCGGCAGTTGCAGTTGCAGTTGCAACTTGGGGGCTATGTGCAATGCAGTGGCCAGAAACCTTTAAAAGTCGCGTGAGCTGGCGATGCACATTTCGATAGTGGGGCATAAAATGCAAATGCAGGCCAACTCCACTCCAACCAAGGCATGAGATTTTAGAAAATGATTTTCTTTCTTTGGGTTTGAGTTTCAAATACCCTGTAGAAAAATAATAGTTTTAAAAGAAGTTTATATCTATTATTTTGTTTAGATTAAAAGTAATTTAAAGTCAAAACTTTTTATCAAAAAAATTAAAACAATTTCTTTGAAAGAATATCCCTCTTCGATTTGAGTTTGAAACTTCCATCCGCATTTGGCTTATTGGCACATTTAACCCTTAGCTGGCGGACTGTGCATAAATTTGGAGGCGATAAGCCCGGCCAGGAGCCTGGCCAGGCCAGCATCTGTCCTCTCCTGTCCTCCCCACCTGGTCCTGCCCAATTTAACCTTAAAAGGTGCTGCCATTAGCTGGCTCTAATGGCCTGCCTTCTCTCCTTCGAGATCGTGGCCTGTTGATATGCGAATTTTTTGTGGCCTCCTCTCTAGAAATATTTGTTGTGCTGGCTGGCAAATGTTTCCATTTCTGCCTAATTGTGCGGGTCTCTTGCGTGCCTCTGCTGCTGCTGACTCCTTTTTAGGGAGTTTTTCTCTCCATATGCTAATTTGATTGGCTTCCCTCCAAAGGAGGAGCAGGCAGGCAGACTCTGTATGAAATGATTTCCCAGCCAATCATCCACCAGCTAGATCCAGTTTGAGATCTATTTTTTTTTTGTTAAAATTGTGTCTCACCTCGGTTGTCTTGTGTTTGTCATGTTTTCCCCACAGACTAGGCATTTTTCACCGAACCAATGTTTACAAAGTCTTTTCCTGCGAACAGCTAATTTTTTATCACAAAACACTGAACAAAAATTGGATATTTTCTATATGGATATGGAGGTCTATAGCTCATAAAGACATCCCCACTTTCTCGCTCTGTATAGCAATTTGCATTTGGCGAATGCGAAAAGTTGTCTTTCTTTTTGGAGAAGGAGAAACTGTCGCTGGTGCTCTTGCCTGGCTCCTTTGGGCTTTTATCGTCTGTAAATGAAAAATCGTAAAATATGCAAATTCATCGAAATATCATAAATATTCATGTAGCAAGAGCTAAATGGACTCTAGCTAAGACTGGACTAGACCCTCTCCATAGAGTATTTGGATCACTTTTGACTCTAGCAACAAAATGCATCAAAAAATTTGTATAATTTTTTTTATTTTTCTTTTTGGAACTTAATCTTATGTAAATGCCTGCTGCTGCGTGACTCGACGAGTTGATTTTTTAGGTTTGGGGATACAACAATTAAAGTCAATTAAGCCATTTCTCCAACGATGGCGGAGAGTTTTCAATTTTTTAAAGTGGAATTTCTAGGAAAACGAACAAACGCACAAATCTGACTAAATTATAATTGTTTAATTTGATTCAATGAACGCGTCATGTGTAATTACGGAAATGGCAAACTCAATTGAAAAACAAAATATGTACAGAATGAATGCTCAATTAAAGCAAATAAAAAACATGTCTGCCCCTCTAATGGAGTTTAAAGGCAGCTTTTTTGTTGAATATTTGCCAGCCAACAGACTGGAAAGAGACTGTACAAAATAGAAATAATAAAAAAAGGGTTTTCAGAGAAATTTTTAATAAAGAAAGACTAAAAAGGGCTCAATTCTAGAGAGTTCACTGTAGCCTGGCAGGATGCACTTCTAGCCATTAAACTTTGTTCGAGTGGAGGGGTCTAGAAGTACCCTTCACCTTCCGATGCATTTTATGACAGAACCACTCCCCCGCAAACCGAAATTAATTGATTTTTTATGAAAGGCAGAATTAATTTCTCTTTTTTTAATGAAATGCCACTTGAAAACGAGTCTTTAATGTATAATTGGTTTATTTTATTAATTATTCATGATTAAATTGATCATGAGGCTGTGTTTGGGTGAGTGGGAATGGAATGTGCACCGCCCCTAGATAGATAACAAGACAGTCGGGCACTAAAAAACTGAAAATGAAAAAAAAAGGAAATAAAATCAATTGACACAATTTTTTTGGGAGCAGCAGCACCAGCAGTGAGATAACCTCGTTGGCCTGGCTCTTTCCCTTTCGGACTTTCCAAATTTTATCTCTGTATCTGTATCTCTGGGCCGCCCTTTCTCTATTTATCTGCACCTCGTCGCTGCAGCTACATAGATGAGGCTGCCAAAGAAGCGAACAATAAAAATCAATTCGAGCAATAAAGTTTTTAATTGGATTCAGCTCCCTAGTGCCTCGCTAAAGCCATAAAAATTGAATTGTTGCGAGATGTCTCCATTTGATTTAGACCCGAAATGCCAGCTATTTTAATGGCCAGACCATTTTTTATCTCAATAATTATTTAATATGCACCGAAAGACAGCAACCCCGATACAATGAACTGCAATGCGGGTACTGTCAGATATCGAGGAGTGTCACAAGTGAGAGTTGAAGGGTTGAAAAGTGCAGGTAGCTATTGAACTGCAGCTGCCTTTTCATCTGAATTCGGGTTGAATTACAAGATTTTTGCTTTGTGTTTAACTGGAAAGTGCAAAATGACAGCTGACAGTTGAAAGAGGTCTCTCAAATAGAGTAAATTATACATCTCAATTACGGGGGCAGATACCTTGCCTTAGTAGCTCCTAAAAGGCGGCTATAAAAAGCAGCAAGAAGGTAGGGAAGAGGGGTACTTCATCAAGTGAGAAATACTGAAAAAGAGTTGAGTTGAGGCTCTGCTCCATCAGACCAAGACCCCAAAAGCAATAACCATAAAAGCCACACGTCGGGACTCGGAATGCTCGAATAAAAATTGAAATACAACGCACACACTTTTCTTTTCTTTTTTTTTTCAAGAGCTAAGCTAAGTAGTTTACTTCAAAACTAGCTCCAGGCCCTAAATAGACTTAGCATAGACTACAAATATGGTAATGCATTGGGAGCCATCCTGGTAATCCATTTATTTCAGTGGAGTTTCAGCTGTCGGGCAGTTAATATACGGGGCCTAACACAACACCAACCCTTTTCCTTCTCAAAAGTGCACACGGCTGGCATAACTTTGGTTAAAACTTGGCAGGAGTGCTGCCTGGATGGCTGGCTGGATGGCTGGATGGCTGACTGGCCACCTGAAGCGAGACGGAGGCGCAAACAAAGCGAATAAATTGCAGGCATACTTCTGCATGGTTTCGGGTTTGAGTTAAATGGAGAACGGGACGTGGGTTCACGTGCGGTCACAAAATGCACATTGGGTGCGGTTCGGCATGGCCTGGCCAGCTTGAAAATGGTAATGAGAACCATTGCAGGTGCAGTTGGCAGTCTGAATCCTGGCCAATACTTCTGGCTAATTCATGACACCCAAGTTATGTGCACAGCTGGATAAATCTCTTGTAGATTAAGTCATCATTCCCGGGAATCACTTAACCCACACTCCACAGTTAACCCTTTTTAGGCCCCACTGCCTACTGGGACTCGTTGCTTAATTAGAGCTTCCTTTGAATTTATTTATAATTTACACAGGACAGTGATGAGCAGCTAGAGGTAGGGTATTAAAAGATATAATATTTTAAAAAATCAAAAGCCCTTATCCTCACAATGACTAGAAGTCTCATCTTCCATATCCTGTTGCCTTCTCGGCAATCCCCTAAGCTTCACAGCCAACTAGTTCCTTGCGATACTCAATTTTTCTTTCTGGCATGTTGGGTTATTCATTGGCAGGCATTGGCAGTGACTACCCTCCTCCACTGCCCATCCATCCGTCCGTCCATCATGCGTCTCATCTCCTGGCAGACTGGCATTCCAGCCACCCCCTCGGAGCCGGGTCCAAAGTGGAAATGCAAATATTTGCGTGCCTCCGGCGACCCCTCTTGGCTTTTGGCCCCCTCATCCGACCCAGCTGCATACCTTCCAGATCCATGAACGGATGGAGGAGCGAGTGCCAGCCAGTCGGCCTTTGTAGCTTCAATTATTCAGGCATGTTTACAAGTTGACAGATTGCAGAGGCTGCCGTGCCGGTGCTCGAGTGGAGGCACACGCCGGAAAACTTGGGGGCGGCTTGAGCCGGAGCCCCGAGCCCCGATCCCCTAGCCCCCAGTCAGGGCCAAGACCTCATGTGAATGGGATCTACCCCAACTGCAGTTGAAGAAAAAGTTTAGAGCTCCAGTATAGGGTATCTCACAGCCACTAACTTTTTAAAAATTATATATCTCAGTGTATTAATTTCATCCCTTTTTTTTGGATTTTTATTGCAGCTCTCTCGTTCACCTTGGAGCCGCAGGATGCCGTGGTGCCCGAGGGCCACTCAGTGTTACTCCAATGCTCCGGCAACGCCCAGCTTGCCACCGGTCGTGGGGCAAAGGGCAAGCTCTCCGCCAGCACCCCGGCCACGCCGGTGAACATCCGGTGGCGGGGACCCGATGGCCAGGATCTGGTCATTGTGGGTGATACATTCCGAACCCAGCTGAAGAACGGATCCCTGTACATCAGCTCCGTAGAGGAGAACCGGGGCCTGACCGGAGCCTACCAGTGTCTGCTGAGTGCCGACGGCGTGGGCAGCATCCTCAGTCGGCCGGCCATAGTGGCCATTGCCCGCCAGCCGGACCTGAACCAGGACTTTCTGGAGACCTACCTCCTGCCCGGCCAGACCGCCTACTTCCGTTGCATGGTGGGCGTGGCCGACTGGCAGGAGGGAGTGAAGCATTCAGTGCAGTGGTTCAAGGACGACTTGCCACTGAACCTGGACAAGATTCGGATGGTGGTGCTGCCCAACGGGGCGCTGGAGATCGACGAGGTGGGTCCTTCAGATCGGGGCTCCTACCAGTGCAACGTCACCTCTGGCAGCCTGTCCCGGCTGAGCAGCAAGACCAACCTGAACATCAAGAAGCCCACCGATCCGGGTGTGGAGAACGCAGTGGCTCCCTTGTTCCTGGTTGGACCCTCGCCCAAGACGGTCCGCGAGGGCGACACCGTCACCCTGGACTGTGTGGCCAACGGAGTACCCAAGCCGCAAATCAAGTGGCTGCGGAACGGCATGGAACTAGACTTTAACGACCTGGACTCCCGCTTCTCCATCGTGGGCACTGGCTCTCTCCAGATCTCCAGCGCCGAGGACATCGATTCCGGGAACTACCAGTGCCGGGCCAGCAACACTGTGGACTCGCTGGACGCCCAGGCCACCGTGCAGGTCCAAGAGCCGCCCAAGTTCATCAAGGCACCAAAGGACACCACCGCCCACGAGAAGGACGAGCTGGAGCTGAAGTGCGACATCTGGGGCAAGCCGAAGCCCACCATCAAGTGGCTGAAGAACGGGGACGTGATCACGGCCAACGACTACATGCAGCTGGTGAATGGACACAACCTGCGCATCCTGGGACTCCTAAACTCTGATGCCGGAATGTTCCAGTGCGTGGGCACGAACTCGGCGGGCAGTGTCCAGGCATCCGCGCGACTGCGAGTGGTGCCCCAAGGAGGTGAGTGGAAACTATCGATTCCCCCGTAGCCATAGCTCGGTGTCCAGTATTTGTCCCGCTTCTGAAACAATTGGTGCCACTCTCGATGGCCTGTACAATAACCCAAAAAAGGCAATAACCACACCTCCCCATGGAACCCCTTGATCTTCCTGTCTTTTGTACAAAACTCCTTTCATTCATCCTGCTTTTGTAAAATAATTTCGTGTCTACTTATGTGTGTGTATTGTTTGTGTAAATAAAAGTTTAATTAATCAACCTGATTTAATGCCAGCTAATGGAATCTCTTTTGTCAAAGCCACAAATCGGCATAATCCAATGGTGTCAACAGACCTAATTGGATCATTAATTGATTATTCATTAAATGCTTCAATGAATCAGCCACAAAAGAGTTTTCAATTAGTAATTATTATTAATTAATTATGAAAGTACATATATGGATTATGCACATGGATTAATTTCGTATATAATTTATTAACTTATTGTTTCTTTTATTTGTTCTTTTATTTCCTTTATCCTTCTCATGTGTCCACTCATCCAAACCCCCAAAAACCCCGACCACCACCACCACCCACATCCACCCACATAATCCTATTCCCAAAGTGAAAATCAAAAAACGCAAATCCCAAGGCCAGTCCACCAAATCCCTACAGACCTTTGACAATCCGACCAGGCGACACCGAAAACCGAACCACAACAAGTCCGGGGAGCAGCTGCGCACCAAGTCCGGTGCCAGTTTCCTCGACGACCTTGAGGACGATGACGACTCCAGTACGATACGACTAAAGATACCCCTCGAACACCCACTGAACGATCGAATGTTCGACATGCTGAACGAGGCTAGTGCCCTGCGGAAGGGGCTGGACGCCTCCAAGAGCTACGAGGACGATGACGGCGACTATGACGATGACGATCCGGCGGCCAAGGAGGTATTCCTGGCCGCCTACAAACAGGGCGGGGACCCACAGCAAATACTGGACTCCTGGCAGGAGAGCAGCAACAAGAAATCCCATCAACAAAAACAACCATCCCCTGCTTTCCCAGATTCCCCCGAACAGGCTCCCGGTGTACAGAATCCCTCGTCCGCGAAACCAGCTCTCGGTAATGGTCTGCTAGCCAGGCTGCCCAGCCAGCCGCGTGACTTGGTGGCCCAGATAGTGAAGCCGCGTTTCGTGACCCTCAGCTGGGTGGAGCCCGTCCAGAATGCCGGAGAAGTCGTCTACTACACTGTCTACTACAAGATGAACCACAGCGAGCGGTGAGTGTCGTTCCGTATAATTGATATCCGCTTCATTAGCTTTCGATGGCCGACAGGGGTGGTAACCCGATCCCATTTGCATAGTTCCCTGTCAGCCATCTGATGGCTTCATTTCCTCAACCGAAGCGGAAATGATTTGGCTTTCAGTTTAATCCGTTTGATGGCCTGTCTGGCTGTCGTCCGGTAATGTTATGATTTCCTCATTTCGTTAACTTATACTCCACATTTCAGAGAGCAAAAAATGGTCACCAAATCGCATGATGATCTCCAGGTCAACATTCAGTCGCTACTGCCGGGACGCACCTACCAATTCCGTGTGGTGGCCAATACCAACTTTGGCAATGGCGAGTCCTCCGCTCCCCTGGAGGTCAACACCCAACCGGAGGTGAACATTGCCGGGCCACCGCGTAACTTTGAGGGCTTTGCCCGCAGCCATCAGGAGATCTTTGTGAGGTGGGAAGAGCCGGCCGTGACCAATGGAGAGATACTCAAGTATCGGGTCTACTACTCGGAGGTACGATATTAAAACTTACCTTAAAAATTAATATAACTAATTAATTTATTATTTATTTAAGAACGACCGTGGTGCTGATTTGTATCATGACACCACCACCTTAGATGCTGTGCTATCAGAGCTGCATCCTCATACGGACTATGTGATTACCGTGGCGCCTTTTAATAGAAACGGCATGGGTGATCCTTCCTCCGAGATTCGAGTGAAAACATTCTCCTCCACGCCCTCAGAACCCCCCAACAATGTCAGTCTGGAGGTGACCAGCTCCACAGTAAGTAGACCTTCAGAATCATTGGAGAAAATCCGAAACTAAGTGCCTTCTCTCTAGTCCATTACGGTACACTGGGAGCCACCGGAAGAGGAGGATCGCAATGGCCAAATAACCGGCTACAAGATCCGCTATCGCAAGTTCAAGGATGCCCCGCAGGTGAAGAGCACTCCCGCCAATATTCGTTACTTTGAGCTCAGCAACCTGGATCGCAATTCGGAGTACCAGGTCAAGATTGCTGCCATGACGGTGAATGGTTCTGGTCCGTTTACGGAATGGTATCGTGTTAATACCCTGGAGAACGATCTGGACGAGACGCAGGTGCCGGGCAAACCCGTTTGGATCAGAATCCATCCCGGCGCCGACAACATTCAGCTGCACTGGGGTCCGCCGCAACAGCCGGAGATCAAGATACGCAACTACGTGCTGGGCTGGGGCCGTGGCATTCCCGATGAGAACGCCATCGAGCTGAAGGAGACGGAACGCTATCATGTGCTGAAGAACCTGGAGTCCAACACGGAGTATGTGGTGTCGCTGCGGGCGAGAAACATCAAGGGCGATGGCCAGCCCATCTATGACAATATTAAGACGCGTGACGAGGAGCCCGTGGATGCGCCCACACCGCTGGAGGTGCCAGTGGGCCTGCGAGCCATTACCATGTCCAGCTCGTCGATTGTGGTCTACTGGATCGACACAATGCTGAACAAGAACCAGCATGTCACCGATAATCGCCACTACACGGTCCAGTACTGCATCACTGGCTCGAACCGGTATCGTTATCACAACACCACGGATCTCAACTGCATGATCAACGACCTGCGTCCAAACACGCAGTACGAGTTCGCCGTCAAAGTGGTGAAGGGACGACGGGAGTCCCCGTACTCCATGTCGGTGCTCAACAGCACATACCAGAATGTTCCGGTTACGCCGCCTCGTGAGCTAACTGTACGCATGGATGAACTGAATCCTCCCACTGTCATCATCCAGTGGCTTCCCCCCAAGCACACAGTGGGCCAGATCACCGGCTATAACATCTACTACACCACGGATACCACCAAGCGTGATCGCGAGTGGTCCATCGAGGCCTTTGCCGGCGAGGAGACGATGCTGATGCTGCCGAACCTGAAGCCCTACACCACCTACTACTTTAAGGTCCAGGCCCGCACCACCAAGGGCAGCAACAATGCTCCATTCTCGGCCCTGGTGTCCTACACCACCAGTGCGGCGGTGATCATGCAGGAGGCAGACACCATAGCCAATGGATTCGACAACGAGAAGCTGCTCTACATCATCATTGGAGCCACGGCCGTGGTGCTATTGGTAGCCCTTCTAGGAATTCTTCTGATGTGTCGCCGCAAGCCTCAATCCTCGCCAGAGCACACCAAGAAGAGGTGGGTTATTGGTTTTAAATGCTTGGTTTCCAACTAACTTGTTGCCTTTTCGTTTCTAGCTACCAGAAGAACAATGTGGGAGTGCCGAAGCCACCAGATCTATGGATACACCATGACCAAATGGAGCTGAAGAACATTGACAAGGGTCTGCACACAGTGACGCCTGTTTGCAGCGATGGAGCTTCTAGCAGTGGTGCCCTGACCCTCCCCCGATCGGTGGTGCACAGTGAATACGAGTCGGAAACACCAGTGCCACCCCATGTCACCAATTCCCTGGACAAGCGCTCCTATGTTCCAGGTTATATGAGTAAGTCTTCCACACAATTCTAATCTAGAGAGACTTCTAAAAATGGAATCCTCCTCCAGCCACTTCAATGAACTCCACCATGGAGCGTCCACAGTATCCGCGTACTCAGTACAGTCATCAGAATCGATCTCACATGACCATGGAAACGGGTCTCTCCCAGCAGAGCCTCAGCCAGCCGCAAAACAACTCCATGGCCCAGACGCCAGAGCATCCCTACGGCGGTTACGACGCCAACTTTTGGTAAGCAAATGAGAAAAAAAAAAGTGGGCGATGAGATTGTTTGATTCCTGGATGCCATTTCTTGCTATGTATGCTTCGCTTTCGGTGCCAGAAATTCTAACAAAATTGTCACAAAAATTCTCCTAGTTTTAAGTTTTATCCATTTTGGCAAACGCTGCAAACAAGACCCAGAGACAAGGCCAGAGAATGTGCTCGAGAACGCGTTGGGGGCGGATCGATCCGAGCATTCAGGTGAATCTGGTGCACGGCCCCACCAGCCGGGTCATCCAGTTGAATCGTAGGACTCTGCCGCGGCGAGTCGAACAGCAGTTGCTGCTCATGGCCTCGCCGTCGCCGTTTCTCAACTTCATGAACAAATTCCGGCTGGATGAGATCCTAATCAACCACCAGTATAAGGGCGTCTATAGTATGCGCACCGCGGCCACCATCACCGAACTAGCTACCTATACGTGGAACGTGATGTCCGTAACCGATCGCCAGCCGTACATACAGCTGGCCCGGAAGGCGCAGCAGATTCAGCAGGCGCGGAAGCAGCACTTTCTGGGCAACAGCAATCGGCCGTTGACCAAGAGACCTGCCCACTGTCCTGTTGTTGTCTGAAGCAGTCTTAGCCCCCACTTTGGAACTTGTTTACGAGCATTTGGAGAAACCCTTTTAGTTAATAAATATTTCGTATATCATTTTACATGTTTTATTATTTGTTCTTTTAGCAATGCGAGCAATGGAGCACCTGGCAACGGGTGTGTGTCCACCATTGAGAGTGCCAAGCGCGGTCATCCGCTGAAGAGTTTCAGTGTGCCGGGACCACCGCCGACGGGAGGAGCAGTGCCCCTCAACAAGCACAGTAAGATCTCTTCAAATATTCCATTATATTTTGTATTAATTAATTATATTTTTCAAAAAGCTCCTGCTGTCACAATACGTCCACAGAACCAATCGCCCTACAAGAAGCCATCCTTTTCGGCTGCCACACCCAATCGACTGCAGGGCGGCGGGTCCATAGCCCACTCAACCGACGAGATCCAAAGACTGGCCCCGAGCACATCCACCGAGGAGCTGAACCAGGAAATGGCCAATCTGGAGGGACTGATGAAGGATCTGAGCGCCATCACGGCCAACGAGTTTGAATGTTAACACAAAAGCCAACCGCAAATAATTTAAATACGTTTATGGCGGAAGGCCGAGAGAATTAGTCGTGAAAACAATGGATGTTACTTGTTTTTTAGTTTCTTGTTTAATTAATGATTTTTAACTCGAATGTGCAAAAGCGACTGGAATCGAGTATATCCCGAGCCCCGGCCCAAAGCCTAGTGTCTCCTCAGTGTCCGTCAGATCGGATTTAGTTTTTAGTTAATCAAATGTGCGATATATTATTGAAGAACTGTAAATAAGAACGACGCCGCCATATAAACTTTTAAGCGTAGATACACACATGAATATTTAATAGAAATAGCACCTAAGCATTAGTTAATTATCATATAAGGAGAGTGTAAAAAATCAAAGGACAGAAGTCGTTCAGAGAAGCGTTCAATGTGCATGATCTGTCCTTGGTCTGTCATACAACATTTCATATTTATCACTGCATCTGCATCTGCATCATCTTAATTTTATCCGCTTGCTAAATCGGATAGTCTAAGTCTCCAAACATACATATGCCATTCTATTAACATATGCATACAGCATCTAAGCTAAGTTTCATACTAGTAAAGACCCTAAGAACGTAACTTTTATGCTATTATAATCCTTACCAAAACAATCAAAACGAATGTTCGATCTAGACTTGCATCTTAAAGTGCATCTTGCATTTTCCATTTATGTTTTCCTTAATTTTAAAACAAGAATTACGCAAGTTTCTGGTACGTGCCATGATTGTGTCGCCACAACCCCCATCCGAAACTACTTAAGCTATAAAGTCAAGTTCTAAACTAAGCCAGCAAAGCATTTACAATTAAAATTATGAATTAAATATATGCGGTGTAACGTGATGTATTATGTGCAGCGCCATGAATAAAGCTGAGAAACTTTTTTAAAAGATTTTGATGTGTTCAAAGTGTTACTTGACAAGAAAGTTTACTACTATTTTTATGTGTTTTTCCATTAAGGAACTGTATTCGACATTGCTTGGCACAATAATCTCATTCAACGCAGCAACAAAACTATTGATTAATAATTAATTACAAATCTTTAAATCAAATGCACAAGGAAAACGTTTGAAAATTGTGAAATTTTTAATGTATTGAACGTAAACTTTGTAATCAAAAAAGAGAAAATTGCTAAATATATGAAGAATATGTGGAAAATATTTTTATTCGGCTTTTAAAATGAAAACTGTGACTTGGACTCTCCAGACTTTATCAGTTGCAAACCGCAATTCGATTTTATAGTCCCCCTGTGGAAGAGGCAGGTTCCTTAGGAAATCATCTGAATACTCCAGATTATCCATTATTATGTCGTGCTGGAAAAATTTATAAAATAAATTATGTAGTCTAATATGTCTCTAATACTTACGTTATAGGGACAGGTGTGATTAAGGTTTGATTTCGTCATGATTGCGTTAATGACCAGACCCTCGAACGACAGCTTGTTTGAATTTTTCATCAAATGACAGAAATCGGTACTTATGTTATACAGAAATGGACGCCAGCCATTGTATCGACGATAAATGCTCCAGTTGATCTACAAAATAAATATTTAAATTCTATTTACATATTATTTTAGGGACATATCCACTTACCCAGGCATTATCCGCCGGTAACACAAACATTTTCAAATAAAACGATGCACCCACTCGTCCTCGGCCCAGCAGACTAAGCTTGCACTTTTCAAATCGACAATATGATTCATTATAGGATATGCACTGGAAGTTGGTAAACCTAGATTTCGATTGTCGTCCTTCAATATCCATATGTGGATAAAGAAATATCAGCACTGAGAAAAGAAGCAGTTGGACACCTCCCATCGTTGCCATTTCTAAATCAAAATTGAAATAAAAAATGAATTTCGGTTATTTTAAATAAATTATTACACACAATCACTATATGGGGATAATGATAATTTCCTTGTCCATTAGTGGAAAATTACAAAATCTCATTTATAAACTTGATTGATTTCTACAATCATGTTGGATACCACGCTAGATTGAAAAATAGTTATACACAGAGGGAATTAGCCACAACTTCTTGCCCAATGGGCCCGATTTATTTGATCCATGAATGTTATACATACATACCTTCCCGGTCTTGGTACCCCTTGTAAAATCCGGGATTTCCAGAATTCCCATATATGACCCAATCCGATACCCATATCTTGGACAATTTTTATCAGATCCTTAAAAGGAATACCTTGAAAGATTCGTAGTTCAATTCTCTATTCATCTGCATCAAAACCTGGAAACAAAATTTTCGATCGATATTTTTCACTTTTTTCCTGATGGTCCCCTTGTAGAATCCGGGATTTCCAGAATTCCCATTTTTGACCCCCTCCGATACCCATATCTTGGACAATTTTTATCAGATCCTTGAAAGGAATACCTTGAAAGATTCGTAGTTCAATTCTCTATTAATCTGCATCAAAACCTAGAATCAAAATTTTCGATCGATATTTTTCACTTTTTTCCTGATGGTCCCCTTCTAAAATCCGGGATTTCCAGAATTCCCATATATGACCCAATCCGATACCCATATCTTGGACAAATTTTATCAGATCCTTGAAAGGAATACCTTGAAAGATTCGTAGTTCAATTCTCTATTAATCTGCATCAAAACCTGGATACAAAATTTTCGATCGATATTTTTCACTTTTTTCCTGATGGTCCCCTTGTAGAATCCGGGATTTCCAGAATTCCCATTTTTGACCCCCTCCGATACCCATATCTTGGACAATTTTTATCAGATCCTTGAAAGGAATACCTTGAAAGATTCGTAGTTCAATTCTCTATTAATCTGCATCAAAACCTGGATACAAAATTTTCGATCGATATTTTTCACTTTTTTCCTGATGGTCCCCTTGTAGAATCCGGGATTTCCAGAATTCCCATTTTTGACCCCCTCCGATACCCATATCTTGGACAATTTTTATCAGATCCTTGAAAGGAATACCTTGAAAGATTCGTAGTTCAATTCTCTATTAATCTGCATCAAAACCTAGAATCAAAATTTTCGATCGATATTTTTCACTTTTTTCCTGATGGTCCCCTTCTAAAATCCGGGATTTCCAGAATTCCCATATATGACCCAATCCGATACCCATATCTTGGACAAATTTTATCAGATCCTTGAAAGGAATACCTTGAAAGATTCGTAGTTCAATTCTCTATTAATCTGCATCAAAACCTGGATACAAAATTTTCGATCGATATTTTTCACTTTTTTCCTGATGGTCCCCTTGTAGAATCCGGGATTTCCAGAATTCCCATATATGACCCAATCCGATACCCATATCTTGGACAAATTTTATCAGATCCTTGAAAGGAATACCTTGAAAGATTCGTAGTTCAATTCTCTATTAATCTGCATCAAAACCTAGAATCAAAATTTTCGATCGATATTTTTCACTTTTTTCCTGATGGTCCCCTTCTAAAATCCGGGATTTCCAGAATTCCCATATATGACCCAATCCGATACCCATATCTTGGACAAATTTTATCAGATCCTTGAAAGGAATACCTTGAAAGATTCGTAGTTCAATTCTCTATTAATCTGCATCAAAACCTGGATACAAAATTTTCGATCGATATTTTTCACTTTTTTCCTGATGGTCCCCTTGTAGAATCCGGGATTTCCAGAATTCCCATTTTTGACCCCCTCCGATACCCATATCTTGGACAATTTTTATCAGATCCTTGAAAGGAATACCTTGAAAGATTCGTAGTTCAATTCTCCATTAATCTGCATCAAAACCTAGAATCAAAATTTTCGATCGATATTTTTCACTTTTTTCCTGATGGTCCCCTTCTAAAATCCGGGATTTCCAGAATTCCCATATATGACCCAATCCGATACCCATATCTTGGACAAATTTTATCAGATCCTTGAAAGGAATACCTTGAAAGATTCGTAGTTCAATTCTCTATTAATCTGCATCAAAACCTGGATACAAAATTTTCGATCGATATTTTTCACTTTTTTCCTGATGGTCCCCTTGTAGAATCCGGGATTTCCAGAATTCCCATTTTTGACCCCCTCCGATACCCATATCTTGGACAATTTTTATCAGATCCTTGAAAGGAATACCTTGAAAGATTCGTAGTTCAATTCTCCATTAATCTGCATCAAAACCTAGAATCAAAATTTTCGATCGATATTTTTCACTTTTTTCCTGATGGTCCCCTTGTAGAATCCGGGATTTCCAGAATTCCCATACATGACCCCCTCCGATACCCATATCTTGGACAATTTTTATCAGATCCTTCAAAGGAATACTATATATACATACCGACTGGAATATCGACTAAAAAGTGACTCACAAGTTGAAGTTTGGGGAATTTCTAGATTAACGATTTATTAATTTTTTTTTTGGAATCAAACTGAATTTATAATTCATCCCTAACAAAGAAAATGGTCACTTGGACTCGCCAAACCCTGTATGTTGCGAACCGCAATTGGATTTTATAGTCCCCCTGTGGAAGGGGAAGTTTCTTTAGAAAATCATCCGAAAACTCCAAGTTATCCAAGATTATATCGTGCTATTAAAAATAATAAATAAGTCTTAATAAAAGAATAAAGAAATATACCCACGTTATAGGGACAGGTGTGATTTAAGTTTGATTTGGTCATGATAGCGTTAATGACCAGACTCTCGAACGACAGCTTGTTTACATTTTTCATAAGTTGACAAAAATCGGTGCTTATATTATATAGAAATGGCTGGTAGCCATTGTAGCGACGGAAAATACTCCAGTTTATCTGGAAAATGTTTATAATACATATGTATAAATAATATAAATATTATTCCATAATAAATCCACTTACCCACACATTATCAGCTGGTAATATAAGCATTTTTAAATAAAATTGGGCACCCACTCGGCCTCGGCCTAGCAAGTTCAATTTACACTTTTCAATAAGGCAATAGGAATCATTATAAGATATACACTGAATGTTGGTAAACCTAGATTTCGATTGCCTTCCTTCGGGATTGGGATTTAGCCAGAGGAGTATGGCCAGGGCCATCACAAGCAGTCGAAAACCAGTTACTGGGTTCATGTCGTTGTTAGAAATGAAACCAAATCTATATCTATATTCATCTTATATAAATTAGTACACACAATTAGCAAATGGAGGTAATGATTACTTTCCATTAGTTTTCCATTAATAAGCAAACATTTTAAACAATTAAACAATTTTTAAAAAATGTTTTTTTTCTTATTATTTTGGTAATTGAAGTCTGTCTATTTACACACTATGATATTGATATAATTATAAATTTGTTAAAATATTGGTACAATTTTTAAATGCTAAGGAAATGTAGCTTTATTATTGTTTATATAAAGACTACTTTTGGGCGGAAAGCTTAGAACTATTTTAGATTTTTGATTTATTTTTCAATTACATTTAAAATACATAAATAAAAAAAGAGCAAGGGTTACAAGTATTAAAAATATTATATTTCAAAAAGATTAGAGTTAAAGCATGATTATATGATTTTAAACTAGTAAGCTATTAAAGTTCCCAGCATAAATTCTTAACCAAAGAGCACTGTATCGAGTTCTCTTTGGCTAACCAGGTAAGAGAGCCAGGTGATCGAGATGCCCCAATCCGCTGGCTGGCTTGAATCATTGAAGCTCGAGCTGCCACCTGAGCGCATGCTCAGTTCGTGTCAGGCAGTCGATCGGTGTGGAGGCCGCTTTCTGTTCCCGCTTCCAGCCATTTCACATTGTTTGGTTTGTGTGTCAACGTCGACAGAAAACAATTGGAAATCGAGGCATAAAAATAGTGAAATCTGATTTGAATTTAAATCAGTTTTGACTTTTGTTGATTCGCGCACACACAATGAACAAGCTACCGCTGAGAGCTTGGCGTTCCACCACCTCGGAGCCGAGTCTGAGAAGATGTGTGTCGAAGATCCACGGCGGATCAAGCCCCACCAGCTTGTTGCCACACGAAAAGCGACGCTTGGATACCCGCGAAAGCTCCACGGGCGTAGCCGCCTGCCCGCATTTGGCCGACCAGGAGGAGGCAGCCAATGCCTCCAGGATTCATGCCACATCGGAGTGGCAGAATGCACTGCCCTACAATCAGATACCAGGACCCAAACCCATACCCATTTTGGGCAACACCTGGAGGTTTGTATGAGAGTACTAATAAAGACCGAAAACGAAAGACTTAAGACACAAACCCGCTTTCACTCGCAACTTGCAATTCCAATGCACCCATAAAAGAGACCACGAAAAAGAAACCACTCTCTGTCTCACTTGACCCAATTAAGTCGATACCAGCTGGTTCCACACTTATTGAATTAGCCATGATGATGTTCACATTTTACCAGCACTTGTTTGTTTAGGTTTTTTTTGCAATCCTATTACTGACCATATCCAAACTAGTTATCCCCCCAAAGTATTTATGTTTGTGCTAAACAAACATTTATCAGCATATCGAATGCTTGTAGGTTTCTTCGGATTCTTGTTAAATGTGCGTGTGGGATTCAAGATTCCAATTTACACCTGCATAATCACTAGCCCCTCTTGGCCGCCACTTGGATGCCATCGGACGGCACGTCATTTGGAGTTTTTTTAGCGTTCAATTAGCGCCGAATTCAAGGTCACCATAATAACGTGTGAAATTTTGCTCACAAATCATTTTTTGCGCCTTTCTGGAGAAAAAATAGTGAATGCATCCATCATTGTCGTAGATTAATATATATTTTTTTAACCTTGATTATTCCCCTCTTAGACTGATGCCAATAATTGGTCAATATACCATATCGGATGTGGCAAACATATCGTCGCTACTTCATGAGCGATATGGGAGGATCGTGAGATTTGGAGGTCTAATAGGTCGCCCTGATCTCTTGTTCATCTACGATGCCGATGAAATTGAAAAGGTAAGCATAAACAGCACACTTTAGCACGGAACTGGGAAGAGGTTAATGGATAAACCCACTCTGAAGACGGTGTCTTTACGCTTGACCAGCGAACCACGAAGGCACCAAGGCATTATACTAATTTCTGGCACCGTACAAATTACCCACAATTGTCGGATATTAAGCGAAGCAATTTTTATGAATGCCTTTTCAGTGCTACCGCAGCGAGGGGCCCACCCCCTTCCGGCCCTCGATGCCCAGTCTGGTCAAGTACAAGAGTGTGGTGCGCAAGGATTTCTTTGGGGAACTCGGCGGAGTTGTGGGCGTGTAAGTGGCATTGGTTAGTCCATCAAAAGACTTGTAATTTTGCAATTTCTGTAATATTACAGCCATGGTGAACCCTGGCGTCAGTTCCGGTCGCGTGTCCAAAAGCCGGTACTGCAATTATCCACAATCCGGCGGTATTTGCAGCCACTGGAGATAATCACCGATGATTTCCTACTGCGCTGTGAGAGTCTGTTGGATGAAAATGAAGAGCTGCCAGAGGATTTCGACAACGAGATTCACAAATGGTCCTTGGAATGTAAGTTGGTTTTAAATTATTAATTTAGAATTATACTCATTTTTTATGTTTTTTCGAGGCATTGGCCGTGTGGCCTTGGACACGCGTTTGGGCTGCCTGGAGTCCAACCTCAAGCCGGATTCAGAGCCACAGCAAATCATCGATGCTGCCAAGTATGCGCTCCGCAATGTGGCCACCTTGGAGCTAAAGGCTCCCTATTGGCGTTACTTCCCGACTCCTCTGTGGACTCGCTATGTCAAGAACATGAACTTCTTTGTTGGGTAATTACCTAAAATAGCAAAAATTAATATATAACTTAAGAAAATACCTACTTTTAGCGTTTGCATGAAGTACATACAAAGTGCCACCGAGAGACTAAAGACCCAAGATCCCAGCCAGCGTGCTGGTGAACCTTCGCTTGTCGAAAAGGTCATCATGTCGGAGAAGGACGAGAAAATAGCCACCATAATGGCTTTGGATTTGATTCTAGTCGGCATAGATACAGTGAGAGATCCTATGATACCTACCCCTGGCTTTCTTTACAATTTCATTTCTTTCAGATATCCATGGCTGTCTGTTCCATGCTCTACCAACTAGCCACCCGACCAGTGGAACAGCAAAAGGTACACGAAGAGTTGAAGCGATTGCTACCGGATCCCAACACGCCTCTGACCATTCCACTGCTGGATCAGATGCACCACCTGAAGGCCTTCATTAAGGAGGTATTCCGTATGTACAGCACTGTTATTGGAAACGGACGCACTCTGCAGGAGGACAGCGTGATTTGTGGCTATCAAGTACCCAAGGGCGTGCAGGCTGTCTTTCCCACCATCGTCACTGGCAACATGGGGGAGTATGTAACGGATGCGGCTACTTTCCGGCCGGAAAGATGGCTGAAACCCCAACACGGTGGTGTGGCTGGAAAACTGCATCCGTTTGCTTCGCTGCCGTACGGATATGGAGCACGAATGTGTCTGGGGCGACGTTTCGCCGACCTTGAGATGCAGATACTACTGGCCAAGCTACTGCGCAACTACAAGCTCGAGTACAACCACAAACCGTTGGACTATGCTGTTACCTTCATGTATGCGCCAGATGGCCCGCTGCGTTTCAAGATGACTAGGCTTTAAGTGTAGATTTACGATTTTGTAAACATTTAAGTTTTTCTGTAAATAATAGTTCATTTACATACAAATTTTGCAAGGTTTTTCTTGATATTGCATAACTACTTAAGGTTGTACTAAACTAACAAAGTTTACGACTATTTGTCACTTCCTCTTCCACGTCCTGTACCAGTTCTTCACAGTCTTGAGACTTTTATCGGCGTCTTGCCTCGTTTCGCCGCGAAGAACAAAGACTTTGTCATCTTTGTAGGAGTCTCTGGCCTCCTCCAGGATAGTTCCAAAGATTTCGCACTCGATATTCGATGTGAGTTTCTTCTCGTTGTAGTTTCGTTCTTTCAGGCGATCGTACAGCGTGGTGTTGGGGCAGGTAACCACGAAAACGGCTTGGAACCAGCGTTCGGGAAAGAAATCACAGCCATGATATTCCACAATGTTGCCGCCTTTGGCCATTATGGGTTCCAGGTGATCCATTAGCTATCAAAGTAACATAAAATAGGATTTAGGATGAGGATATTTGAGACAATAAGAAAGAGGAGCCAACCTTATCTTCGTCCAAAATTGGACAGTCGTATTCGTCGTCATACTCCTCAACAAAATTATTATCTTTGGCAATTTTCGAGCAGTCCAGCCAATCGAATTTAAGTTGAGCAGCAAGGCGTTCACACAAATATGATTTACCAGCTCCTGGAGTTCCTGGAAAATTAAGAAAATTATTATAAACTATCTAAAATATAAAGAAAATAATCACACCAACCTGTTATTAAAATATTTGGCTTGGCATCCTCTGAGCGCTCTGCCATCCTGCTTATTTGGTAGTAGCGGAAAAACTATGAATATTTACAAAAAATATTACAAGTTTTTTTGTAAATACTTTTATTTTTATGCAAAAAACGCAGCACGTGAAGAAGTTGTTTATTTTCTGGTTACGTTATCGTTATCGATGCTTCGATAAATATGAGTACCACCTTCCAGTCCTGCCAACTTAGTTTCTAGTGTTGGAAATGAAGTGGCGCAAAAAGCTAAATTTATTTAAATTATTTTTACATACACTGAAACTCTGATTTATTTAAATTATAAATTTTACCAAGACTCATATAATTTTAAATCATTCATAAATTCAACTTCTTTGACCAATAACGATTCTAAAATATCGTTATTTCCTACGTACATAGGTGGCCTTTTGTCTTTCTACGTTTCGCCAAGAACCGTTGCTTTTCTTTGTTTTCCTTTCCTCCTTGCTTCGTCCTCTTTTGCGAGCAGAACTCCAGAATCTGAAAGCTGTATCTCATTCTTTCTTTTTCTTTCCTTCTCTACTTGAAATATCCAACTCGGGGGAAAATTTTTCGAGTCCATCGGGTATAGACGAAAAATGGACGGGTCTCCGGACGGATCAGAAATTGGTAAGGTGGAAATTAATGGAGGTACCGAAAAGCGTCAGCACGTTCCGTACATCCTAAATGGGGAACTGTATCGGATTGAGAATCAGGTTGGCGATAATGTCACCGTGAAGTGCTGCTACTGTCCGCCGGATCGGATTTATCGCGGCAGCGTGCGTTCCACCGGAAACTTTCATATGCACATCAAGGTACGTACATATGTACATTTGTAGGTTGTGTTTAAGGATTTCCGATTCTTTTTTGTACAATTCGAATTTTTCGGAACAGCGTCGTCATAGTTCGTTACTTGGAAAATTGCATGAAATGAAGGTGGCCGCTTTGGAGGAGCGCCGTGATCGTATCATGAAGAATCGACGCTTTGGTAAGCCTCGAAAGAAGTCGCCTCCATGCCAGTCGTCCGGGGACAGCCCGTCGGATATAGTGGAGGGCAACAATGCAGGAGGTGCTCCAACAGGCGGGGTGAGTGAGGAAACCCGTGAGCTGAAAATCAAAACGGTGTTCCAGCGACACAAGCAAGAGCAGGAGGGAGCGGCCATAAGATCGGTGAGGGAAAGAGTGGGATAGCCATATTACCTGCATGCTAGTACCGTTATGTATTTTTGTAAAAGTATCTACGCGCGCAAAAAAAAAAGTTCAATGAAAAAATATTAAAAATAGCTTTTTAAGGATCAGATACATATCTTAATATGAGCGTTTAAAGTATGTTTTAGCTAATTATTATTTTAAATTGTAGTCCAACGATTCAACTTCTGATACCAGCGGCAAGGCCAATACTTCCAGTATTTATTTGCTTCAGAATGTAAGTTGCATATATGTAGGTTTTCTTAAATATTATTAGTATGATTCATAATTATATTTCTCAGGTTGAAACCGTGACTACAACTTCGCCGTCTACTCCCCATGTTGGGATCTTGGGTCGCGTTAAGCCCGAGAAATCGAATAGTTCTGGATTACTGGGCAACCAACCGGAGGCTATTGACTTGAGCCGGGCTCAATCGCACCAGAACGGAGAAGTGGCCACCAGCTCGTTGAGCTTCACCCCAGGAGGGACTTCTTTGGAGTATCCGCGTTCGCAGGCCGTCGCCCAGTCGCTGTCCTTCACCCACTTTGTGGAAAACTCGCATCGTGATGTTCTGCAGCGTCTGGACCGTACCATGACCGAGATAAGCCAAGAGCTGCGCAGCCGTAACCGCATCGAGCAAAATCGCCTGTTGTTGGAGGCGGCCAAGTTCAAGTATCTGAACCCCAACTTTAAATTTGAACCAACACTTTAATGGGGAAACTTGATGACTTTGAACTACGACCTACCTCAAAATACTCAGCTTAATTAAGTAATGATACTAATCCTAATCCTTACAATAAAACCTTAAAACGAAATTATGAAGCTTTTATTTTCAAACACAATTATGTAAAACGCACTTTAGTCTTTTGGTATTCTCCCGCTTCTGCCGGCTGGTCACACTGGTTCGGCTTTGTTCTTCGGTTGTCTGTTTTTTATGTTTACGCTGCTTATATCTTAATTATTTGTAAGAGGTATGTCCGATAAAAGGACTCTGATAGATTTAAATGATGAAACTAGTGACGATGAAGAGATTGCATCCCCGGGTGCAGTGGGCTATGCTAAGAAACCGGAGGAGATAGTGCATTCCAATTTGAACGAAGATGTCCCCCAAACTAGTTCTTCAGTTATGGGGGTAAACAATAATTCGGGGAACTACCTATTAAACGTAGAGAACGATCATCCACCTTTGCCAGTGGAGGAGGAAAATGCTCAAATTAACGAAAACGTATGTAATTGTATGGAATAGAATATGTGGTGATTCACCCCACCATTCGCTGCAACTAAAGCTTATCTTTATCCGCCTACTTCTCTCTATAAGCTGTTACTAATTCTTATACCCACAGATCACAAATGGGGATGCGACGAGTAATGGTCGAATCATACCCGAGTCGGAGCCCATTTTTCATCTTCGATCCCGCACAGCAGCCGCTTCCACGCCCAACTACGAGGTTTGTGTCGTGACGTTTTAATTTACGCTTTTTTGTTCTTATCAGCATTTATTGGCACTTGTAGAGCCTGGACTATGAAGTTTGCGAAAACGTGCTGTTCCAAGATGAGCAAAAAAAACGGCTCACCGAAAGATTCTCGCCTCGCAAGGGCGTCATACGATGGATAATCTTCATACAGATTGGCATTATTACAGCATTAATCGCCTGTACGATAGACATTATCATTGAAGAGCTATCTGAGCTAAAGTACACCTTTCTAAAAAATTGTAAGAACTTATTACACTACCAAACCATACATAGTCTCTTAATAATAATATTTCGCTTATCCCCCTAGCTGTGGACGAAAATGTGCCTCTCAGCGACGCCAGTGGTAGGGATTTGGTGATCCCCTTTTTGTACTGGATCCTGTTAAGCGTTGTGCCTGTGGTTATTGGAGCTGCCATGGTCACCTACATTGAGCCCATTACCGCTGGCAGTGGCATTCCTCAGGTTAAGAGCTACCTCAATGGCGTTAAAATACCCCGAATTGTCAGGATTAAAACCCTGGCGGTCAAGGCCATCGGTGTAATAACATCTGTAGTGGGCGGTCTGGCTGGAGGCAAGGAGGGACCCATGATACACGCTGGAGCGGTGGTGGCCGCCGGAATATCCCAAGGAAAAAGTACAACCTTTGTTAAGGACTTTCGCATCTTTAAAGCTTTCCGGGACGATCATGAAAAGCGAGACTTTGTGCTGGGTGGCGGAGCGGCAGGAGTTTCAGCCGCTTTTGGAGCACCCATTGGAGGCATGCTGTTCTCTCTGGAGGAGGCGGCCAGCTTTTGGAACCAGAATCTCATTTGGCGCACCCTGGTGGCCTCCATCATCAGTGTGTTCACCTTGAACATCGTGCTCTCGGCCTACCATGGTCTCAATGACTTTACGTTTACGGGTCTCTTCAATTTGGGAAAGTTCGATCAGCCTCTCAAGTTCGATTACTTTGAGCTGCCCATCTTTATGCTGCTCGGTGTGATCGGAGGATTATTGGGAGCTGCCTGGAACTGTTTGAACACCAAAATCAATGCCTTTAGGAAGCGGTTTATACCTTGGAAATTTACAAAAATCATAGAAGCGGCTGTGGTGGCCATGTTTGGTGTCACTCTGGCATGCCTCATGATTTATTTCATCAATGATTGCCGACCCCTCGGTAACGATCCAACCGTGCATCCTGTTCAGCTTTTCTGCGAGGACAACGAGTACAATGCAGTGGCCTCCCTGTGGTTCCAAACGCCTGAGGCCACTGTTCGATCGCTGTTTCATGATCCACCAGGTGAGAAGCTCTAAAGGATTATGGGTTATATTCGTCTATTTATATATTTCTTTGCAGGATCTCATAAAATAACCACGCTGACCCTCTTTACGGTTATATACTATGTGTTATCCTGTGTAACCTTTGGTCTCAATGTCTCGCTGGGTGTTTTCATTCCCACCGCTCTGGTGGGAGCAGCTTGGGGCCGTCTTCTGGCCATGCTGGCTTTCTATCTTTTCCCACAGGCGGTAACGAGAAACCATATCAATTTAGTCCTTCAAACTATATATTTTTTTCCGATTTAAGAATTTCCTGCATCCTGGAAAGTATGCTCTGATTGGGGCCGCCGCCAATTTGGGCGGTGTCCTCCGGATGACCATCAGTTTGTCGGTCATCTTGATGGAAACGACTGGTGTGGAAACGTCCTTCTTCTTTCCTCTCATCATTGCCCTGATTAGTGCCAAATGGGTGGGCGACTACTTCAACGAGGGCATCTACGACACGCAAATAGAAGTGAACCATGTACCGATCCTGCCCTGGGAACCGCTGCCCCAATACAAGGGACTGACCGCCAGGGAAATAATGAGTAGACCCGTGGTCTGCATCAAGCTAAAGGATAAAGCTCACTATATCTACAAAGTGTTGAAGAATTGTGATCACAATGGTTTTCCGGTGGTGGACAATGTTCCAGACGTATGTTAATCATAGAACTTGGTCTATTGGCCATATATTGATGTAGAGTATCCTTTCTAATTGTAGGTTCGTCGCTCGGAGGGTCGAGTTTGTGGCATTATCCTAAGGTCACAGCTAATTGTTATTCTATTAAAGTCTCTGTATGTGGAAAACAAACAATTCTGGCTGCCTGAAACAACTATACAAACGTTTAGAGACGTTTATCCAAGATATCCTTCAATTAAGGTAGGACATGGCTTTAAATTTAAGAAGTTTAATAATAATTCATGCTGGAAATTTTAATTCCTCAGAGCGTTCGAAAACTGGGTAGAAAGGAGAACTACACGGTGGACTTGTCAATGTTTATGAATCCATCGCCAGTTCGCGTTAATCCCGTGAGTACTTTTGGATTATCTTTCAGGGATAGGTTTATTTAATATACCTCCTATTTTTGTAGCACGATTCGGTACCAAGAATCTTCCAGATTTTCCGAGCTCTGGGCCTGCGACACCTGCTGGTCATCAACAATGAGAATCGGGTGGCTGGCATCATCACCAGGAGGGACTTCATATACAAGTGATTCTTTAGCATCCAATGCAGGGTTTTTTTTAAAGTGTCTTTTAAACAATAAATAATTTATAAAACATAAAACAAGTCATATTCACTTTTGATAAACTTTTTGTTTTAATTTGCTTTTACTTTTTTACAACTTAAAATTATGACCTTAGCGCCTAAAATATAATCAATAGTATTCACAAGGAATTGTACAAGGTTTTGTGTTGGGTGTTTTTGTTTTGTATAAAAAATACGATACATCTATTGTAAAAGTAAAAGTAAAAGTGCTAAGGTGTTTATATAAAAAATCTTTAAAAACTATATACCTAAACAGACATCGTGTCTCCTGGCTCCTAATAACTAGCACAACTGTCTCGGTTTCGGTTTCGATTTCGTGTTTGTAGTGCACAAAACTCTAAAAATATATATATATTTTTATGTATCTGACTTATTATGGGGTTTGCGATTGCATAGTAAGGTTGTCTGGTTTCCTATCGATAAAGACACTAATGCTAAAGCGCATTAATAAAACGGGAGGAGGAAAGACTAATTCTAAAAGTTAAGCAAAGTACGCCTATAAAATTCCTATTTCGGAGCAAAACACCTAAGAGTAAATGACTTTTTGTACAAAATGAAGCTTTCTTTCGCATTCTCTCGATAAAATATCATCCATCCAATGTCCAGTTTCCAATGTAAAGCCGAGCCTGCAACAGTCGGTTAGGGTTCCATCTTGACGACCGCTGTCCAGGAACTGGTATCACATTTTAAAATAAATTTTTCTTTGCATTATTGCATTCCTTATACTTTGGGTTTTAACGTCATGTGAATGCCTGCGACCAAGCTATGGTTGCCGTTCTTGCCGGTTAGCTTTCCATCGGCCGCACCTGTTGCAGTGCCTCCGCATTGGCATTGGCACCCGCAGCTGCTGCCGCCGCACTGTTGCAATGCTGCTGCTGCTGCGGTGTCGCACTGGAGGTCGTCGAGTCGGCAATGCTATTGGTGGTCGAGGATGATACGGCCGGCGATGCCAGCACAGTGGCCACCGCTGTTGCCGCACCGGGCGTTGGAGCCGTGGAGTTGGGCGTTGGAGCAGCTCCGGCGCCATTCGCTGCTGAACTCAAGCCGCTAACTGCTCCCTGCACCACCTTGTACCTGGTGTATATGCGATAGGGTGTCTTTGTCGTGTCCTTCTGCGGCACGGACTTGGTTTTGCTGGCAGCTCCCCAACCGCTGGCGTTGATCTGGTCCGCCATTCTGCCCAGCAGCCAGTCATTGCAGTTCTGTTGCAACTGATCGCTGACGTTCTGCTGCAGCCACTTGCCAACGAAGGTCTTGAAGCGAGCGTACTTCGCCTGGGTGACTCGACAATGGCTCTGCAAAGGATGGTATATGGTTAATATGGTTTCCCTTTTAGAATTAATGTTTTATGACCCACCTTCTTGGCACGACGCACTGCATCGTATTTGAGTAGCTTGAGATTCTTGCTGGTCACAAAACATCGTCCATTGCTGGCATTGGTGCTGATCTCGTCGCGGTCATTGAACGCATACTGCTCGGCCAGGCCCACCTGCGGTGCACCGAGTCTCTCCGGCAGACGTTTCCCGCCACTGCTGCTGCCCCAGCTATTGTTGTTATTGTTATTGCCTGTGGGGTTGGCTGCGGAACTGGTCTTCTCCCCGCTACCTTCTCCCGACGTGGTGGTCGCTGTTATCACCTGCTCGCTGCGATGACGTTTCTGTTCAAACAACTGGCGCACTTGCTCCTCGTGCAGCTGCGACCGGCGCTTGTTGCGCAGCAGAAAGCGCGCCTTGCGAGCTCCTCCTCCGGCCGGACCGCCACCACGACCAAGCTGCAATAAAAACAATGGAAAAATCAGTCTTGATTGAACATAATTGCGACAATTACTGCTGCTGGCGGGCAATTGAAAAGACGACATGCTCACAGAATTTAAAAGATTACTTGACGTTGAGTATGCGTGGGAGGTGGTGTATGTATGGTGTGTATAGAACAGATAGCAACGTTTACAACTGAATATGTGGATACAAAGGTATAGAGAACTAAAGATGAGATCAAAGTACCAGGCCAAAGACTCAAAGAAAACAAACAAGGTACAAATGGGTAGGCAATACACAAGTTCCAGTACCAAACCAAGGAGCAACTTTAAACACAATTCTTAGAGATAAGCTAGGTGGTAATTAGGTGAAACGAGGAATTCTACAATGCGATGACTTACCTTGCTTAAACTTAGGTCTGTGTGATAATTACTGAGTGGGTATGCTTGCTTGCTGCTTTCTTTCCCTAAATATATCCCCCAGAAGAAGAATTAACCAAAAAAAAAAAAAAATGCCCAAAACTCCCTCAGTAGTAGTCGGAATTTGATTTTTAATAGGCTGCTCCATTTATATATTTTCTCAAATTTCACTCTCCAGTTTTGTCCACATTTTTGTTTCTGTGTATTTGTGTGTGGTTTGTTTGTTTTTTTTTGCTTATTTTACAATTATTATTGATGGTGTGGAGTGTGTTTTTTTGTTGTGTGTAATTCTTAGGCCTATATGTAAAAATTACCGAATTTAAAAAAAGACTGATGCTTCCTTTACAAAATTAGCTACTAAACGTTATTACACATAATACATTCATTGACCGTTTTACCATTTAAGCATTACGTTATTTACAGTTAAAAACATCATCATAATTAATTATTTACATTTGTGTGTCTCTCTCTCTTTGCTAATCATCTCCTATCTCACACATACCACATACCATAGTCCGTCCAACCACCAACCAATAGCAAGCACCATTTACCATTATCCGTTATTCGTCATCCGATATCCGATAGTTATCGATATTTGCGACTTGCACTAGGCTCTAAATTCTAGCGGTAAACTCAGGACAAACGAAATCAATCAGAAGGGAGAATATGCAACAAGCGCGTGTGTTCAAACGTGTTCAATCATGTTCAGTCATGATGTACTATTTTACATAATGTTTCCGTTTATATGGATGTTTTTTTGGGGAACTACATAATAATTGAGGTGATCCTCATTTGTTAATTATTGCTTGAATTTGCTTGGACGATTTATTACATACAACGTGTGTGTGTGTGTGGGTATTGGGTGGGCGTATATGATGTGGTGGGTGGAAAGGTTGGTCGTGTCAGTGGTTTAGTGGTGGTGGTGGCGGTGGCAGGTGAAAATTTAGTTTTTTTTTTCTTTCTTTTTTTTTTACTTTTTCTTTTTTTTTTTTTATCAAAAAACAAATTTGTATTTATTACTATTTCATTTTGCAATATGACTTTTTCTTCTTCTTATTCAATGAAATTATCAAAACTATGTTATTTCAAGCCTTGGAATTGACCTGGTACGAAAAAAATAAATCGGAAAAAATGAGAGAAAAGAATGCAAAAAAGCATTAATTAGTGAGAATATTTTTTTTTTTTTTAATCTTTTCTCGTATGCGAAAAATTACATATGTACATATATGTATAATCTTTTTTTTTTATGCATACGAAATGTGGGCGATTTATAAAAGTTGGCGGCGGCGGCATGTTGAAAAATGATATTTAACAAAAATATACAAAATAGAAGAGAAGAGAAAAACAGAAATGGAACAAAATAGGTGCAGATAGGAGATACAACAGATAGGATAACCGTAAACCAATAGATATTGGGATATATGTATGTATGTATTTGTATGTTATTTACAGTCTGTCCTTTTTGGTCTAATACTGGGTCTTAGTTGAATGGTTTTTCTTTTAGGTTATGTACAGTGATAGTTCCGTTAACAAAACCAAAGGAAGAGAACAACAAACCGGGTAAGCAATCAAAACAAAACGAAAAAAAAGGATAAGAAACAAAAATCGAAATAAACAACAAAATACACAAACAACATGGTCAACCACTCTTCAAGCACACACCACAAAAAAGCTGCTCAGCTAGCTGGTCAGTGGAGTAGCAGCCACTTCCGTACACTCACCTCGGCATTATCTTCCTCCTCCTCGGTCTTTATGTCGGACGCCTCGACAGTGTTATCGTTGTTGTTGTTGCCGCCAGAACTATTGCCGCCTGGTCCGCCTCCACCACCGCCATGGGCAGGATTCGCCAATCTCTCCACATATTTGCTATACTTTTGGGCCTTCAGCACCGCCGGCTTCTCCACCTCCTCGGGGTCCGAGTCGAGCAGCTCTATGGTTACCCGACAATCGATTTTGTACTGCAAGATATATATGACACACATTAGTAATGGTTTGGAGAGAGATTTCGAGGGCAAAGGTCACTTACAATGTAGACCTTGAAGCAGTTCTCGTCGTTCATCATGTTCTCCGCCTTGCGCTGGTACGTCATCTCCCGGTCGAAGGTCTTGTAGGCATCCCGACACAATCCGCCAGTGTTGCCACGCCGCTGCTCGTTGGCGAACAGCTCCACGCAGTCCAAGGCGGCCCGCTCCGTGACGCAATACTGCAGCTGCCGCACGGCATTGGAAACGACCTGATAATCATAATCAGTAATTAGTACAAGCTAGTTAGTTAGTATAAAGTCCATTACCTTGTCCAGTGTAAAGGAGATGTAGGCATAGATGCCAAACATTTCACGCATCGTGTCCTCGAAGGTGGTCGAGTCCATGTTCCCATCCAGGACGTTCTTCAGCATGTCGAGGAAAGTAGGATAGTAGTCCTCGACCTGGACATCCGGCTTGGGCTTCAGCCGCAGAGCCGTGGCCGTGCTCTCGCGCCGATTCACCCGGCTGCGCTCCTCCTCGATGGCCAGCCGGCGCGCCCGCTCGTACATGACGTGCAGGCGGTCGCAGAGAATGGCATGGAGTCGCAGAAACAGATACCAGTTGTTGTTGGCAAAGAACAGGGAGTAAGACTCATCCTGGATTGGGGGAAAGAAACCAGGATGTTAATAAACAGTCTCCAGATTTCTAGAATCCTAATACTTACTTCATGCTGGCCTTGGGCATGCGGCGGCAAGAGCTTGGGATTCGCAAAATCAGCCGAGAGGTGCTCCTGCTTGATCTCCACATCATTGACGCTTGACGCTGGATCCTGGGCTTGTTTCGGACTGGAGGACGCTCCGCTGGCACTGGCACTGCTGGCATCTTCTCTGTGGGAGGAATGGTGCTCATCCTTGGCCTTGGCCTCGGTCGTGGACGCAGATGATGAGGCTGCCGCTGCAGCTGCCGCCGCCGCTGATGATGTCGATGGTGTGGCATCGTCCGCCGGTGACACCGATGATGATGTTGCCGCTGTTCCTGTTGCACCTGATGATGATGATGATGTTGCACCACCACCACTGGTTGACTTTGAATCGTCAGTCTCTTTTTTAATTGCCGTTCCGGAGGACGACGATGCCGCCACTCCGCTACTGCTGCTGGCATTGCTGCGAGCCGGCGACGAGGAAGCGACTTCGCTGGGTGTGCCTTTGCCGGCGGCATTCCTCGCTCCCGGCCCCGCACCCGCTCCCGCTGCCGACTCAGTCCGGCTGGCAGGCGAGTCAACGTCCATTTTCGTATTGTCATCTACCAAAAATTGAAAGGCTATATAGAGTCGCGGATCACAACACATAGAGATCGGGGTAATCGAAGTGATTCGAATGTGAGGTGGTGTTGGTTGCGGTGGTGTGCATTGCAGTCCATTGCAGTTATTTGTTTTTTTTTTTTTTTAATAACAGGTGTTTATATTACGTTACAGGTTCAGTGGTTTATCGTGTTTTTGTTTAATTAATTGATTTTTTTTTAAAGAAAAAAAGAAAAAGAAACGAAAAAAACATTCACTAAGTAAGAATTACAATCAAGCGATAATACGATTTTGTTTTTCGGAACACTCTCTCCCGGGAGTCTCAAGCCCAAATCTCCAGAGCAGCCGGATGGCGGCTCTGGGAAGTGGACTTCAAACCAAGGAGTAATCTTCCAAAAAAAACAAAATCTTGTTCTACCAAAAAAATAATAATAATGGAATGATTTTTTAATTAATTTTTAAACTTTTGTTAGGCAAGTGGGCATGATTAGTGATTAGTATTAGTTATGTGATTAGGTTAGTTAGTGTAACTAAGTGGGGAGGGGTTAGTGGACAACTCACCGTCATCGCGCTCATCATCGCTCAGCGGCTGGCGGGGCGCATAGAAGAGGTCAGGCACAAACTGGCGGATGATCTGCTTGATCTTCTGCTTCTCCTGCTTCTGGATGCCCGTCTGGCGCTTGACATGATGGATCAGCAGGTTGGCGGCGTCATCCAGTATGGTCTTGTCCTTGTAGGGTAGCACCAGATGCGGTCCGGCCGGCTCCATTGAGTCGTCCTCCTGGTCGTGCCGCTCATCGTACAGGGTCTCGATCTCGTTGAAGAGGCTCTTGGAGCGCAGGGCCTTCATGTCGTTGGGCTTGAAGTTGATGGCTTGGTGGTCCAGGGACTTGAGGTAATACTTCTCGTTCTGTTCCCGCCACTGCTTGTTGAAGGTCTACCAGGAGGAAAGATAATGATTAGCGAACTGGAAGATTATAAAGTATCCTTGAATCCTTACCTTCTGCGCCTCTCGCCACTCCTCCTCCTTGACTTTCAGCCGCTTGAGGACAATGGGCACTGCCACGGAGGGATTCTTCTTCATGCCCTGGATGATCTCGCCAGACTTGTCGCCATAGATCCGATGTATGGCCCGCTGATGAATCGTTTGCGACGTCCCGCCCAGATGATCATCCAAATGGAACTTGGCCAGCTCTTCGGTGGACATGCGTGACATTTTCTTCTGGACATTCTCCAGCACCCGAATGGTGGCACTGTTCACCTCAATGACCAGGTCCAGTTCGAAGCGCTCGTCCTCCGTTCTGTGAATATTCCTTTTGTTTAGAGTGCGCGCATTGGTTAATTGAAACAAACGAAAGCCAAAGAAACAGAAGATCCAAAACAAACTACAACAGATGCCAATCGACCAAGTCGGCGGTTAACATAAGGGCTACTATCTTAACCGCCACTTGGACCAGTGGAAAACAAAAGACCCAAGGCGGGAGAGTCCCAATTTCAGGAGGGATTTGTTTCAGAATAATGGATAATGGATATATAGATAGCTCACCTGTAGATAGTCTCCTCGAATTGGGTTTTCCGCGACGTCACAAAGGTGGAGTCCTCGCTGGCCCAGGTGGGGAACGAGACATACTTGTCGTTCAGCACCTCTCTGCAGAGCGCTGTCCGGCCACTGCACTTCTTGGGCACCGTAGACTGGGGCAGGGCGCAGTACGAGGCACCCAGACGCTTGCACGCCGACATATCCACATCCTGGACGTACTCGGCCGCACCTTGGCCACTGGCCCGATCATGGGAGCTGTTGCTGCTGCCACCACCGCCGCCGCCGCCGCCCTGCCGCTGAGTGGCGGCCATGGGCATGCCATCGATCAGCCCGCCGGCACCTTGACCCGCCGGTGGACCCAGAAAGTCGGTGAACCATCGCAGAAGGTCGGGGAACTTCATGAGGAACGGGGAAACGAGGTTCAGCAGCTCCGTCTTGGACACGATCTCCTGGTTGAAGAGCGTCAGGCATCGCAGGAAGTTGTCGTAGACCTCCGGACTCCGCAGCGCCTTCCGCACCTTGTCGAAGAAGGCGGCGTCTGAGATGGTGCACTTGCTGGAGGCCTCCGAGAAGCTGACGTCCCGGCAATATGGCTTTGGTCGCTTGGCAGGCGGTGCTCCGCTCGCATAGTGCGAGGACAGCCCATCATCGCCCTGCCTCCTCGACGCCGAGCCGGAGTTATGCTGGCCATGGAGCCCCGTGGGCAGCGGTGGCGTGGCATAGCTGATTCCCGGCGAGCTGCGGTCCAGAGAGTTGTCCGACATGTGCGGAGGCATGGAACCAATCACAGAGGTAATTCCGTAACTGGGCGACTTCTTGGTGCTGTGGCCGTGCGACATGTTCTGGTTGGGCGCGTGGCCCACATACTTCTGGACATGGTGATTGTTCCGGTGCTCCTTCTCGTAGGAGACCATGACATTGGCACCCGCGCCCGGCCGCCCGAGGTTGGTGACCGCGGCCGCTCCGGCCAGCAGGTGACTGCCAATGGCCGTGCCCCGTTGGTGGGGATGCGGTTGCAGTCCCGGATGGTAGTCCTTCTCGTAGAGGACGTCGTTCCTGGCCGTGGCATTCAGGCCGGAACCGATCACATGGTTTTGCTGCTGACTGTTGTTGTACGTTTTGATGCTGACGCTGGTGTTCACCGCCGACAGGTTGCCGATGGCCGCGGCATGGGCGCTGTTGTCGATCTGCGGCAGCGTTGTGGCGCCACCGCCCAAGTGCAGCGGCGATCCGCTGGGCGCCGGCGAGCCCGAGGACATGGTTATGTGAGCTCCGCCGCTCAGCGTGGCTGTCGGTCGCTTGGCGTGATCGTTGTGGACCGCGGCGGACTTGGACATGTACTGCCCGGACTGGTGATTGGTGGCGTCGGGCAGGAATTGGCCGAACTCCCGCAGCAGGTCCTCGTCCTGGCCAAAGAGCTTGGCCACCTGCGTGTAAACCTCCTGCTCGGTGAGCATCTTCACCTGGTTCAGGCTGCCCTCCTTCATGCCCTTCTGCTCCTTCTGGTAGGCGTGGAGGATCTCCAGGAATTTCTTGTACTTGGCCGGCTGGTTCTGGAAACGGTTCTGTAGAAGAGTGGACCTCTGTTTAGTAATGAAGGCAATGGTATGGGCTGTAGACTCACCTTGATCTTATTTACATAGGTTATGGCGTGATTGAACTCCACTGGCTGGTTCTGCTGGCCCGTCTCGCCCAGGAGGATCGACTGATGCGCCTGCTGGATCTGATGGAGATTGTGCTGCGCCGCTCCGGGCGCTCCTCCGCCATGGGGACTCAGCTCATTCAGGGAGTTGGGAGTGGGCGGACCGCCGACCACAACACTGGCAGCAGCATTCGGGACGCCCGCTGCTCCAGCCACCTGGCCCGTGGGCGTGATGGTGGCTCTGTCCCGGTCCCTGGAATAGTTCTGCGGCACATTGTGCGCCGACACTGAGATGCCAGGAGGCTGCTGGCCGGGAACTCCACCCGCTGGCGCCGCCGCACTAGTCACACTGACGTGAACATGGCCGCCGCCGGGGGATTGGGCCTGCGGTGGCGTCGCCTGGTGCTGCAAAGCGTGTATTGTGGTCTGGCTGAGCGACGCTCCGCCATGGGTCATCAGATTCACGGCTCCCGCAGACTGGATCTGCGCCACGGCCGCTGCAGAAGCCACAGCGCTCCCGGGTCCTGGTGCAGGAGTCAGGGTGGCGGCATTCGTTGTCTTGATGGCGACATGTCCAGCCGCTGCTGCCATGGGGCTGCTTCCGGTCAGCATGTGGACTGTTCCAGTGCTGGTGGGGGCTCCCGGCGGCGAGGGCATCGATACCACCGGCACCGAACATCCCAGGGCATCGGAGTGGATCTCGATCTTATAGCCCGGCGGAAGAAACATGTTGAAGCCGTAGATCAGCTCGGTGTGTCCCTTGAACAAGGTGGAGACGCGCTCAATCACTCCTGGAGTGTCGATGCAGTGCGACTTGAACTCCTTCATGATGTCCAGGAAGTTGTTGTAGATCTGCGGCTGGTCCGCGTACTGGAACTTCACTTGGTCGAGATAACTGAGGGCGTCCTCCACCTTCAGACGAGGCGTGGCGTTGCCAGGCTGCCCCTGCGGTGGGGTACTTGCTCCTCCGGGAACACTATTGCCCGACACCGAAGCTGGCGGCGTTAGGGCCGCAGCCAAGGAGGCCTGCTGAGCCGGCGCCTGCTGGGCCATGCTGGCGAGGTTGCCCACGGCACTGGCCACCGTCTGGGTGCCGCTGATTGTGCGCTGCCGGATTGTGCCCGTTTGAGAACTGCTCGATACTGTTTGCGCACTAGCTGCATTGGCAGCTCCGGCGCCACCTCCAGTCACGTGGATCTGAACTGTGTTGGGGGCGTCCGCTGTGCCGGGCTTGAGGGTTCCACCCGCCTGAATGGAAGCCACGCTATAAGCTGTAGGATGAGATACCGATTAGACTCAGTTCACAAGAAGGTTAACATTAGGATGCTTACATGTGGTATACTGTAGTGTTTGTGTGCCTGTGCTGCCTGTGGAGACAACTACGCTGCCGCCGCCTCCTCCGGCAGCTCCAACGCCTCCTCCCACCGTCTGGGTTCCGGCTACTGCTCCTCCCCCAGCCGTGGTGCTGTCCACAATGGAGCTGGTCTTCAAATTAGTGGCCGTCGGTGTGGTGGACGGCAGATAGGCAATGGTCTGAGCTCCTCCATGCTGCGGAGTAAGGATCCGATGGTGGATCGAGCTAATGCCACTGATGTTCGGGTTGTGGGCACTGGGAACAACGGTTCCTATTGTCACGCCCGCTGTATTGACGCCCACGGTGGCTGTTCCGCCAGTTGCTGACGCTGGCCCTCCTCCGGCCACGCCTACGACACCCACGCCGACACCGCCGGCTGTCGGTGGGCCGGGCCGTGTCCCGAACTGCACCTCGTCGACACGGGTGCGTTTCATCATCTTCTCGTTGTTGTGTCCTCGGTGGAGCTATTAGTTCTGTGCTCCTCCTTTCAATCTTAGTTTAGATCCTTGCCCAGGTGCAAGGACGCTGATTGGGCTGGATAGCTAACGGGGGTGCGGGGTGCGGGATGCTCCCTCACGTGCGGCCGCCCCTCTATGAGCGTATATAGTATGCAACGAACGGTCGGGGTCGCAACTCTTGGTCTGTGACTGCTCGTGGATGCGACATATGTTGTCTATGCATTTGATCGCCCCGCCAGCGGCAAATGCGCTTTAATTCGAAGGATAGAGAGAGACTGGAGTGGATGCGCCTGCTAACTATCTACTGGTGATGCTGCTGCGCTGCTTTTCCGCATCTGCCACGTAGTTCTCTTTGGATTCCACTGCAAATAAAAAACAGAAAATGGTTAATAATCTTGGTAACAATACAAGTGAGGCTATATGGTCTTTCTCCCAGCTGATTGGGCCCACACCTCAGATATATCTTTCGATAAAGACGATGATTGCACATTCCATCGAAAAAGCACCCCGAGGAGGAATTCTTCTGCCGTATCACAAAAAAAAAAAACTATAGAGTGGAAAACGATGTCTGTATTGGATTCGTGTTTGCCAGAAAAAAAAAAAGAGAAGGAGATGGATGAGGAGGAGGAGAATGTGGAGAGAAAGGTGGAGCAGCAGAGCAGCCGACCATCCAACCATCCAGCAATAACAAGAGAGTACCATACACTATATATAGTAGGGGATCTGAGTGGAAGTTGGAGTTCGTGCAACCGGAATTGGGCGCGCGCTTTGTTATTGCTTTTGGCGTTAGCTGCGGTACAGTAAATACTTCCTAAGCGAGCTTTCTACCTACATGGGGGTACACACAGACGTATGTAGATGTGTGCGTGTGGAAGGTGCCAAATGGTAAAGCCCCCCATGCACGACATCGGCTTGCATAGAATTCGCTGGGCACGCACACTCTCGAAAAAAAAAAGTCATATATATATATATATTTATATACCTCCAAGAAGGGTAGGGTGGAGCGGGAGGGGGGGGGGAGCTGCTACTGCTGCTGCTGGTATATTATTCTGTATCTACAACTTACAAGAAGAAGAAGAAGCAGAAGCAGCAGCGAACGCAACAATGCAAAGGTGGTGGTGGTGCTGTTGGCTTCTATCAGTGGTGGTGGTCGTGGTGGTGGTGCAGGCCACCAAAGAGAGCCAAACGGAGAAAGAGGTAAGGTATTTGCTAAAAAAAAAAACTGGAAAAACATTCGATATTTTTTATGATTTTTTTTTTTTTTAACAAAAACTTGGATAATATTTTCCAATTTTGTGAAATTTTGACCAAACAACGTGATTATTTCAACTCTATACAAGATGATAGACCCTTTTTTTTTCTCAAAAGGTATTTCACCCGTTTGGGGCCAACAACAACCCACCACACACACTGCCAAGTATTTGGCGGGCATTCGAGAGAGCTCTCCGCTCTTGGAGAGCCACAAAGACAAGAGAGCACTGCGCAGGCAGGAGAGAGTTTTACTCTCAAATATAAGGTGAATGAAAGTGTATGCAAAAGTTGGACAGAGGCAGAGGAAGAGGCAGAGAGATTAGAAACCGCCTGGAAGATCATCTTTTGATGGAACACCCCAACCCAACCCAGCTGCTGCTGCTGCTGCCACTGCTACTGCCCCCTTTCACGGCATTTGTAAACAAATATTAGACCTCCTTCAGTACAGCCGCACAAAAGCTCCGAGACGACAAGTCGGATCTCTTCTCGCTGGCGCTCTCTCTCTCTCTCACTGTCCGTCTCCCACCACCAACTATCCGTTCAAGCATAATCCTTCACAGGAGAGCGCACAAAATTTAAAACAAGTATCCGCACCCGCTGTCTTGATGGCGCTTTGTTATTGTACGTTTTGGATCCGCCATCATCGGCCGCCACACAGTGCATACCAAACACGTACGTCCGTCCCATCCGTCTGTCCGCACAGTTGAGTCATAAAAATAGACCACTTATCGCGCAGGTTTCTTTTTTTGTCTTTATTTTTTGTTGATTTTTTGGGTTTTTTTTTTTTTTCTTAGTAAAATACTAGTTCCGGATATTTCCCAATCTAAGAAAGTTATATTCCACTCGCGTCACTGCGTTGCTATTTTTTTGCCGTAACTGTATGTTTGGACGAGAGCGCGCCCTGGGCTCCTCCGACACACAAAATTGGGGCGTTGTGGTATGCGTGTGTGTTCGTGTGCGAGCTGGGGAGACATGTGGGCAAATTTTCCCTCCATTTTTTTTTTTTTCCGTTTTCTTTGGTTCGGTTTCAGCCCGCTCTATTACGTGCACACGTATAATGTTATCTTATCTGTTTTGTTCTGTGTATACACAGCACTGAATACGCAGCACAAAAGGTAGACAACGCAAAATATGCAAAAATGGGTAATCACTATATATTTTTTTCGCATTCCCTTCTCTCTGGCTCACTTCCTGCTCGAATATTCCATATTTAATCAACTGAAAAACTGAATTAACGGAGTTTCCCTGATGCGCGAATTAATATTTTAGTTTATTTTAGAGTTTTTTTTTTTTCATTTTTTGCATATTACTTTCGCACTCCCGCACACACACATACACTCGCACTCACTCTCGGGCGCCCGATGAGCTATTAATAAATTTTGCAAATAAAACATATGGATGTGTAGTAGAGAAATATGTACAAAATAACTAAGGCGTATACTATATAGTCGCCGCCTGCAGAAGAAAACGTTTTGTGTAAAAAAAAAAAAAAAATTTTTAAATAAAACCAATAACTGAGAACTGAGGCAAGAACAACAAACAGAAGAAGAACAACAGTCAGAACAGAATAGAGAGGGGGTTGGACATGGAGGAGAAAGATTTGAATAAAAACGGCAGGGCAGAAATGATGCTCTCATTGTGCCGTGGAGCTGTGGAGCTCTGCTCTGGCTATATTTTCAGTCTGGGGAGCCATTTAAATGCAAACACACATACACTAACACACCAACAAAACTCTCGCCAGTACATGCGAATGGCGCATCAAAGCAAAAGTCGAGATAAGCGCACGAACTGAGCACAAGAACGAATCAACGAACGAAAATAAAACGAAACTAAGTTGAAAAAATACAGTCAGTCCACGAGCAAGCCAAAACTTGCCAGTGGCAGAGAGTGTGTGTGTGTGTGTGTGTGTGTGTTTGTGTGCGAGCCGAGCCGAGCCGCTCTCCTCACCACCCTCGTCGGTGTGAGTGTGAGAGTGTATTCTGTACATACATGTACATTCTATATATACGTATGTATATGTATTGGCTGCCTTAATGCGAGTATGTTTGCCTGTGTGTATATAAACCAATTGAAATTGACCTAACCTAAAAATGTTGTATTTTTCACAAGTTTCCGTCTGCAGTCTGTTCGGAAATTTTTTGATTCCAACCAAGTGCACTTGAAGGATATGCCCCAGCCTGAATGGGTTTCCCTGCATTTTCCACACCACCCCGCCCGCGTCCCATTGCACTTACATCAGCACTAGCTTCGGTTTCGGTTGATATTCGGCTGTGTGTATATTCGAAATGTGTATGTATGTACTCGAATCGCACTCGTATGTATGTATATTTACTACAAACTGCCGTCGTTCGCTTGTTATTGGAAACTTTCACGTTTTACGCAGTATTTTGCACTACCAACTATAATATCTCGCACACGGATCCACAAATTTCAACGATTTTCCTCCCTCACTTCTTGACTAAAAGTATAGTTTTTCACAAATAATTATGTATAACCGCTGCACTAAAATTCCACTCCCGGATTCATAAATCTTATTTGGATCTTATTTAGAACACGGAGCGCGATTTAATACATTTTATTCTCGGTAAGCTTCTACTGCTATTCACACAATTTTGGTTTTGGCGAGAAAACGTTTTCGTACATCCTAACGCCGCCGCAAACATTTTTCGATTAAACGCGAGAAAAAACGAGCGGGGCTGTTACTCAGAGAAACCTCTTTGGAACCCAGAGCGAGAGAGCCCATTGTACAAACAGGGTTGCCGTTTCTCGTCCCGAACGATAGCTGGCAACACTACTCAACCAGTTGACCTATGTTTTATCTCCTATTGTTTACCTACTCTTTCATAGTTTGTTTTTAAAAATTTCAATAATTTTAATTTTTTTAATTACCTACAAAAAAAACCCTTTATCACTATCAAAAGATACATTTGATATAAAATAGCTAAAATGACAACCCTGCCCCTCGCAGCCAGTCTGGCAGAAGAGATAACAAGAGAGAGACCTTGCCCATGTATGCGTCAGTGGCTCTCTCGCGAGAGAGCGAGCGCAGTGTTGCTTTGGAATTCATTTACCGTTCCTGCCGCTTTTGGCTCAATTTCAAACAGGGTGGCAACGTAGCAGCGCAACAACCAAGACCGCGACACCGGACGCGCACTTAGCCCCACAACGAGGATGGTCAGCAATAAAAATGAACATAATACAAGTGGCTGTGAAAATGCTATCCGGCGGGCGAGCACAGGAAGCTCCCGTCGGCACGCCGCGAAAAATGGCGCATAAAATTTGGATAAGAAAGAAGCGGAGGAGGGCCTGAAGCTTACGTAAGTGCAAAAAGCACAAACAGAGAGTGGGCGTGCGAAAGAGCCGGCACGAAAGTTGCAAAACTTGTCGCCAAGGAAATAGGGTGTCTGCTCTCTCTCGAGTTACCTAGCATTACAATTGTAATACAATGGCGTGGAATCGGAATGCAGACACCCTGTGCTCTCTTTACAAGAGAGCCGCACTCCCACTCCTAAACACACACGCACACAAACGCTGTGTATACAGACGACGTCGGCAGAGAAGAGTGCGGCTGAGAGATACTATTGCAGTACATAATGAAATCGACAAAACCGAAAATCAGAAACTAGCTACAACTCTGCCACGGCTACACTTTGAGGAAAGGAAGCGCAGGTGCATCTCACCATGACAATTAGAGCTGCAGACCATGGGGCGATACTATCGACTGAGGGAGACCTTATCCAACGATTGATGAAGGTCAGTCAAAAAATATATAGTGTTTCAAAAAAAATTAATATTAGTCTTCTTTTTAGATTGAAAGATAGTTGGTCTATGAATCTATCCAAAAATATCGAGTGGATTATGATAATGGTGGAGCCACCCACTGTTTCCCCAAAAAAACACATGTTTCCTCGCATCTTAATCTCAGGAGAGCAGGCAACACAAAAAAAAAAAAATCTGTATACGCTGAAAGCTTATGGGGCTGGTGTGGCATGGAAATGGAAACCTTGCAGTTATCGATTCGTCTCGCTCATTGCGCAATGAAATGCAGCGGGGGCGGTCAGACACCGATACGGAGCGGGCTAGAGAGCACTAACCAACTACAGAGAGAGCGTGTACGTTCGTACACCTGCATCGGCGATAGGAAATGCAAATAGCAAGTGCCCAAGTGCCCGCCCAGCCAAACTCATCATCTTCCAGCCTCAAAGTTCAAAGTTCATATGCAACTTGTGCAGCGCATGTCCATGTTGCAACACAGACCCGGACTAAACTTTCAGTTCCAGCGTTGCAGGAAGGTTTGTTTGCATTTCCAGTACTAGGATAGTATTGATGTATTTCTAGGTTTCACATGTTCTAATTATTCCTGTGCTAATTTCAGATAATGTTGCAAGTACAAAGGACACAGGATGAGAGAGGTTATAAGCTCTAAAAGATACTATGATGGACTCTATGATGGATCTTTTAAATCAAAATAAAACTATCGGTGTTTAGGAAGAATCTGATGTCTAAAATATCTAATTAGTTCGTTTCGCACATTGTCGGGAAACTAATAGCTTTAGTATTCAAGTATTAGTTAATCAAAGTCATGTGTTGAATAAGGAAATAATATCTATAATGTTACGCATTCATGCTGACTTTAGTTCTATATTTTTTTGATACTTTTACGTCAGTTCTAGCTAGGTTTTAGGTCACTGGAGACATCTATATAGAAAGACACTTTTCAAGACTCCCCACCTTCAAGTTCAAGACTTTATATTGCAAAAGATCGGCGATGGCGACAAGTGTTTCGCTTCACGGGAGAAAGATCCAGAGAGTATCGAGTGGAAGTGGAATTGGAATTGGAATTGAGGTTTGGACTCCCAAAACAAATACCGAGAAATGTCTACCGTCTTCGGTGTGTCGGTGTGTGTGTGTTTGGGGAGAGTTCGGATCGGATCAGAAATGAAGTGTGCTGCGGTAACTTGTTTTTCAAGTTTACAAATGGCCAAAAGCACAGACCCAACCGAACCGAACCAAACCAGACCCCAAAAGCCTGGAGAGCCAGTCGAAATCGGACGCGCTTCATGAAAGAAAATTGGGGGGAAAAATGGAACGTTTTGGAAGGAAAATATTAAGAACATGCCACTCGTGTGTGTGTGTGTGTGTCTCAATTGGGCCACACAGAAGCAGTGAGCCCGATTTCAACGAATTATTTAATTAGAATCAACACAACACACAAATCCAACAAATTGAAGGCTGAATGCCATCTAGCTTACCTTGTGGCAAGCACACACACACATACACATTTTAAGGGGGAGAGCTGCCAACTTGTTTCTCAGGTGCTTACAAAATTAGATTTATGCAAATTTGGTCATTAGCTTATTAGGACTAGAGTTAGCTCAAATATGAAAAGATATATGATATATATGTTTTGAAAAATAAATATAAGTTGGCAGCACCGTGCAAACGCAACAATAACAAAAGGTGAACGCGGTAAACCCTCTGACTCTTTCTCACCAACACACTGGCATGCAGCTCTGTTTTGATTGCAGGCAGAGAGGCCTTTGTGTGTGATCTGCGTCATTGTTGTTGCTGTTCTCGATACCTTCCTTTCTTATTTATTGTCTGATTTTTATATGTACCCACTGTTTCTTTATTTTTTATTTCATCAAATCAACAGCAATTAAAAAATGCCCACACACAGACACAAACAAATACACACACACACACACGTGAGTTTCGCCAGATGGCGGAACTTTTTAATTCACTTTGTTCCAATACACGTATATTCGCAGAAAGCAGAAAGCAATGGGCGATAAGAACGAGTTCCACAAATACCAATAATTGAAGCTGTAACTGTAATTTGTGCTGTTCGCATAGTGCCATTGACAAAAAGGCACTGCCTCAACTTTCTAACCTCAAACCACTCGTAGCTACCGCCGACTCGTAGCGATTACCAACGCGATCAAACTTTACTAGTTTTAATGCTTTTTTTGCCACAGGAAACTTTGTTTTTGCCGCCTAGCGTAATCAGTTAAGGCGAATTGAGGTTATGGACGGCAACAGGGGCGCGCTCTTTTTATTTTTTTTTTTTGCTTTACATACCTGGTTTTTCAACTTGAGTTTCTCGGGCCTGATGAGATTTTAGCCTGTGGCTTTGTTTTCACTCGGTTCACGGTCATAGGATATTTTATTATCTTTGAATATAACTGTGGACTTCAAGGGGTTAAGAGGGAGGCGGTGGTGTGGAGGAGAAGCGCGTGAGCTTCTTCCTCTTCCTACATTTGCAACAAACACATGCAAACACTTGGCGCATCGATTTTATGCTGCTTTGGGAGCCCCAAAAAAAAACGCCCACGACTCAAATTTTCCTTCTAATTTTCCGTACGCAATGCACGTAAAGCCACGCTCGTGCTTCAGTGTGTAAATGGCTCTTTATGAAACGCGCACATAGCCGCGACGGCAAAATGCATTTGTACATGTACTGAGTACATAGAAGCCACGCCAGCCGAGTGCAGTTCGCGCGCTGCGTCTTTGTTAGCACTTATTTACCTATTTATTAAATTCAATTAGGCCGTGAAAAATGGCCAGCAAGTTACAACAACAATCTATCTCTAGGGTTGATACTTTAATCAAAATATGCACAAATCGATATCGATATCGGGGAGATGTGAGTGCATAACCGTTTCGTCTATCGATAATTGTTAGAGCTATTGCATGCGATCGATATCTTAAATTTCTTTCTCTTTCTGGCTGAATAAAATACTAGTTCTTTCAACGGTAGTTTTAAATTAAAAAGATCATAAATACCGATTTCCGAAACGGTTAGGTCTTCTAGTGTGACCATTCTTGGTTTTAGCAAATAGACCAAATCCGAAACTAGGTTGGGGATAAAATCCAGTTGGCAGCACCGAAAACTGTTTTATTTTCCAACCGCTGCACCAAGTTGGGGCTCTGTTGGGGTTCCGTTGTCTGGCTATCGTGGAGTTCGGACGTGTATGTCAGTGCCATTTGTTTTGAATAAACCGAATTAATTCAACGCGCCGCCCCAAAACTGCATATAAATAGCTCAGCCAGCGTGCAAAATAGCGGGTCGAAAGTCGAAAATTGTTAACAAGTGTGCGCGGAGGCGATTTCCCGTCTATACTAGTTGTTGAAATTATAAAAAAAAAAACACACACACACACACAGCACATAAAAATTGTTGTTATTTTACCGTGTGTGTGGCATTTAAAGTTTCCCGCAAAACGCAAGTTCGTGGTTAGTTGTTGTGGTTTTCAATCCCCCTCCAGATCAGCTCCCCACCCAGATCCCAGTTGTGCCAACAAGAAAGTCCTGATTTCCCGGCCAGTGCATCGCTAATTTTTAATTAAATTTTTAAATATTTTAAATTTTCAATTCAACACACACTGCTTACCGAATGTCCGAAAATAAAGGCATCATGCTGGCCAAATCAGTTCAAAAACACGCTGGACGTGCCAAGGAGAAGGTGAGTTCTGTTGCAGCCACGACAACCCCCCCACCCCCACCCATGTGCTCTGGGAAGGTCACTTAACTGTGCATCATCCACCACCCATCAACCCCCCCCCCTATGTAGTGTAATTCTTGGTGGGAGACTACATTCCAGTGGTGTCCCTGTCCTAGTTTCTAGCTGGGTCAACGCCAGAGGCAGGTACTTTATGGATTCCAGCTCAGAATCTCAAGAGGAGCTTCAAGATACTATATCTATTACCATTATTTAGTTTTTTAAAAGGCCTCCTATATGGTTCCCCCCCCTGACACCTGTCTTCATTTCTGGGATTTCCATTCATGAGATGCCTTACTGGCCTTTCTACCTTTCTTCCTCAGTTTTTCATCTTTCCGCCAATGCGTTCAAGTGAAAGTTTTGTTGTTTCTTTACCCCCCACCCCTCCTCCCCCTCCCCTTGTTGTTGTTTAGTTAATAAAATTGTACTACTTGCAACCAATACGTTCGAAAATGTCAATAAAGTGGCCCAAAACAGACCAAGCTGCTCTTAAAAACTGGTTTTGGAGATGCCTTCACTTCGGTTCGGATCGGCGCATTCCAAGATCTTCCCCAAAAATGCTGTAATCTTGGCCAGCTACTAGGCTACTATTCCTCTCTCTCTGTCTCTCTGTGTTGGCATTTGGAGCTGATTTCTAAAGTTCATTGGTATTAGCCCCCCCTCCCACAACCTGTGCTCGTGTTGGTCATTAAACTTGGAACCAAAAATTCCTTCTCGAAATGTCAGGTTTTTCAAGAAGATACTTAGAGTTTTAGCTTCAAAATCCGCTCTAGAATATTTCATAATTATCTTTTTTTTTTTTGAAATTTATTTTTACACAAAATGTGGCTCTCTGGTTTTTTGGGATTTTTAGATTCGCATCGGCGATGTGCTCAATTTTTCAGAGAAAAGTTTGTCGCATACTACAGATACATAGATACATTTTTTTGAGGTGCGTCGCGGCAACAAGTTTTTCTTTATTTTTCTTTTTGGCTTTTCCCAGTCAGTCAGTTAGGCAGACGCATGAAAATGTCGCTGTCGGCGTGTAGCTTTTCCTGCCTGCCTGCCAGTCAGTCTTTAAATAGACTGGCTTTTGTTTTATAACTTTACCAATACTTTTCTTAGCTTTTCTTTTTTTTTTTGTTTTTTGCAAAATGAAAGAAAAGAAAAAGAAAAACTTATAATCATCAGAAAAAAAAGTAAAAATTTCGCCCGCACTGTTTCCCCGGCTATTTGGCTTTCTGGCTATTTTTAACAAAAAACCAGAACAGCTGCCAAAATGTGCCATCCTCCGCTGGGGGGGGGGGGGCTAGTATAGCCCCCTAGTCTTAGACCCGAGATACAGTGCAATAGCACCGATTGACATTTTATTGGCAGTCTTCGATCGAAACTCAAACTTGCCTGTTGCATATTGAACTTCTCTTGTTGCATGCCACCTAAATGTCGGCATTTATTTATAAATCGAAGCACTCTCTGGCATTAAAAGTCAATGCGAATTTCGTTGTTAATTTACTAGAAATTCTTCAACGATAAATTTAGACGGAAATTGAGGGCTTGCAGATCGTCCAATATCTCCAAATATTAGTATCTACAAGATATTGTTTAGAGTTTAAGATATCAGATATTTTTTGGGCTGAAATACGTGGAAACATTTAGCGGCTGACTTCAAGAAGACTCTGAAAATTCACATGTTTATTGTTTAACTGACACTGCAGTTTGTAATTCTAGATACAGATACAAGATACAAGATACATGTGTATATATAAGTACGATTAAATATCAAGTTCTTTAGTCTGCCGAGGGGGTTACGCCCTCTTTTTTTTTGTTGTCCAGAGGGGCGTTTACAAAAGTGCTGACCACCAAATAGCTCTTATTTAGCTTTTTATTCAATCGAGCGTGGAAAAAAGATACAGATAGACAGATACAGATACAAATGGAGATGGAGAGTTGGAGCTTAAATAATGCCATTGATATAACACTATAAAGTGTTCAATTATTGAAATTGCCAGCAATCGGAGATGAAAGTGAAGGAAGAGAAGGCACTTCAAGTAGCTTTTGTGACACGTTGATTGCATAACAATCCCCATTACTTCACAACATCTCAGTTTGTCTCATTAATGCACAATTGTGCAGTTGTTTGGAAATGAAATATTAATATTCCACAAGCTATATATAAAATAGAAAAGGGAGAGTTCGAAGTTCAAGTAATGGTCTTGAAACTGGAGGGACTAGGAGGCTTCTATGTATTTCAGTTTGTTTCTAAAACTTAAAAGTTTAAACTTTAAAAACACACAGAAATCCCAAAGAAAAACAAACTAATTTCTTTTTTTTTGATTTCTTTGGAAAATGTGCGGCCTGCAAGGTCAATTACTGTTCGTGCCACACACACGCACACACCATACGGGTCGTATACGTAATTTTTTATTAGCTCACTCACTCAGCAGACACTCTCGCCCGCCGATTTGATAATCAGAAATCGAACCGAGTCTTGATATACTCGATGAGGCAGACTATCACCTTGGCCACTTAATGGCAATATTTCAGAGAGTTCTATAGAGTTGGACTTAAGGAATTTCATGAATTTCATAGAAGTTATGGGAGGTTTTAAGAGGTAAGGGTAGTAGACTTGTAGAGAGACCTATTTATATTAAAATTAATTGGTATTCATATGAATCTTGGCTTTTATTAGGCTTTCAAGCTATTCCAAGTAAGAATATTATGTATATTTTGTGAGGTTCTTAAAGTATAAGGGCTTTTATGTAGAGTTTTTTCCAAGATCAGTAATTTCTGAGTATTATATTCAACTTATTTTAATAAAAAATTTCCATTTATTTCTTGAATATTATCAGAAAGATGGGATGTTATTAGATAGTGTGGATAGTACACCTTATTCAACTCTAAAGATACTTTCTTTATAAGTAATTTTCAACAACTTCTTATGAATACATTTTTGAGAATACTATATAGTTTTATTTAAATATCTATGAGTAATAGTATGCCCCTTTAAGTATTATCTCTTAAAAGTACCATATTTGCAGTAATTTTAAGAAAAATTCTAAGAGTCTGAGACCTATGAGTAATAATTAGTGGTAGCTTAAGAATACTGATATATATGTTAGACCCCGAAATAACAGATCCATGAGTTATTAGGTTAATATTATATTAGTTTTTAATATTATTAGTTATTATATTATATATAATATATATGTATATTATATATATTCCTGCTGCTAAAACTCTCATGATACTCCAGAAACAAGCTTGGTATATTTTTATTTGGGATATTTGAATTCCTATAAGGAATTCTATTCTATAATTTCTAAATAAAAACATGTTTTTTTATTAATTATAAATCTGAAAATATAAACACTTATATTTCCATTGCCTGCTTTTAAGGGCAACTAAAAGTGGCATTGCAAAAAAGAGTCGAATTTTACCGTTTTTTTGAGTATAATAATATTGGAAAAAAACCTTTACTTTGGTAAATATTCAATAAAATTTTTTAAAAATAAATAATTAATTAATTAATTAAAACAGCGCCCTCCTCCTCGATTCTCATAGGTTGCACTTAAGCAGGCCCCAAAAATCGGAAAAATCGTGTTTTTTTTTGTAGGTGGTGGTTGTTGTAGATTGTTGTAGATGTTGTTGTAGTAGGTTGTTGTTGTTGTACTTTTTGTTGTTGTTGTAGTTTTTGTTGTTGTTGTAGTTTTTGTTGTTGTTGTAGTTTTTGTTGTTGTTATAGTTTTTGTTGTTTTTGTAGTTTTTGTTGTTGTTGTAGTTTTTGTTGTTGTTGTAGTTTTTTGTTGTTGTAATTTTTGTTGTTGTAATTTTTGTTGTAATTTTTTTCTTGTAATTTTTTTTGTTTTAATTTTTTTGTTGTAATTTTTTTTTGTAATTGTTGTTGTAATTTTTATTAATAAAAAATTTTTTTTTTTCAATTTTTTTTTAAATTTTTTTTTATTATTTTTTTTGTTATTTTTTTTTTTTTATTAATTTTTTGGTTTTAATTATTTTTCTAAATTATAATAAAAGCCACAACTGTGGTGTTTTTGAACATAGAACCTTTTTTCAAAATTTGTATTATAAGAAATTATTTTGATAATGAAGCTCCTGTGGCCAACTATATCCAATATCTGCAGTTTAAATACCATACGATATTCTTTCAACTTATTTTTAACAGATTTTAAGGAATTAGAAGGATTTAAGGTATATATAAGAAAGGAATTATAGGAAAGGATGCTAATATATTTATCTCTTTGTAGTATCTCTGTGGAGATCTCTATTTATTAGAGATCTGCTATATTAGTGATAGGTATTACTTACCTGAGTATCCTATTTCCTATCCTAACATGTCCTATTTCAAGTAATTTTGATAATATTTTGAGGAATTGGAGATCTAAGAGTATTATTTAATATTATCTGAAGTATACTTGTATACCTGTTTACCCCAGAACCAGTGGTCTCTGAGTAATAGTATTATCTTAGATAAACCCATATATCTGAGGTATCTCCACTCCCCTGAACACGAGTCTCTTGCTCTATGAGTTATGGCTAGTAAATAACTAAGTATACAGATATATCTCATATATGTACCTCCACCTAAAATAAACCTTATTATTCATAAAAAAAAAACTACACGACAAGTCACTCAAGTGTCTAAATAAATTCTTAAAAAATGTTTTCATTAAAAAGCCGAGACGGAGACAAGTCTGATGAGAGAGTACTGCCTTTAGTAGTTACCTGTCTGACCCTCAATCCCCCCCAGCTGCTGCTCCAATTTCAGACCCAGTCGGATATATATCTAGTTGTAGGAATATATAATGCATGAGCATCTCGAGACTGTGTCAGAGGGAAAAAGTGCAATTGTAGGAACGTGTCGGTGTCGGATTTAATTCATTATTTGTGTGCGGAAATGGGTAGGGAAATGGAAAATAGAAAAGCCAGTGCTATGGGGAGTAGAACAAAAGATCGGGAAACAGATCCCAGCTGCAGATACAGATACACACGCGAGACAAATAAAAATAAAAAATATAAAAAAAAAGCAAAATACTTACTCATAGGAGGGCATGGGAACCCACTTCTCACAGTGTCAGTTAGTCAACTGGTTATAATTATTATTTTTTTAAGGTGTCTTGGGATGGAAAACTGGTTGGCACTTGAAACTGCGCTTTAACTTATGCAATCATTACTAAAAATATAATTTAATATAATTTCTAAAAATTTAAATATAAATGGAAATGCAAGTTATGAGGGTGCTGGATCAGCAAATTGTTTCAAGAGAGAGAGCTGATATATATATATATTTTGTAAGCCATTTTTTAGCTATTTCAGCTTAATTGTTTCGTTCTCATTTTTTGTATTTTTTTTTGTATTTTTTGTGGAGCTTGTTACGCTCAAATGAATCTCCCTCCCCCCAGGTGCTGGTGCTAGTGGGCCATTAGCATGGGAATTAGCATAGATCTGGGTTTTCGGAGGGGCCAGCTCAGGTTGGGCAACCTTGAAGCTGCATTTTGTTGCAATCAGGGACAATTGTTACCCACCGCAGCAAGTGCACTCACAGATGATGATGATGATGATGATGATTTCCCAGTTAATTTCAATGAGGCTTTCCAAGGGGTCGGATTTAGTGACTTTTTCAATGTCAGTTGCATAATTCTCAGCCAGTTCATTTTGAAAATTGCATTAAATGGAATCTCAATTGAGTTGAAAAATCATCCAAATATTATATAGAAATAAAACCACAAAACTACAAACTATATCGTCTGTGAAATGGTTTATTTTCTTTTGAAAAATATTTCCAGCTTTTCGAATCAACTGGAAAATTTTGTAAATATTTTCGCTGGCAGCTGCATGGGTTTGTAATTAAAAGTTCAGTTCAGTGACTTGCCTGTGGCCACAATACACAGTGAGAAACAAAAGGCCACTCGGCATGACGTGTTTTTCCCTTAAATACAAACTCATTCCCCTTATCTTCCAGATTTGCCCATTTTTTGGCCTCTTGGCTGATAAGAAGCCTTGAGGCCTCATGGTTCATGTTGTTCTGTAATGGAATCTTATCGGCCCAGATCGTGTTTGGTCGGCAGGTTATGCAATGGACTATATATTATATATCTCAGCTAGATCGAACTCTAATGCCCAACGATCTTGACCCATTTTCCACGTTCCAGTGATCATCACTAACCGTCACGTGCCATAAACTATACATTTTATTCAAATCACGTGCTCTAATGGCCAGAGAGCACTTGGCATTCCAATGCTAAGTATCTGAGTATCTGAAAGATACTGCCGACCAGTGCTAAGTACTGGCTCATGATTTGACCGGAATTCACAAATATATTGGCAACGAGAACACTTAGTGGCTGTATCTTTGTGTCTGTCTAGTAGTTTTCCCAATGACTTGTGATCGATTAGCACGAATATCTGACTTGTGTAACCCAGAAATAAGATATATAATGTAGAAGGGCAGACTACAGAGTCTAGAGACTCTACAGATTCTATATAGACTATGAATTATTTTTATTTGTTCGTATACCTCCTCTAGAGTCTGAAATCTAGACACTTTGAAAAATTACATAAACAGATAATAATAATAACTGCACACATACTGCCACTGGAACCTGTAGCCATGCAAAAGTATCTGTGAGATACGCAGTTGAGACAAGCTTGAATAACTGTCGCGACGGAAGCCAAGTGTAGCTTTTTATTTATCTGAGAATTGCCATAAGAACCTGTCTCTCGAATATCCGGTTGAGAGTTTTTTTTTTTGGCTAAAAAGGAGTATCTAATAGATACTCTATATATTAGTGAGAGATACACTTGTGGCCTACTTGCAGTTGCCAAACGAAAACGAGGTTCAATTAAGGCAATTATCATAAATATTCCATTTGAATTCATAGCTGCAATGATCTGAAAATAGCCACTGAAAGCTATAATATCTATGAGATACTCAGTTCTAAAATCTATGTATCTGTTAAACCCGTTTTTTTGGGGTTAAGATTTCTCTACTAATTAGCGCATAACTCCCCAGATTCCCCAGACTCCCCAGAAATTTTCTTTCGGGCCAAGACTTTATGGTTAATGCTAATTGATAAATCACATGACAAGAAGACGTACATATTAAGTATGAAATAAATATTAGTTTTCTATCTGACATCTGGCTAGTAGCTAGTAGCTAGATACACCCTTTCCAAGCCCCCCTTTCTGTATATATCTCCCCATTCCTACTCTCTTCAAACTTTCTACAAACGAGTTTCACTTTCCACTTGCCGCCTGAGCCGATTTGGCCAAAGAAAGCGCTCCAAGAAAGATACGATTATGCAAAGTGGGTAGGGGGAGGGGTGTGGGGAGGGGAGAAGGGGGATCTGATATCGTTTATTGATCAAAGTTGCGTAATCTTTTGAATATGATTTACATATGTAAGCCAGAACTCCAGCACTCTCTATAGTGCTTCCTAGAGATCACAGGTTCCCAGTCATATGACTCTATAGAGTCTATAGATCTTTCTCGGGGTTTGGGGGTTGCTTTACTTATCCAGAGGGGGGGTACAGATATAGTATCAAGTGAAAAACCGGTTACTGCCCACAAATAATTTTTCGCTGTCATCATCGGCGAGTCAATAAGCTCCGCTAACCAAACGGGCCAACAAGTTCCAACTTCCAACAAAAAAAAAAAAAAATAGTAATAATAATATGTACTTTTGTGGTAATGGGTTAGGTCTTTTGCAAAAAAACAAGATACAGATACATAGATACAGACTGGTCTGTACTGTGCTGTGCTGTGCTCCCTCGACCCCACTTTTCTCCATTTCTCTGGCACATTTTTCTCTTTCTCCTTTTCTCAGTTTCTACAAGTTTTTCACAATTGTTCTGCTCTGTACTTGCAGATACTTGCTACAAACCTAGGGTGTAGCTACAAGATACAAGATACAAGATACTAGATAGCTCTGAGATTTAAAAAAAATTTCATAAATTATTTTAGAAAGTAAAAGCACGTTTAAAGCCAAAATTTGAATAACAAATTAAGAGACACGAGCTCGAGCTTTGTTATTATTAGAAATAGAGAGTATTAGTGGCTTCGATATAGTGCCAGAGACTTGTTGCAACTGCCACTGTGCCACCGACTGTGCATTCTTTTCAACTGAAAAACTGGGCCAACGTCTGCTTATGGCCAAAACGTACATGTAGACTTAACTCTTGTTTTGTTTGCACTTCGCTGAACGTTCCGATTCATTTCATTCGATTATTTGTTGCATTTGTTGCAAGTGGCAGATACAACATCTGTGTGGCTGGATGTTGTCATCCAAGCATCCCACACAGCATCCCCCACGCCCATGCCATCCAAAACAAGGCATGGAGGTCGTTCATGGCCCAGACAGAGAAACTGGTTGGAAGAAGTTATCCAAAAGATAGGCCCACGTTTGGTAATCCAGACTCCTCCTCCTCCCCAGAGATTGATGAAAAGTGACCCTATGGTGACCCAATATCGCACATGTTGCATGCCCAATAGATACACACTCTAGTATGGATATATATATGTATCTAAACCCCCTATATAGACTATATATATATAGATATATAGACCTGTCTAGGCGCACAAATATGATTTTTGGCAAGAGATCTAGAGAGAGAGGCCCGAGATACCGACTATCTAGAGTGGGCCGAGAGATAGAGAGACCCGCCTTCGAGTGACAAATATGCAGAGGCAGCCGCTCTATAGATACTACTATATATATAAGACTATATATACGCACCTCTAAATATACAAAAAAAATATTCAGAAATTACCAAAGAAATGTGTGACGCAAACGGTGACAGGCTGGGAGAAGCCACAGAAACGGAAGTGACCAGCCGCAACTGTCCTTGTTGTTGGCCATTATAGAGCTACCTGCTGATAAGGCTTTAAGTATTGCCAACTCCCACTCCACTAACTGAGTCTTACAGACCTGGCCATACTAGGGAAGGTCTCAATTACAAAAATGGTCATTAAAATCATAAAGTCTTAGCGTGGCGGCAACCAGTTTCTTGGCCAAGACAGCTCTCTAGTCTTGGCCATAAAAGGTAACTGCACTCTCGGGCCTCGGGCCCAAAATGTAAGCCATTCAATTGCCGGCCACTAGTCAATAAAACACTTGTTAGCATTTTGAATAAATCAACCGATAAGATATGCTAACTTGTAGGGCCTTTTGGCCGACAAACTTGTCGGATACTTGGCCCCATCTGCGTGCCACATGTCGCGGCCCCATTTGACAATCCATCATAACGGGTCTTAAAAAACCAGTGGTCATAACCAGTGGTTGCCCTCGGAGGAAGTTCAACTTCCAGATATATATATATATATATATATGTATCTGAGGTATATACATATATGTGTCTAATTATCTGAATCTGCCGCAAAATTCAATTAGGCAACTTTGTTATCTGGTTGTTGCTTTTGTTTCTTGGCCAGCTCTGATAGGAGGAGGAGGAGGCTAAATATTTGGCTAGAATTCTGTTGGCAAATAGATCATTTTTGCTGCTTATCGGCGACTATCTAGCTGGTGTTCTAGACTCTAGAATATTGCGTATACGCACAGATGGCCGGCCAAGACGGGTGAGGCGTGGGTGTTGTTGGTCTGGAAACTGTTACAAGGCTGAAGGTGATGGCCTGTAACTTGTTTCAGCCTCTGGGCCATATTTCCTGTCAGTTCTTCTTTAATTGGTTGTTGAAAGGCCATTAAGTGCCAGAACAAAAAGAGGCCTAAAAGGTCAGAAAAAAAAACAAGATTCTTAACCCAAATGATGACAACGGCACTCTAACAGACTCTTGAAAAATAATGATATATGGCTTATATCACTTAACTTGTACCTCTTGTATCTTGTATCCTAAAGATTCTACAAAATCTTGGAAAAGTGGATCGCACTGCCGATGAAATCTTCGACGATCACCTAAACAACTTCAACCGCCAGCAGGCGAGTGCCAACAAACTACAAAAGGAATTCAATAACTATATACGATGTGTTCGAGGTATAATAATGATTTTTCAACTCAATTATAATTTAATATATATGCTAATTCTATATATATAGCTGCACAAGCCGCCTCCAAGACACTGATGGATGCCGTTTGCGAAATCTACGAGCCACAGTGGAGCGGATACGATGCCCTTCAAGCACAAACCGGAGCCTCGGAGAGCCTGTGGGCGGACTTTGCGCACAAATTGGGGGACCAAGTGCTCATACCCCTCAACACATACACAGGCCAGTTTCCAGAAATGAAGGTATCCAGAATATAGTTAGTCTCTTTAGTAAATAATATTACTAACTTTTATAATTTTTTTTGCAGAAAAAAGTTGAGAAACGCAACCGGAAGCTGATTGATTATGATGGACAGCGTCACTCGTTCCAGAATCTGCAGGCCAATGCCAACAAGCGTAAAGATGATGTCAAGGTGAGGTCTTTACATTATCCTTTAAGATTATATAATTAAGGATATATATCCCCTGAAGCTAACCAAAGGACGTGAACAGTTGGAGGAAGCCAGACGCACTTATGAGATTCTGAATACGGAACTGCATGATGAACTGCCAGCTTTGTATGATTCGAGAATACTGTTTTTGGTTACCAACTTGCAGACCCTATTCGCCACAGAGCAGGTCTTTCACAATGAAACCTCCAAGGTGGGTTCTCCTATATAATTCTCTAGACTATATAGATACTTATATCTTGTATGGCTATCCAGATTTATTCGGAACTGGAGGCTATTGTCGATAAGCTGGCCACAGAATCACAGCGCGGATCAAATACCCTACGCAAGCAAACTAGTAAGTCTACATCATCATATTCTATATATATATATATATCTGATAAGAGATATCTTAACAGGCAATGCCATCAAGACATCCAGTCCAGTGCAGTCGCCGGTAAACAAGCTCAACAACGCCAACATCAACAGCAGCAACTACCAGAATCAGATTACCACCAACGGTGGCTCCAGTCTGGCCAACAGCCGTAAGTCCATAGGGCCTATATAGTCCTTTAATCCTCTATATGATATATATAGTATGAGGATGATCCTAAGTACTTTATGTTATTTATTGATTTTTTTATTTTTCTGCTTTCCTTTTTTTTTATTTTTTAAACAAAAATTATAATCATTATAAATTGCTCAAAACTGTACAAACCAAACCCATAAACAAATCCATTAAAGTTTAAAATATATTTCTGAAATCAATGTACAAAATATCCAAAAAAAAAAAAAAAAAGAGCTCAATATTATACACAATATATAGAATATATATACCTACTATATTATATAAAATATCTGCACTATACTATCTGCATATACTCTAAAGGAATAATGATCTAGTTTTTGGCAATTTATATGAAAAATTTTTGTTTTTTTTAACTAATTTGTGTTAACCTTTCGAGTTTTTTGAACAAATTTTGAAACTAAAACACGATCTGGCGATGCGAAAACATTCCATTTGTAAATAATGGCTATCTGGGCTGGCTTATAATATAATATATATAGATAATATATATAGATGGCGATGGGTAATCCCTCCCAGCAGCACTCCCTCCTCACCTTGTAGAGAGATGAGTTTGGATGGAAGCCATGGAAGTGCGATACTACGAATGGAATGTTGCATGTTCCATAATGCTATGATTGAGTTCTCAAGACCCCTTGAGGCCCTAACTTGCATGTCCTTTGCAGTTTTTGATTTGATTTTTATTTTTATTTTTTGATTTTTAATCCTTTTTTTGTTTGGAATGATGCTAACCACACCACAAAAAAATAACCAATCGATACACTCGTCAATCAACAATATCACAAAAAAAAACAATAAAAAAAATACTATAAAAAATAAAAAATAAAAAATCGAAACACATGGGATTATATGACAACAACAATTAGCAACATCCACCAACTCGTCGCTGCAAGAGCCGAGATTTGATTCAGTTTCTTCAACACCAGAACCGTCTCCGACTCCGGATTCCCCAACAGCCTCGAAGCCCAGTAGTAGTCCCACGGAAAACGGTGCAACCGCAAAGCCAGTGGAGCGTCCCGAGCTGACAGGTCTGAACGGATCAAGTGGCACCAAGACCAGCACCACCACCACCCAGACCTCGCCCAGCACGGAGGAGCCAGTAACCGCAAAGGCAGTGCCAGCTGGGGACTTGGCACTACCACCAGCCGTGGCACCACCACCAACACCCCAAGTGAACGGCAACAACAATGAACCACCCACCACCCCCCATCCCACAGTGGCAGGTGCAAAGGAGGGTGGCGGTAAGCAGCCGAAGGAACTGCCAACCACCAACAGCAATGCCGAGGCGGCGGCTGAGGCGGCGGCCAACAATGGCAACTCGATCGAGGAGCACAAGCAGAAGAAACTAGGTAATGACACCAAAACAGTCACCCAACCGACAGACACAGTCACCCAGCACTTAGTTACATCTACCGATCCAGATACAGATACAGATACCAAATCAGTAAATACCGATAAAGATACTACCAATACCAGTCAGAGCACAGTCACAGATCCAAGTCCAAGTCAGAGCATTAGACCCATAGTTAATAGACACAGCGGTAATAAGGCTAATAAGAATCCGTTCGAGGAGGACGAAGATCGCATCTACGAGGTGCCCGCTGGTGAGTAAACCTCCAGAAACGAGTCCACTGGGTGCCCGCATACGTTGTCTATCTCTGTAGTCACTATCTCTCTACTCTCTATCTCTGTCTCTCTATTTGCATCCTTTAAGTCTCTAGAGGATCAAAAAATCTAATCCTATTGTAAACTAAGCTTAGTTCTTTGTGAGTGTTGTTTGGCAGGCCTCACCATTGGATCCTACTCATCTCATTTCCTCCTCAGACCCAATGGGCCTGTGTACACCATCTATCACCTGGTATCTCGCTAGTTAAGGTTTAAGTCCAGGGCTGGTGTCCTCCCACAAGTATGTAGGTTGTACAATTATCCTAGAGAATAAGCCACATCAAACCACATCGCATGCACGTTAGTTGCCTACTATCCCCCTGCTATCCAAAGACTAACTAACCACTTCGCGTATGAAAGCCTAACTAACCCATGTTCTGGCCAGGATTGCGTTCTAGTTGCGTTCCTTTTGCGTTCGTTTGTCTACTAAACACGGATGTACTACACACCAAGCCAAGATCCATGTCCTTAAGTCTATATATATTCTATATTTTTTTTATCCAAAAAAATAGATGCCAACACCGCTGACCTGCCGGCCGGCGTGCTCTACCGCGTCAAGGCCACCTACGGCTACGTCAAGGAGGATGTGGACGAGCTGAGCTTCGAGATCGGTGACATAATTCGCGTTATTGAGTACGACGATCCCGAGGATCAGGTAAAGTCATAGGGTTTCGACCCTCTAGAGTCTATGGTACTATATTCTGGCAGATTGGCAGAACTATAGTCTGCCCGGATATAGCTTTGAAACTTCGGATATCGAAGATAAATCCTTCCTTGAGCTTTGCACGCGCTAGTCTCCCCCTCCGCGCCAATATGCAGACCTCGGCACTTCCTTTCTTTATTGAGAGCAGTTCTTTGTTGCCAATTTGCAGGAGGAGGGCTGGCTGATGGGTCAGAAGGAGGGCACCACCGAGAAGGGACTCTTCCCCGCCAACTTTACGCGTCCCATCTGAGCGGCCCCCGTAACGGAGGAGCACAGGAGCACAGGAGCAACCGAGCAAGCAACGAACCAACTTTAAAACCAACAACAATTATATTTAAAAAAAAAAAAAACCAACACACAGTTTTCGAGTGGAGATCCTCCTCCCAATTTACATTTCGGCCAAATTTTTTCAATGTGAGCGCTGCTTCAACTTTTGTCCATTTAATAAATTCTTGTTTTTGTGAATTGTATTCTTGAAATTAGCAATCTTTTGATTGATTGTTAGGCAGTGCTTCCAACTAAACAAAAAAAAAAAAAAAGAAAATCTATTTAATTGTTAACAAGAGAACCACAAAAAACAAAGGTGAAGTCTAACACACAGATGATGATGAGGAGGTATATATTTTGAAAAGAATGTTTCAAACATTATTTTTTAGTTCTAAGTTGATCAAACAAAACAAAACAAAATCTAATTATACATACACATACATATATTATTTGTTAATCATATTATTGTGCTCATAATTAATGCGAACAAAGTGTATCTAATTTGTAATTTGTTGAAAGGACATTGAACCACAATTTGAAAAAAAATCGCATATCACTCGAAAGCCAGAAGAGTAATTGTTAATCCATAGGATGTCTTTAATGAGAAGAGCCTGAACCTTTTATATGTGTATTTTGAAAATATTTAGTACGAGTTTTTTATAGTCAATTGATTGTATTTTTGGGGTGATACTAAAAACAAACAAAATGGCCAGTTGAAATTTATCTTTTGGGCGTTGCCTACCAGTTCTCCCCCTGAGTTTTTGAAAATCGTTTTTCAAGTAACCACTATTAACGTCTAGCTATTATTTTTATTTTAATTCGTAATTTGTGTAACTTTTGTTTTTTCTTAATTATCGTCAGAGAGAGACTCGAACTAGCTTCAGCTTTATAACACGAACACAATCCAATAGTCACTAACCGATCGATTCGATGTTTTTTATTTTAACTTGATTGTAAATCGCATACGAAACCCGAAATAATTGTTTACATTTTGCACACTGTAAAGTTATTTTAATTTTATTTAATTTAATACCTATTTATCGCATGAACATATTGAACAAATGATAATAATTTACAGAAATGCAAATAAAACATAGATTAAATAAAATTGTGTGTCGTTTTTGGATTTGGCGGGTCCTATGAGACATTTTCCAACACTATATTAAAAGTCTCTTCAAGAAATTTCTATATTGGAGTATGCCAGTGGATTGGATAATCGCAAATAAATGTTTTTCTATTAAAAAGAAATAAAATTAGGGGGAGAAAAGCTTAGGTAATGAGCTATAACCACCGATTATCGTTATTTTTTTACCCGGTTCATATTGCCCGTCCCGTTTCAGGAAAACTATCGATAGGAACAATCGCCCGACTTAGTGATGGGTTGCCACAATTTTCAAAAATATCGATGCATCGATGATACCATTTTCCATCGGTGTATCGATGCTTCTCCACTCTAGTAAAGTATACGGTCGTGCGTCAAAAAGCGAAAAATGCAAAATTAAATATGTTGTGAGTAGCGAGAAATGCAAAATCGAATATGTTGTGAGTTACGATCGAGAATCCCGTCCCCTCGACCACCGATCACCCATCAGCGACCTCCGGTATCCCCTGGGCGGCCGTCCAAAGATTTTTGCTCGCCCTGAAAACCGCTGAAAACTAGTGTAAAGTGCGCTTTTCGACCCAATTGCATGGCCCGGTGGTCATTAATAGGTTGATACCGACGTAATTGTTAAACAATCGCATCGGCGAATCGTGTGGTTTTGCGGATTGCTTTTCTACCCAAAATTTTTTCATGCTCGTTTTTGGCCTCGCCCGTCGTCGTCGTCTGTGTGTATTCGTTTCGCCGATAAAGCAGTGCCCGATAGCGGGTGACAACACTGCATGCGCACTGCTTGCCGGAGGAAAACACCAGCTACCGAGAGGAGAAAAAAAAGGCAGATTTTTTTTTTTTTGCAAAAAGTTTGCACGTTTGTCGCGGGGTGGTGGGTTGCCGCCTGGTGTGCGATATATATTTTCGATTCTAGCTCTCGGTTCTGTGTCCAGCTAGCTAGCAATAATATTACAAAAAAAAAAACTGAAAACGGGGTTAAGCTAAAAAGGGGTTTTTCCGTCGGGGGGGATGGGGATGAAGGTGGCCTGACGGCTGACGGATTGTGGGTGGTTGGGATGGTCGTGTGTTTACCTTAGCCAATATGATGATTTTCCGATGACTATGATGATAATGATTATAATGATTATGAATTTGCCACAGAATAACCATATTATCAAGCGTTATTATTATCTCTTTGTCTTTTTACTTGCAGTTCCACTGCATACAGAAAAATAAACAAATACAAGAAGCATAAAGTATGCAGAAAATTAAATACAAAAGGAGCCACTAAGTGTTTCGTGTGAAATCAATTTAAAAAAGTTCGTCGTCGTCGTTGTCGCCGTCTCGTACATACTTTTACGTTCAATTTTTACCAATTATACACTACAATATGAATATATAAAAAAAATATTGTCATAATTTTTCATACGACAACAACAACAACAACAGCAACAACAACAAAAAAAAATTTATAATAATACAATACAAGTCAAAGTTTGTAAAGAAAGAAAAATAATAATAAAAAGCACCAGTAAACCAACAACAACAACAACAACAACACGTTCCTTAAAACTAATGTTTTCCAAAAAAACCGCAAAAAAACCGACTAATCGTAATGCTTTTGAAATTAGTATAAGAAACTAAAAAAAAAAACCCCGAAAACTTTGATAAAAAAAAAACAAAGAAATTAATGAACTTTTTCGAGAAAAACAGATACTTTTTTGTATGACATATAGTGGCTAGAAGATATATATATATTACTAAGGGGACATTCTGGAAACAACACCTTGTTGGAGAATCCCGCCTCCGTCAGATATATATGAGTAAGTAGAGCTCTCTCCCTGATATAGAATCTCTGCCCCACTGTACATAAACTAGACTTTCCGATAAGACCAACCATAGCTTTGGGGTCTAGTGACTAATATGCTGGTATTTCCGATCCAGGATGAACTCCAGAATAGTGCCACTTGATGGAACTAAATGCCCAGTAGCCTTTAAAGTCATCTAGAGATTACGGAGACAAATCAAATGTTATCTTTGGAGAGGTTTATCATGTGCATATAGAGTAGATAAGGTAGATATATCTTTTACTTTCCAAGTGGCATGATATATCTGGCGGGGTATTGCTAAAAACCACTAGAATGCGCCAATTCGGTCCCCTTCGGGCTGCTAATTAGATTTTGTGGCTTTGCTCAGTTCTTTAGGTTCTCCCCCACCCCAAACCTAATCCTGGGCCATAGCCGGTCTAGACCTAGACCATGACTTCTCTAGTCGATCTCTCCAATCACTGATTTCCATTCCTGTCATCGAATACTCCTCAGACTGTCGTCTGGATGACCATTCCATCGATATGGTGCTTTGGGGAAGAACCTTGTTCCGACCCTGTCCGTGTATTTGGCAACAAAATTGGATTAGCAGGCACTCGATATGGGAAATAAAGTGAACCTATATAGGGGTCTAGAGAACCTATATAGCTATCAAGTCCATGAATGAAGGGTATAACTTTATAAATATATATTTTATAGAGGAGTAAGGTCCAATCTTTAGATGAATCATGTTTTTGTAGAAAATATTAAGCTTTGAGGAAATCTGGTCCACTCTTGGGTGAACCTAAGAAGCCATACATTTACCAAAATCAGCTTTCTGCAATGAACTTGGCCTAGAGGGGCGGGTGTCTAGCGGTTGGTCACTTCCTCAATCTGTTGCCACCTGAGGCGGGTGATCGGTGCATGCGCGCAGAGAGCAGAGGCCCAAGTCCAAACCAAACCCAAAGCCAATGCCATGGACAGAGGAAAGCCTAGGCCTAGGTCGTCGTCATCGACACCCCAGCCAGGTGGAAAGGTATCTGGTGGGGCAGGCAAATATGAAATGTTAATTGCCAGTACGGGACACAACGTGGCGAACTCTCGTCGAGCTAACAACTCGAGTGGTCCGTAGAATCAGTGCCCCAAAATACCATTATTGTTATATAATCAGAGTGATCCTAATGCTTTCGTTACCTCATTACAGATAGTCTCTGGATCGTCGTGGTCGTCGTCGTGTTCGATGTGGTCTTTGTTCATTCGTAGTCATCATTCGCAGCCTCTCCGAGTCACCCAAATCCTATATTGGACATTGGCATAGGACGATCCTCGTATATATATATATATATATCGTAAGCAATAGCCAAAGAGTTACGGGAGCCAAAGTACAAATGCCTCAATCGTAATACCCTGGTGAAGACGGGTATATTCGATCGGTAGTCGGCAGGAAAGGAAAAAAATCGCCCTCCCCCCCCACCACCAACGCAACCAATTAGATTAGGGCTACTACCGGGCTACTGAGGGCTACAGCGAGACAGAGGTGACTGTCCAGAACGAAGAAGGAGGAGGAACAAACCACCCAGCCAGTTACCCACCCACTATACCCACACACACACACATCTATATCTATCTATTCTATACGGAACGGAGCAAGTTGAACGTAGTAGTGGCTACAGTACGCGAAAGCGTCCACAAATCTAGTTAGCATGGAGTGCTGTTTATCGGAGGAGGCCAAGGAACAAAAGCGCATCAATCAGGAAATCGAGAAGCAGTTGCGCCGAGACAAGAGAGATGCACGTCGTGAGCTTAAATTGTTGTTGCTGGGTAAGTGGTTTAATTATAAATTATAAATTATAATTATAATTATATTTTCTTTTTGTTAAAAATCATTCATCACAGGCACTGGCGAGTCCGGGAAGTCAACGTTCATCAAACAGATGCGTATTATCCACGGCAGCGGTTACTCGGACGAGGACAAGCGTGGCTACATCAAGCTGGTCTTTCAGAACATATTCATGGCCATGCAGTCCATGATCAAGGCCATGGATATGCTTAAGATATCCTATGGCGTGGGCGAGCATAGCGTAAGTATTTAAACTTATTGAGCTTGAATATCTTATGGAATACCTATCCTACTTGCCACAGGAACTGGCCGATCTAGTGATGAGCATCGATTACGAAACAGTGACCACCTTTGAGGATCCATATTTGAATGCCATCAAAACGCTATGGGACGATGCTGGCATCCAGGAGTGCTACGATCGTCGTAGGGAATATCAGCTAACTGATTCAGCCAAATAGTGAGTTGCCGAGAGTCCATCCAATGACTTCTACCCGAGACTGAGACTGATACCGAGACTGAAATATATATATTTCATTACTAAATCATATTATCCTTTGTAATACAAACAGTTATCTAAAGGATCTCGATCGTGTGGCTCAACCTGCATACTTACCCACTGAGCAAGACATTTTAAGAGTTCGTGTGCCGACAACAGGGATAATTGAGTATCCCTTTGATTTAGAAGAAATCAGATTTAGGTACAAGCTACACCCCCCAATTAATTGCATGTCTGGTTTTGGTTTCTTGTTCTTAATTCTTAAGATCTTAGTTAGTGAGTGATCTGTTAGGGGACTGGGACTGTGAGACTGTAAGACCGTCTTATAGACTTGGTTGTGGTTCGTTTTATTTTTCAAAATCTGCATGTTAATCCCTTAATAGCTATCTGAGCGACCTGGCTCGCATTGAGCAGGCCGACTACTTGCCCACCGAGCAGGACATTCTGCGTGCTCGTGTGCCCACCACTGGCATCCTCGAGTATCCATTCGATTTGGATGGCATTGTGTTTAGGTATAATTTCCATAATATTAAGCTTTTAATTGCTAAAAAAAAAGGCTATTAACCCTGTATAGGTAATCCAAAGGCTAGTAGTAGAGTATTTTTAATAAATTAATTATGCTTTTAATGCTTATTTTGCTTTTAAAAACTAAATCTTAAGAAACCTACTAATAATATATATCTAATCCTATCCAGAATGGTGGACGTCGGAGGTCAGAGATCCGAGAGAAGAAAGTGGATTCATTGTTTTGAGAATGTGACATCAATTATATTTTTGGTAGCGCTATCGGAGTACGATCAAATCTTGTTTGAATCTGATAATGAGGTAAGTCTTATAAATTATATATTAAAGAAATATTTAATCATTAATATAATATCATCTTTATAGAATCGAATGGAGGAGTCCAAAGCTTTATTTAGAACTATTATTACGTACCCATGGTTCCAAAATTCGTCAGTTATTCTCTTCTTGAACAAGAAGGACTTGTTGGAGGAGAAAATTATGTATTCGCATTTGGTAGACTATTTTCCAGAATATGATGGTAAGTGCCTGAGGTCTGGACCTCTAGTTTAACTAAATGGTTATGAACGTGGATGACTTTTAATGTGGATGACTATCAGGTCCAAAGCAGGATCATGCTGCCGCCAAGCAGTTTGTTTTGAAAAAGTACCTGGCCTGCAATCCAGATCCCGAACGTCAATGCTATTCGCATTTCACCACGGCCACAGGTGGACCTTTCACCTTTAAAATACTATATTAGTTATTGGCCTTTTATTGCAAAACATCATCTGTAGTATTAGTACGCTAGTAGTAGATAAATGCTAGTTATAACATTTTGGAAACATTTTGTTTGGCTTCTCATTCCAACAGGTCCGCAACGAGATGCAATAGCGGCCCGAGAATTTATACTGCGAATGTTTGTAGATTTAAATCCAGATTCCGAAAAAATTATCTATTCTCATTTCACCTGTGCTACAGGTAAGTCCATACAGATAAGGCTATTTACACAGAGTGTGTTGGGGTATTATACCATATATCATTTGCATTTGCTTTTTTTGGCGCCCGAGTGTAGAGTATTGCTAGAGAGATACTACTTTGAAATTGTTAATTTATTGGTAAATATCTTATGTTGGGAAACAGATACCGAAAACATCAAACTTGTGTTCTGCGCTGTCAAAGATACAATTATGCAAAATGCACTTAAGGAATTCAATTTGGGCTAAAAAATAAAAATAAAAAAAGACAATCATGTGGCGAACCAGAAGAGGAACCAGAACTTGCAATGCAAATGAATAATTGATTTGAAATGTATTTCTTTTGTTAATCTTTAAATAAAAATAAATAATTATCCATTTATTTTGTGAAAAGAAATAGTCTCTTTTTTTTAATTCTTTGATATATTTTTAATTTAATTATCTAATAATATTCTATTTTTTTTTCTCATTTAGATACGGAAAATATTAGGTTTGTGTTTGCAGCTGTTAAGGACACGATCCTGCAATCGAACCTTAAGGAATACAATTTGGTCTAAACTGGATTTGGATCAGCAAACTATTTTTGTGATTTTTATACAAACACACACACACACACACACATACACATTCATATAATTCCTTTTTCGCATATTTACTAAATATAAAAAAAAAAGATTTAATAAGCGAGATCGAATGTGGCCGAAAAATAATAAAAAAAAAAACGTTTTAGGCATTAATTAGACCCGAGAAAGTTTCTTTAGTTTGTAACATCAGGAACCGAAACAAAAAACAACAAAAAACAAAAACAAATTGTAGCATAAATAGAGTACTAAAAACTGAGATGATAATATATATACAAGAAACCAACACAACCAACATATATACATTTTAATTTGTCGAGTGAAGGAATAATAATAATAAATGCAAAATCTGATACAAGTACTAAACCAGGATGACAACCGATAGCCCGGCCAGAGCAGTGTTTTTCTATTTTTTTTAAATTAAGATTATGAACCATTTATTGAGTGCAATAGATTCGTTTTATTATTTAAACAATTTTTAATCCAAATCCAAACCATAGTTAAAAAATTATTGTATGGCCGAGTTATTGGTTGTCGTTCTGCATTATTTAAAATAAAAAATTTATTACTTTAGAAACTTTTGTAATGAAAAACACGTACATTTAATCAAAAGCTTAATGAGGAACAACAAACTGAAACAACTTTGTCGTACTGAAGCATAATAGAGCAACATTTTACTAAAATAAACTACAGAAACACAAACAAATTTATAAATAAAAACAAAATTTATAAAAAAAAAAGAAGAAACAATTTTTGCATAAAAAAAAATCCCCCGGAATATATATATTCAAAGAATTATATATGCTAGAAGTTTCTCATAGAATTTCGAGGCATATTGAGGCGTGTATAAAATAAATAATAAATTAAAAACCGATTAAGAAGATTAATGCAGAGAATTAAAAAAAAAACGAAATCACAGAGAAAATACTGTATTTTTTATTAAGCTAAAAACCCCAATAAAATAATATTGAAACTATTGTTTACAGAAATAATTAACTATTACATGCAAGCCGATAATATACAAAAATAATTGAAAATAATTCATAAACGCATATGTAACAATTAATAAATTTATTGATTTTTGTATTGCGGGAGCCCCCCCACCTCCCCTCCCATTCATTGTAAATTACAATTCGTATTAATACAAAAAATATTAAAGATGAATCTGTAACCGAAACGCCATTCTCATGGAGCATCCCACATATATAAATAATAATAACAAAATGTCGATAACCATATATATATGCAACAGCAGCAACATGAAAATCCATGCAACTTATTGATATTTAATCAGAAATCAGAAATCAGAGATCAGATACAGAAATCAGGATAAAGTCGAGTCAGGAAAGGGAAAGTTTTGCTCTCCACGTACTTTTGTTGCCATCAAAATTTCAGTCGAAACAAATTGTTATCAAATATTATATATTGTACGCGGTAGAAACAGTTAAAGTATATAGCTTGATTTTCGTAAATTTTAAATTAACTTTGTTAGTTGTTTGCTTATTTTATAGATCTAATGTATATGCAACAATGGATGCACCTTGCTAAAGCTACATACATCTATGTGGCCAGCCAGGTGTGTCCAATGTTTTGTTTTTGTTTTTATAATTTTAGTTTAATTTAATATATATATTAAATAAAATGATAACTAAATGAGACGCACATCAACAAGATTAAAATAAAAACCATCAACAACAAAACAATTATTTATGTAAAAATCCAAATAAAGAAAATTCTATTCTATCCATATGTGGCAAGAAAAAAAAAACATTAAAAAAAATAAAAACAAAATGAAACGTACATATATGTAAAATAAATATGAAGCAAAAAATGTTTTATATAATTTTTTTTTCCAAATTATTTTTATTTGTTAGTTTTAGTTTATACGGGGCATATATCCTTTCAGCATGGCTTAGATCCTGGAAGAATTGAGAATCCTATAATCGCGCATAACCAAAAACAAAAAAAAAAAGAAAAGAATGAAAATGCATCTTAGTTTAAGTACGATTCAACAGTGTGTTGTATAAAGCTTTAATCCACGTAACCCCATCTAGTAAAAATAAAGTAATTAAACCATTTTTATGAATTAACCAATGGATTAGCTTTTAAAAAGCTTCAATAAGTCAATGTGTATTTTAAAAAAGATGTAGCCTGTGTGGAGGATAGAAGATATGGAGGAAGATCGGATATGGAAACAGATTTAGGTTCTTGATGCGAATACTAATATTCATTATTAGCAACCAGCTCCGATTTCATCACGACCACCCCTCCCCCTCCCCCTCCCCCTCCCACAATTAGCGAGCCCTGTGGACATACCATATTTGAATTATATATTATAGACATTCGCACACGACCATACATATATAATATATATAGTTTTCCGTCCAAACTGAATTGCATCAGCAGCACCCAGAAAAAGTAGCAGCGAGCAGACAAAGTCTCCCATTTATTTTTATTATTTTTATTTTATTTTTTATTTATTTTTTTTGCAGAAATTCCATCTCAGATAAACATTATTCGGCGGTTTCAATGTACGATATATATTTCCGTTTCTGCAAAAACACAAAAGCACATCCGCACTTGGCCTTTTGTTTATTTCGAATTTTTGTATTTAATTTTCTCAACATTTGGTGCCTTTTCCATAATACTATTCACTGAATTCATAAAGTACACAAGATAAGAAGCTCCAGATCCCAGATCCAGGTCTGGAGATCCCCCCATCCCCCCCTTAATGCACAAAATATTATCGAAAAATGTGTGTATTTGGCAGAAAATGTTGTGTTTTGGGTTGAACGATTGGTTCCTTCATTTTAATGGTAAACGCACAGCTAGACAGTCAGAAAGTTCTATGTAAATATTTGGGAAATTATTTTTGGAGAGGGGAATACCCCTCCGGGAATACATATTACCGCATAATATATCGAGCATGTGTATCTAACTATATATACATTAAACTCAATAAGGAACTATAATAATAATAGAAGAAAAACCAAACCAAAAAAGAAACAAAAAGTGGAAGAATTTGATAAAAAATCATTAATGTATGTATTTTGTATTTTTATATACAATTTATAATTTTGATTACACTTACAATTGTTACGATTAATAACTAAAATTCTACTAGTTATGTATTTCCAATATAATAGTGAAAAAAAGCAAGTAAATAATACCAAAAAAAAAATCAGATGATTGCTAAAGGAATTTCAAAATATTATAAGTAATTAAGATTAAAAAAAAAAATGGAAATTTTCTAAGCAACAAAACTCAACCAGAACTGCAAGCAAAAGGGACAACAATTTAAATGGGAAATTTATGTATTTGTGTAATCTTAAAGTGGAAAAACAAATGAAAATTAGGGCTTGAGATACTTGATAAGTAGTTGGGCGCCCAGAGGCCACGATTTTCAACAGCAATGGATACGAGATCCATTAAGGTGTGGCATTCGGTGGATAGTTTTTACTTTAACTATATATGTACATGAAAGAATGATTGAACCCCCCCCTACATTCCACAAAAAAAGAAAAAAGCTTGAAAAGCGAAAGATCCCTTGATGTTGAACTAAAAACTAAATACATTCTCGATAATAAAAAAAAAAAAAGAATTACATCGGGATGAAAAAAAAAAAGTATAAAAAATATTAGTTGTGAGTTCGGTATGTGGCATTTGATTGGGGCGATATTAGGGAGAAATATTCGAGTCGTATTTCTATATTGTAAACCTAAGCATATACGTGTAAATCAAGAAGCTAATGAAACATCCACTGGAACTGCATGCTTAGCCTAGGCTTAAGGCAGAAAAACCATAAAAACTTAAAAAAAAAAGAAATTAAAGATAAAAAGCAAAACACACAAACCCACAAACAGCGACATATGCAGATAGTCCAACCTGTCCATGGGCCGACTTTGCATTGTCGGTTAATAGCATTTGAATTGGATTGATATTGGACGGATACGGATACAGATACGGATAGAGATACAGATACGGATACGGACGCCTCGGTTTTTGCATATTGGACATTTTACATGCATGGCATGGCTGGGCTGAGCTGTATATGGGATCGTGTTTGAGGTGTTTTTGGGTGTCTATACATTTGTCATACAAATCATATTGAAGGAAGGGCGCAAAGATTGTATGAGGTGGCAATTGTAACTAAACAAATTTTTTAGATAATTAAAAGTATCTATGTACACCTTAATATTAATGAAAAAACCAATATAATATAAATAAAAGTATATTGAAAAGAACACTCTCTCGATCGATTGATTTTATGGACGTTACAAAACTTTTATTTTATTTTTAAACTTATAAACTTCGTACACAATCGGTTACATTCAACACACACATTTTCTCTCTTAAGCTTTCTTCTGGGTTTCTTCCAGTTACAAACAATCTATCACAATAAAATCATATTTATGTTTATGTCATGCTTTGCATTTCGGCCGTAAAACATAATATGGGCGGGAAAACAAGCTAAATGAAACATCACATCGATCAACAACAACATGAAAAACGAAACTCTCACACTTTAAGTTACTTAATAATTAAGGGGCAAGGATGTATGAAATAGTTTTGGCACTTGGGCTTTTTGTTTTTTTGTTTTGTTACATGACGACAAAGTCGCTAAGATTGCGCTCCGGTTGGACCATGCTCGGTGGCATCAGTTGCACCAGTTTGTTGAACAGGAAGGCTCTTTTATTTTTCAGCTCCGAGGTGGACTCTGTGCGGGCTCGTTTGGTGCACGTGGAGCTGGAGGTGGGACTGGAAACGGCTTCAGAGATGCCAGACGAGGCCAGGCTTTCGTTGGATTCCAGTGAAAGATTCTCCTGGACAATACCATCGGTAACTTCATCTACAATACACATCAGTACAATTTTCAAGTATTATAAAGTATTTAAAAGTGAAACCTTTTAGTTTTGCTGACACATCGGCATCTGTTTCTAGATCTTCAGTTTCAGCACACAGCGCTGGCGTGGTCATATTGCTCTCCCTATCCAGGCTGCTGTCATGGTTTTTGAACAGCAACGAAGCAAGTTTGTGAAACTGAAAAATAAAAATGTTGAAAATATAAAAGAATATAAATAATAACCTAAACTCACATTATTTAACTGCTCCGCATCGGCATGATCGATCACTGCAGCTATATTATGCCGCAAATACTGCATCGCCTTCAAGGGATCCCGGCGTGTCATTTCCTCATAACGCAACTTGCGCACTAGAAACCGGCAATGCTTGAGGATTTCCTCGCGTTTTGGCCTAAAAACAGTCTCGATTAATCTTGGGTAGCTTTATTGTTTACCAATAATTACTTTTCCAACTGCAGCAACCAGAAATCATCGAGTCTTAGTTGCGGTTGCTGACAGATTCCAGGATTACCACCAAACAGATAATGGGTATTGGCCACATCATCATAGACCAGTTGATGGGCGTAGCGTGGACAGGGTTCCAAGCTTCCATCGCCCTTGCTGGCACCAAGGACATTCGATCGGTTGATGGTGTTGGCATCCTGTCCACTGTGACGGCAGTAATATATCCGCGACCACTTGTGGTTGCGTAGAGAATAGACCCAGAACGAGTTGGCTGCATCTGTATGCTGTATATCGCGACGATCCTTAACCTTACTCAGACTCTGGAAAAAAACGATCCATTTAGTTACCCAATATGTTAAGGTATGAGATTACAATTATACCGAAAATATGTAAATCTCATCTCGTTCGCAATCTATTGTGGATCGCAGTGTATAACCTGAAGAGGGCTCGAATTTGGTTTCGTTGCCAGCGGTGGTTCCATGGTGGGGGTGCTCCTTGTTTAGCACTGTTATTGCCTGAGTATCGACATCGTAGCTGAGGAATTCGTCCAAGTCCTCCTTGCCACGTTGTCCTCCGTAAATGTATAGCTTTCGTTGTTTCTAAAAACGAGAAATAATAGTAACTGAAGCTAAGCTTAAGATCCTACTACTTACATTATGAAAAACCATGCAATGAGTTATCCTGGATTTGATGGACATCACATCCGCTTGCGAGGCACTCGAATGGTGACAATCCACCATTATCTGCGACCATGTATTCGTTGCTATGTGATAGGAAAATAGGCCAGAGTACTCTGGTTCAATTGAACCCGTGGCGTTGACACTTCGTGGTGTCAGTATTTTGCCACCGAACACATAGATGGTCCGCTTATCGGCGTCCATGCACATCTGGTGATCGTACACTAGATGCGGACCCCCCACTTGGCTGGTGTCATCACAGATCTGCATCCAATTGCGTGCCCTGGTATCATACAGATAAAAGTCGCTCTTTATATAATCCGAGGTACGAATCGAATTATCCAGATATCGCCCAAGCATGAATATATTCTCGCTAATGGGATCAAAGACCATTTTATGGCAGGAGCGCGGTGTGGGTCCATTGACAAGTTCCGATCTCTCGCAGAGAAGCGACCAGTTATCCTCCTCGATGTTGTACACCCACAGATCGCTCAGATCCTGGTAGCCATCCCAACCGCCATATAGATATATCAGACGCTTTTTGGCATCGACTACCAGCTGGTGTCCTCCTCGATTTCCTAGAGAATAAATATATTACGTTTAAAGATGGCTTTTATAAGGTATTATAGGTTTGTATACCAGGCTTTGTCTCGCTTTCCGAGTACTTCATATGCCAGCTATGCTTGTAATCCTGCTTGTGCAAATACTCATCCATTAGTCCCTCGTCTATGCACTCGGCCACAAAGCGCTCAGCCTTTTCAAAGTCTCCCTGGACCACCTACAAAAATAGATGATTAATATTAAATACAATTTATGAATAATTTTGTGGCTTTTATTACCAGATACTTGTGTAGCTCACTGATCAAAGGGTGCTCCAGTTGCACGCTCGTTTGCTCCTGGAGCGCCTCAAAGGCACTCGTATAACCCTGCTGGCGGAAGTGCTTCAGACAAAGCTTTATAATCTCCACTTCACGTCGGGTATTGTAGTTCTTCATCCGCGCACTCGTGTACATTGGGTCGTCCTGCCCGTGCAGTTCGATGTACCAAATACTGAAGTTGAACGATGGCCCCCAGGACAAGAGGGGAACAATTTTGAGGTACAGAATGGGCAAGTTCTCTGAGCCGTCTTCGGTAAGGCAACGCAGGTTGAATATTTCCGGTATGTTGTCGTTCTTAAGGCCTCTGAAATAAAGAGTTTTCAGTTATTTAATCGCCATCAAATCTCTTTGACTGACCCCTCTAGAAGCAAGACCATATGATCGTCCTCCAATCCACCATATACGCGAAATTTCTTTATGTTGCAGACGTGCGACTTCTCGAACTTGCCAAATTTGATCTTTTTGACAATGGCGGGACGGCGCAGCTTTAAGGTAAGAAACTGTGGCGGGCTGTTGCTGTAGGCGGACCAGCGGGAGGTCTGGTCGTTGGGGCAGTCCACTAAAACGTTTCTGCGTGATGTATAGAAATTATGAGACAGATGCGCATTACGAAATCCAAGGCATATATTTTTTGTAGGACAACTTACTCTGGCAGATAGTTTGGCGAATAGCTGGAGTAACGGTATATCTCAAATTTCAGACGCTCGGAAAGGGAAAATGGCTTCTGGGCGCCACTCTGGGTGCTTGTATTTGTTCCGGAATAGGCGTTTATGGCTCCAAACGAGGACAATGCCACTGAACCGTGCGAACTGTTGTCCGTGGGACTGGAGGTTGAGGACGATGACATGGTCGTTGTATAGTATCTACGATCCTTTTAGCTTAGCAGGTTTTCAAAGCCGGTCAAAGAGCGCAAATTACTGTTGTTACTTTTCCGCCTATTCGGTCTTCTCCTGTTTCCACACCCACTCGCAACAACAATACATTACCAGCTGATGGGCTCCACATTCCTATCGGCGTTTATCGGTCTCTGCGGTCAATTTTAAATTTTATCCACAAGGTGCGGATAATTTGCTTAATATCCTAAGAAAGAATATTAAATATAAAGAATTTATCTTCGAGAAAGATTTAATAACATTTAAAATTAACAAGAACCATTTATTCATTATCAGAATGCCTACAGATTTTAATTAGAATATTTTTAAAGTTTAAACTTTAAAGTACTACGTTACCATAACCGTTATATCTTAAAACACTTTTGAAAAATTTGTCGCCTGTTAAAAGTTATCGATAGCCATTAGAGGTGAAACAGCGTCTTTCGATTTCTGTGTTTGTGGCTTGGAATTCACACATTTTTTCTAAATTGTTTTTATTGTACAAATTAGCTATAACAATGTCCTTTGACGCGATACCCAAGGATCTTAGGGGTCTGCGTGCCTGCCTAGTTTGTTCACTGGTTAAGGTGTGTTATTATTGTCTACTTGTTCATGAGCCTTTTAACGACACCGGGTTCCTTCAGAGTTTTGATCAATTTGAGACAGATGGCTGTGAAAACTGCGAGGAATTTCTGCGGATGAAGAACAACAAGGACAACGTTTACGATCACACTAGTAACAACTTTGACGGAATTGTTGCCCTTACCACACCCACCGACTCCTGGGTGGCCAAATGGCAACGGTTAAGTAAGAATATAGTAAAGCCCCCTAGGTGGAATTCAATAATAACGTGGGTTATCCTTTCCAGCTCGTTTTCATCGAGGTATCTATGCTATCTCCGTATCCGGCACCTTGCCGCAATCTACTATGCGGGAAATGAAAAACCGCGGCATTGTCTACAAAACTCGCGACCGAAGCCAGCGCTAATGAAATAGAAGTTTTTTCGTACAAAATACATGTAGATCTTTATTTTTAAGTTATAACAAAACCACAAATACATACAATAGCAATACAAAACGAGAGTGGAGTAAATGCTGCATCAGTCGTCCAGCGGGCTAACACGCAACCCCTCGCCACCAGCCGTTGTTACATGGACCCCGAAGCCGGCTGATTCTAGTTCTTCCTTGAGCTTCCAGTACACCTCATTGCACTCATAGTTCTCTGGCAGAAGCACGATCACATAGCCACCGGCGCCGGCGCCAGTTAGCTTCGAGAAGAAGCCCCGCTTAAAAGCAATGGTGAATATCTGCTCCAGTTTGGGGTGCGAAACGCCAATGGCCTTTAGAAGATCATTGTTGATCTGGAAGAGGCGCTCCAGCTTCTCAAACTTGGCACTGTCGTCCTGAGCGTTTCCAAAGCTTTCGTAGAGAGGTACTGCCGCTGTGACTAGCTCCTCACAAGCCTGCCAGATGGCCTCTATGAGCTGTGGGAAGCCCTCGGCAAGGTGGCGCACTTTGGCCACAATATCCGCGGTGCTGCGGCTGACGCGACTGTCCACCAAAAGTATGTTAAGTGGCTTCTGAATGCGAAGGGACTGGAAGCCCTGACCTTTTACATATCGCAGCATACCTCCATAGGTGCACACTGTGTTATCTAGGCCTGAGGGGGTTCCGTGGTTGACCCTTTCCGATTCGTAAGCCCAGGTGGATATCAAGGCCTGGTTCTCCTCCTGCAAGTAGCTGTCGCGATCAAAGTGACCGGCCAAAATTAGAAAAGCCGTTGCGAGGGCGGCTCCAAACGAAGCCGAACTACCCAGACCGGCGCCCACATTCAACTCGCTGTCTACCTGCACCTGGAAACCGGTTTGAAGCGTCAACTTTGCATCTTTGGGCGAAGAGAGTACAGCGCCCGCCAGCAAGTAGTAGATGGAGACGAACGCTCGCTGGGTGTGTGGCTTCGTAGAGTTGCCCGCCGATCGCTCCAACTGTTTGGCCACCTCTGCTCTGACCGCCTCCAGTAACTTGGCAGTACTGTCGGCCGGATATTTGCTGCGGAAGTCCGCGAGAAAGGCATTGAACTCTGGCAACTGGATCTCCAGTGTGCAGTTAAGCGCGTCCAACTGAAAGCTGGCCACCTGACTGCCCTCTTGTTGGTGGAATCTTAGCTTAGTGCCTAGTCCCACGACGGCGGCGAGGGCCGGACGATGGTACACAACAGCGTGCTCGCCATGCAGGATGACCTTGCCCGGAGAGTGGACCTGGAACTTGAGCATTTCGTTCTATTGTCTGAGTTGCTAGCTGGGGTGGCTTTATCGGTTTATCAGTAATTTGAAATTGTAATGCGTGGAGAGCACAAAAAGCGGTTTGGTTTTCGACCTCAAGTACTTAAACTTTTATTGTTATTTTTTTTTTATGTAACGTATGCATTTAGCGCTTAATTTGCGTATTGTATTTGCTAACTCCCGAGATGCGGTGCCTCCTAGTGTGTATTGTGCTTTCCCTTTCACTTTCTTTGTGTGACTGAATGTTTTCGGTTTTTCGGTTCGCGGCTGGTTTCTTCAAGCAAGAAATCTCTCAACTACCAATAAACGACAACAGGTTACGGCTCACGGATGGTGTTGTTTGGCCGTTGCTTTCGTTGTAGTCTTGGTGCTGTGTTTCGATGTTGTTGTTACTATTCTTTTGGTTCCTCCTTGGGCTTAACTTTCTCCCACTCTTCGGGTGTGTAGGTTTTTTGCGAAAACGCGTGAATTTCTTTCAATTCCTCGGCCAGCGCTTTGTTGACTAATCGGTGTTTCTCGAGCAGAGTTTTTCCAACGAACACCTCCGATACGATGGTTGCACTGAATTTAGCCCCACAGCCGTCGGAATCGTCATCTACATTCACGTATTGCGTATTTAGTTCTTCCTTCAGCTTGTGCACCAAATCCATTGCGTTAAATTTACTCATTTTGAAAAAAATATATTTGAAAAACAGGCGTGCTTGATAGTGTGGCTGCTGGAAATATCGATTTGTTGAAATTTTTCGATGAAATCGGTTTTATCAGCTGGTCACACCATTCGAAATGTTTTTATCGAAATTATTGAGATAAAATCATAAATGTTAATGCATAAGCCTACTTTATTTTTTGTTTTAACATTTTTTGTTTTATTAAATGTGGGTTTTAATGAGTTATGTTGGTAAAATCGAGTCTGCCATATTTAAAGTTTCGATAACCACAGCTGCTTTCCCGCCACCAAAAGTACTGCGGCCAACTTCACGCATTAATCGCTTATGCCGATAGCACGCGCAGTTTTCCCACCATTCATTAAAAAGAAGATTCCAGGTAATTATTTACTGTTTTTAATCGAAAGATATCTTGACTATTTCCATTTTGAATGCAATTAATGCCAGGAAAGAGTGCCTAATTGTTGGAGTTTTCAAATTTCAGTTCGCACAGACCGAGGCAACAAAACCCAAAGGCGAATTCGGCAGGCGTGTATTTTACGAAAAAGTTAATTGTTTTAAGAAGAAGACGCCGGCATTGCAAAAATGTCCAAAACAGACGCCGCTGCTGTGGAGGCCACTGAGGAGAACTCGGTAAGTGTAAACAACCCTATAATAAATCATATTTCCAAACCAAACGAGATACATGATTTTCCATGGCGTCTTTTGACAGAATGAGACAACCTCAGATGCGGCCACCAGTTCTTCGGGCGAGAAGGAGGCGGAGTTCGACAATAAAATAGAGGCAGATCGCAGCAGACGCTTCGATTTCTTGCTCAAGCAGACTGAGATCTTTACACATTTTATGACCAACAGCACCAAGAGCCCGACAAAGCCCAAAGGCAGGCCGAAGAAGAACAAAGACAAGGATAAGGAAAAGGATATTGCTGAGTAAGTCCCGAAATATTGATCCTTGCAATTCCATTATTAATTTTATTTATTTTCTAACTAGCCATCGTCACCGCAAGACGGAACAGGAAGAAGATGAGGAGCTGCTCGCGGAGGACTCTGCGACCAAAGAGATTTTCCGCTTTGATGCTTCGCCCACCTACATTAAGTCGGGTGAAATGCGTGACTATCAGATCCGTGGTCTTAATTGGATGATTTCGCTATATGAAAATGGCATTAATGGTATTTTGGCCGACGAAATGGGTCTGGGAAAGACCTTACAAACTATTTCCCTGCTGGGATACCTGAAGCATTTCAAGTAAGTCCGATTGCAGTTTAGAAAGGATGGTATGTTATATTTGAAATTCTCTTTTACAGAAACCAAGCAGGTCCACACATCGTCATAGTGCCCAAGTCTACTCTACAGAACTGGGTGAACGAGTTCAAAAAATGGTGCCCTTCGCTTAGGGCCGTCTGCCTGATCGGTGATCAAGAGGCCCGTAACACCTTCATCCGCGACGTGTTGATGCCCGGCGAATGGGATGTGTGTGTCACTTCGTACGAGATGTGTATCCGAGAGAAGTCGGTGTTTAAGAAGTTCAACTGGCGGTATTTGGTTATTGACGAGGCCCATCGTATCAAAAACGAGAAGTCCAAGCTGTCTGAGATTCTGCGAGAGTTCAAGACCGCCAACCGTCTGCTCATCACGGGCACGCCGCTGCAGAACAATCTCCACGAGCTGTGGGCTCTGCTCAATTTCCTCTTGCCCGATGTTTTCAACTCTTCGGAAGATTTCGATGAGTGGTTCAACACCAACACTTGCTTGGGAGACGATGCGCTAATCACGCGACTTCATGCTGTCTTGAAGCCTTTCTTGCTGCGTCGTCTTAAGGCCGAGGTGGAGAAGCGACTAAAACCCAAAAAGGAAATGAAAATATTTGTGGGTCTTTCGAAGATGCAGCGTGACTGGTATACCAAGGTACTGCTCAAGGATATTGATATTGTTAACGGAGCAGGAAAGGTGGAGAAAATGCGATTGCAGAACATCCTCATGCAGCTGCGAAAGTGTACCAATCACCCCTATCTGTTCGATGGTGCTGAGCCAGGACCACCATACACCACCGACACACATTTGATCTACAACTCTGGCAAGATGGCCATTCTTGACAAGCTTCTGCCCAAGCTGCAGGAGCAGGGTTCTCGTGTGCTTATTTTCTCGCAGATGACGCGCATGTTGGACATTTTGGAGGATTACTGTCACTGGCGTGGCTATAACTACTGTCGCCTGGACGGTCAGACCCCACACGAGGATCGTAACCGTCAGATCCAGGAGTACAATATGGACAATAGCGCAAAGTTCATCTTCATGTTGTCCACTCGAGCTGGTGGATTGGGTATTAACTTGGCCACCGCCGACGTGGTCATCATTTACGATTCGGACTGGAATCCCCAGATGGATTTACAGGCCATGGATCGTGCTCATCGTATCGGACAAAAGAAGCAGGTTCGCGTTTTCCGCCTCATCACCGAGAGCACGGTGGAGGAGAAGATTGTGGAGCGAGCTGAGGTGAAGCTGCGTCTTGACAAGATGGTCATCCAGGGCGGTCGGTTGGTCGACAACCGCTCCAACCAACTGAACAAAGATGAAATGCTGAACATCATTCGTTTTGGAGCCAATCAAGTCTTCAGCTCGAAGGACACAGACATTACTGACGAGGACATCGATGTGATCCTGGAGCGCGGTGAAGCCAAGACGAACGAACAAAAGGCTCAATTGGATAGCCTAGGCGAGAGCTCCTTGCGTACCTTCACCATGGACACAAATGGAGAGGCAGGTACCTCCTCAGTTTACCAGTTCGAGGGCGAGGATTGGCGGGAGAAGCAGAAAATGAATGCCCTGGGCAATTGGATCGAGCCACCGAAGCGAGAGCGCAAGGCCAACTACGCTGTGGATGCTTACTTCCGAGAGGCACTACGCGTATCCGAGCCAAAAGCACCGAAGGCTCCCCGGCCACCCAAACAGCCCATCGTCCAGGACTTCCAGTTCTTCCCGCCGCGTCTGTTCGAGCTGCTCGACCAGGAGATCTACTACTTCCGCAAGACTGTCGGTTACAAAGTGCCCAAAAATCCGGAATTGGGTTCTGAAGCCACCAAGGTGCAGCGCGAGGAGCAACGAAAGATCGACGAGGCCGAACCGCTAAGCGAGGACGAGATCCTAGAGAAGGAGAACCTGCTATCTCAAGGTTTTACTGCATGGACAAAACGTGACTTTAACCAATTTATAAAGGCCAATGAGAAGTATGGCCGCGATGATATTGACAACATTGCCAAGGACGTGGAGGGCAAGACACCCGAGGAGGTTATTGAGTACAATGCCGTGTTCTGGGAGCGCTGTACTGAATTGCAGGACATTGAGCGCATCATGGGACAAATTGAAAGGGGAGAGGGCAAGATCCAGCGACGACTTTCCATAAAAAAGGCATTGGACCAAAAGGTGGGATGGTATTCCAAGTTTATGTATGAAAATGTATTCATTTTTTTGGTATATTTTTCAGATGTCACGGTATCGAGCTCCCTTCCATCAGCTGCGCTTGCAATACGGCAACAATAAGGGCAAGAACTACACAGAAATCGAGGATCGTTTTCTGGTTTGCATGCTACACAAGCTGGGCTTTGACAAGGAGAACGTCTACGAGGAACTGAGAGCTGCCATCCGGTAAGAAAGAGTGATTATTCTAAATTGCCTTACTCTTCAATTAATTTTTGTATTTGATAGAGCATCGCCCCAATTCCTTTTTGATTGGTTCATTAAATCCCGCACCGCCCTGGAGCTTCAACGCCGTTGCAACACTCTGATCACTCTGATCGAGCGCGAAAACATCGAACTGGAGGAGAAGGAGCGCGCTGAGAAAAAGAAGAAGGCTCCTAAAGGCAGTGTATCCGCGGGCAGTGGAAGCGGAAGCTCAAATACTCCAGCACCTGCTCCTCAGCCCAAGGCCAGCCAGAAGCGCAAGAGCGAAGTGGTGGCCACCAGTTCCAACTCAAAGAAGAAGAAGAAGTAGAGTGGGGAACACTGACACCCATTGAGTTTTGGCTCTTCAATCAGCATTAGGCAGTTACATAGTTAAGACAAGCGATTACTTAAACATATTTCACTCGACGTAGTTGATAGTTCACATCGGAAGCGAATGCGAATCCATCTCTCTATCTTTATAATAATCCCTAGCGATCTTAAACAAACACACATAATTATTTTATAATATTGCGTGCCGCTGTAATTCTATTCCACTTAATTGTATTTTTTGCTTAAGTTCTTAACTATTATATTTATGTATTGCAACACAGTATTTGGCTTGTTTTTGTATTGGACCCGAAAGAAAACAACAAGGATTGTATATGGATTTCTTTTAATAGTTTTTCGGTGCAAACTTAAGGTAATAACATTTTTAAATTCTATAAATTTCATCTTACTTTGTGTAACAAGGCACTTAACCATTAATATCATCTTGTTCATGCAGTCAACGGCTCCGAAATATTGGCGACTCCGGGGGCCATTAGGCCATGTTCAACACGGCCGTAGGTCAGGGTACTTGGTGTGGATGTGGGCTTTGCCTTTACCTGCTTTTTGAACTGAAACTCGCGAACGCTTTCGCCTGGGAAAGCTACCTGCATCTCGAGTAATACTACATGTCTGGTTGGGTGGGAAGTGGTTTTTGATAACATGACTTAATCATCGCCGCTGTATAGTTCGATGATCTCGTTTATGCTGGACACGGCGCCAGCAACCAGGGCCAGGATGGAGAACACGCCCAGGAAGATGTTCTTGGTCAGCTTCCATTTGCAGACTCCCAGACGGTCGGGCCACAGATACACGGTCTCCACAAAGCTGGGCACAAAGATTCCCAGCAGCGAGAAGAAGACCGCACCCACCAGACTGATGAAGGGTTCCAGATTGGGGATGGCTGCCGCCACACCGCCACTCAGCAGGATAATGCCTGAACGCAATAGGATCTGGGTTATGTTGTGCTTCTCCGGGTTGAACTTGTGGTTAATCTTCTGCCAAAGGATCGTGTTGGGCACATAGAACTGCAAGCCGAAAGTGAAAAGAATGGCAACAGCCATCAGAAGCTTGGCGGTGTCTCCCAGCCAGGCACCCTCTGGAAGATTCAATGTGATGCTGCCCTTGACAGCATCGCCGAATCTCACGTAGCCGAAGAATCCGATAACGGCGTATAGTAGCACCACAGTGATCATGGCGGTGTTGAGGACTCCCGGACATCCGAGGAATTGCTGGGGCTTCTTCATCGAGTTCTCCACAGGCATGACTACACCAATACCCTCCATAGCGAAGATGACGGTGGCGAAGAAGAGCGGGATGCTGGAGGCCTTGGCAATCAGTGGCTTGTCGGAGTACACCAGGGTCTCATCGAACATGTAGTACAGGACGATGGCAAAGGTAATGACGATGAAGATGTTGGCCATCATCGAGAAGGGCACCAGCCATTTCAGTTCCCGGATCTGACCGATCAGCAGGCAAGGAATCACCGTTAGGGCAATGTAGATGCGCACGTCCCAGTTCAGGTCGGTGTAGTAGTTGACCACATCGTGGAAGGATGTAGCAATGAACACGATGTACACACACCCCGCTGCATAGTAGGTGGCCATCAATCCGATGTCAACGAACTGCCTGTGATAAGGAGAAGGAATTCCGGTTAACTTCCATCAAAAGATATAGATTTGATCTCAATCTTACTTCGCAAAGTTCGCAAAGCGTCTCATTCCCTTGGGTCCGTACTCAAATACCTTCTCTGCCGTCTCGGCGAATCCCAGAGATGTTACCTTGGCATCCCGACAAATGTTGTGGGAAGTGTTTACCTGAAAAATAAGTGATATTGGTTATTAAATTGGTGGAGAATCGATCCACAAATCGTTTAAGGTATTCCGCTCAAGATTCGGATGGATATTGACAAGGATATAGCCTTTTCAGTAGGCCACAACATGCTCCCCATGGATTTTCCACATTTTGAAGGGGTCTATCCAGAAAATTTAACAAAAAAATTTAAAAAATATTTTGTTCTTAGATTATGATGCAAAGTAAATTGAAAGTAAATCGATCGACAAATAGTTTAAGGTAATCCGCTCAAGAATCGGATGGATATTGACAAAGATATAGCCTTTTCAGTGGGCTATAATGTGCTCCCCATGGATTTTCCACATTTTGAAGGGGTCTTGGATGAGTTATGCAACTCTTTCTATATCTAATTATATAATAGGTGCTCGGGTTAACAGTGTTTGTTAAACATCAAGGATTAGAAGAGTCCATAAATTAATCTTTTTGAATGGCACTCTGGATTATCAGATGCGGAACTTGGATTATTTAATTATTTCAATCCAGTTAGTAAATTTGAAATATTTACTGCTGGTTTATGTAGAGCTACTATCATTGTAAATCTATTTTCTAATCACTTGAGAAGGCGCTCGGCTAAAGTGCGGAATGACTGTCAACAATTTTGGGACGTTATAAATCTGCTCGAGTGTTTTATAATGTATGATCCCATATTTAATATATATGACCGATAGTTGATCGCCAATGACTGGACTTTCTTAATAAAGTATTAGGATTTATTAAATGTTTTGGCAAGAAATAGAGTCTAGACTCTTGACTGAGAAATTCCAGGAAATTACGCTTTAGAAGTATTTTCGATCATCGGAAATGCTTGACCATAAAAGTCAATAAAACCGAAACAATCGCATATTGTGTATCTCCCCCTCTGCCGATAAGAAGAAAGGACTGTTGTGTTAGACGCGTGCAATAATTGCAGGTGTTATCTGACAACGTGGACTGGTATTGCCCATCAAAACTTTGGCGCCTTGAACTACTTAACGACAGCTCCAAGAAAATATGTGTACTCATCGGCTCACCTGGTCTGTCCACTGTCTGTCTAAATGTCTGGCTTTGTCATAATTGCTTGAGTCAACATTTAAAGATTGGGTGCTAAAATCTTACCAAAATGTGTACGCAGTGGGTGCAAAGGAAGCCGACGATCAGCGTCATGACCATACCAAAGACCAGACCAGCATTGTGGAAAGCCATGGGCATGGCCAGGATACCAGTTCCCAGGGAACTTTTGAGCAAATGCGCCAAGGCGCCTCCAGAACTCGCCCCATTGGGATCACGGTGCTCGAAGGGATTATAGGGATCCTCCGAAAGCGACAGCTGGTTCTTCTCTGTCAAATTCGATCTATAAGAAGAAAGTAACAATTAATTAGAATCACATTTTAAAACATAAACCCATGATATACTTACTTGGAGTTAAAATCTCCCAGAGGTGGCACCGCCGACGCATACGATGGAGGTTTTTCGCCGAGGGACTCCGAAGACACTCCTATGTTTGACGCCGGGGGATAGGATCTCTCCCCATCATTGCTAAATGCCGCGTTATCTGTCATCTGAAAGCAAAAGTTAAATCAGGATCAAATGTCATTATGTGGAATCAACAAGAATGATTGATCGACCGCACACGATGGGGCTATTATCAGTGGGTGGACAGGAATCCCACTTAGACCGGCACGAGATTCACTTTCGCTTCGGGCCAGTTGAGGCTTGGGTTAATCCGCTCGAGGGTTGCTAGGCACAAGCCACTACTTTTGGCCATATCTTATCGGCGTTTTGGAAAGTTTAAGTGTTTAGAATTGGCTGGCCAAGAGATTTCCGATACTGACTGGACTGGTCGATCGTTATCGGCCATAAGGCCGAGCAAAGCCATAACTGGAGGTGGGGTCGGTCGAATAAAAACAACAATCGGACTGCATTCATAAAAGTCTATGGGCCCCTAAAAACGCCTGTAATTCGCGGCCATAAAGGTGGCCCTAAATCAGGGTCCATATAGTGGTAGTTTTCCCCGTATCGGGGTTGATTCATTGAATTGGGCAGTATTTAAAGTTGTTCCTTTCATAAAAGTCGATCGAACGTATTATCCCTATGGGTAATCGCATTATAAAATATATATGACCTGCTCCTATTAAAATTTATGAATGTATTATTAAACTCGAGGCAAAGGCAGGGAAATTCTTCGGCTTCTGCCAAATAAAAACCATGAATAACGAGGTCACATGGTAGATTACCAAATGGATCAAAGATCAAATGGGTCTTGTGATCAGAAATTAAAATTCTATTACTTATACAATTGCCCAGATCGAAGAGAAATTGGGAATTCAGTCTCTGACAATTAGCACAAATTATATAAATAAGAGAAGATTAAATAAAATTTCCATCGATCATTTATTTAGTCTCGAAACTAGGGGAAATTTTCCCAAAACAAAGGTGCAAATTGTAGATCAATTCATTATTTGTTTACCTCAACCTCGACACACTTTAATAATCACACAAAATCTTTCAAAGAGTTTTGAAGTATATACTCTTAAGTTCTACTTAATGAAGATTATGGCCAGCTTTAAGTGGAGTAATTAAAATTGTTACTAATTTTTGAAAAACAGTTGCACTTGAATTCTTTAAAAATAGAAACTTGTGGGAAATATTTCTCTAGTTTTGAAAACTTCTATTTGTGAATATATTTTTGTATTTTTTTTTTAAATTACCCTTCTATAATGGTGACTTACATTTAGCTTAAAATAACTCGCACGAATACGAACACAGATTAAGACTTTAGCAAGGGAAGAGTTGGAGGACCGATCACTTCCTCTGGTCAAAAGCAACTGAACAATAGATCCACCGAATGGGGTTGCAAATGGGCGTGGGTAGAATGGGTTCGGGCTTTACGGGGTCTACGGCGCCGAAAAGTGTCGGAAAACGTCGAAATAGCCATGTCCAAAAATGATAACGAATTAAGGCAAGACAGGGAAAGGTAATCAATAAGCAACAAATACACGCAGCATGCCACATTCACAACTAATAATAATAAAATACTCAAAGCTACCTTTAAAATCAATTATAAATGCTTCCCCCGATAACCTTATCGCTCTCCGAGCGAACCGATTCCGAAAACCACCCGAACCTATCCGATCCCCACAAAAAAAGGGAAAAAAACCATAAAAGTAACCCATCCACTTAAGTGATTTACCAACTACGAGCCACAAAACGATCAATGAGATAGTACTCATTAAGAACAATTTAATAAATTACTATTTCGTAATTACGTTCATTAAGAACTTTAGATCCATATTGAAGAATATAGATTTATTAAATTAAATATATTCGCATGGCTAATCAAACTGGAACGTCTGAATTTATTATTGGTGTCAGGTGCCTCGATAAGATTAGTGGTCAAATAGTAATGATGGCTGGCTTTACTTCTTATATAAAGCCCGTAAATCGTAACCGAACGACATTGAATTCCCAATAATATCTTACAATCGGGCAGTATATGTTGTTTACCCAATTTGTACGATTGCCTTTTATTGTGGGGGCGTAAAAATCGATATATCGACTGAGGTAAATCTTTATGATCGGCTTTTAATTAGGGCTTTTATGTTACTGGGGGTCTCTAAGTTATTACTCTGGCCAATTCGATACTGAATCATATCGTAGGGACATTCTGGGCATTGATTAGTTTTTGTTTGTATGACTAATTATTTGATCTACAAATTAATTAACTTTTGATAGACGTACGTCATCAGAGGAGCCTCATGAACATGCTAATCGGTTATGACCATATAATATCTTTCCGGATTTCTTTTTTACTTTCAGGGGTTTCCTCTAAATACGTCAGATTCCAATATTGATGTTTGTTTAATAAATTATATACTAATTTGTAAAATCTTTATTGGAAGGCAAATCAATAAAATATCACGTCAAACGATCACATTTCGGAGGGTGTGGCTTCTTAATGGTCATAAGATATTGACCTGAATTAACTACCTCGTCCTTCTTGATCATTTTTCTTAACATTTTATGATCTTTCAGGTCTGATTTTATCTTAATGTTTAGCCTTATCAGAGCGATACAAGGCATTACGTTTAATATTCCCTGACCTGATTTTTTTCATCGCAATCCAGCCGTTTGGCCTTGCCAATAATTACATAAACCAACTTTCAATGTGGCTTTTTTCAGGCTTTTTAGCCTTTTTTGAATTTCTCTTTAATTCGAAAATAATTAGCTTCCCTGCCAATTCTTGAGCGGCGCCTTAAGTACCGTTAATTGGTTGGCGATTTTTCGCTGTCGAATTTCAAGTAGGATCACTTTTGGGTCAATGCATTCCATTAAAGCCGAAACAGCTTTTGGTTACCTGTTTTTTTTTCCACCAATTTGCAGTTTTGTTTTGCTTTGTTTTGTTTCATTAAACATATAGGATTTTTTGCTTTTGTTTTGATTGTGCGTTCGCTTCACGTGCCGCCAAAAGAGGCAACAAATAATAAAAAGAAAACCCGTTGACCGCCCTGACAGGTTGTCAATATGACAATTCATCAATTTGTACACAGAAAAAAAAACTAGTAGATGTTGCAGGAAGCACCGATATCTGCCATAGGACTAGGACCCCGCTATATTTTTTCCCAGTGCAAGGTGAGGATGGGGCCAGGCAAAGGAGCTCAGTACCGGGTCTGTAAGGTGGATCGGTTCGAGTCGGAATCGGCATTTTGGCGACCTTATCACAGACTTTCGATATGCAAAACGGTCGAACCTGAGCCGCATAATTGATCGGCCAGATTGACAGTTTTTTGTTTTAGTATTGAACTTGCGATTATCTCATTGTCGGGGCTATTTATTTTCGGTTAATAACATTCATTACAATAATGTGATAATGCCAACTTTTGAGTGGCGACTGACTGACAGCCTTGTGGGAGGTAGAAAGGGGAAGAGCCTTTTATGATGTGTGTTTATATGGTTTTATTTTTGGAGAAACTGAAATCTGAAACTGAATTAAGTTTATTGCACTTGCCGTAGTGGTTTTCTGTAAGGTAGCAACCAAGATAAAACCGAGTCAATAACTTTTAATGGCATCCAATTTGGCTCTTATCAGAGTCATAACAAAAAAAAAACGAGGGAATCTTCTTATATTCCGGGTCACGACAGGTGAAAGGGAAGTCCTGAGAACTCCGATTAGTTTAAATTATTTTAATTTATTAAAAGATTGTATCGAAGGGAAAATGATGTCACATGCTCATCTGATAACTCACTTGATGTGGGGGTATTATTTATAAATAATTAGTGCACTTATAAATTAGGCAACCCGAACAAACAACTAATTGATCAAAATTTGCTCGTGGCTTCAATAATTACCTTGTGCCTGGTTTAATTAGTCCGTGTGGGAGTTTATTTTTTTTTATCAAATATTTATATTGTGTAGAAATTATATTAATGGGTTGATCCAATCGTTTGCCCTCGACATTGACGCTTAAAGATCAACCGAAAATTATTAGATTTCACACAATAGCGTTAATGGTCGTCCGCGATATGCTTGATGGGGCGATTATAAACGCCAGCTGGGATTTCGCAAGCAAGAATTTGCAGAAACAATCAACACAAAAAAACACAAATTGTTGGTAATGCTTTGGTGGCCAATTTTTTTTTTTGTTTATTATTTAATTATTCAATTTACTGGCAGCCGTAGCTTGAGGATTTCGAAACTTTGCGCGCGCGATATCTGTGCTGATTCGGTTTTTGGCCAAGGGTTATTTATTTATTTATTTTTTTTTTGCCAACTGCTCTTGACGGTTTGTTGTTAACTGTCTGACGATCGCTTAGTGACTGATATTAAGCCAATGTTTGTGCTTGAATTTGTTGCTGCTGCTGCTGCGAAACGGCGTCGCCTGAGCGACTATAAACCCCTTTTACAGATACAGATACAGTGCGGCTACAATATATATTCCCCGACGAACCTCCAGGCTGAAGTCGGTTCGGGCAATTAGCGCAATGGACAATAAACGCTCAGGTGACGCAGGTGGGGCGAAGTCGGCCTCTCTCTCCGGCCAGGTGAGATTGTGTGGCTGTGTAGGTGCTTTCTAAAGATCGCTCCGCTTTGGGCATTCGGCGGCCAGACAAGTCTGCCTTTTATCCCATTACTCATACGCACCGTGGGCCAGCGGGGCTAGCTAGCTACCTAGCTATAGTTGATGTTAAATGGGTGTCGCCAGGCAGAAGAGACTCTTATCCGAAAGATTCCATCACAACATTGTTACCTTGGATTAAATAGGGCATTATCTAGGTGAAATTTTTAGAGGGATAATTAAAAGGGAACTATTTAAAGAGCATACTTTTAGGGGCTTAGATTACTAGACAAATGATAAGACTTTTATTTATCTTAACTATCACAACGTTATATTTAGATTATAAATTCCAAGAGAAGCATGTAAATCAATCAATTGTGTCTTTAGATATTTCCAATTTTTAATCACCCTGTTCACTCCACAGACTCAAAGTCTGCCATCATTCAACCATCCAGCCATCCAGCCACTCGGCTTCATGCTAACCATCAATCATCTATTACTGCAAATGGCCAACAACCGACGACAATATCTAGACACCAAATTGGAGCGTATGAGGTATTTGCAACTCGAGAATTTGTGCGACACTTTGTGTCTTGACTGGCCACCGCCCCCTTGGCCTGGCCCCCTCATCAATTACTTAGTGGCTTCTCTTTTGGACAGATCATGGAGTTTAGTGATTGACTTGTTTCTGGCCAGGCACATTGTTATTGCACTTTGTGTAGTTTGCAGTTTGCCGTTTGCCTCTCGACGATGGCTGGTTTTTGTTGTCTAACCATAAAATATGAAATGTTCAGTTTTGTTTGCCTTTGGCTCATGCTGTTTAGTCGGGCGTCAGTGGGGCAGTGGAAAATTTTTAGCGGCCCGGCGAATGTTGTAAATTAAATGCACTTTTCACGTGATGTGCATTTCGAATTTGTCGAGTTCAAGCCGTGTCTCAGCAATTCGATGGCGGACTGTCGTCTGTCATTGATTTATGGGAAGGCGACTACAGATTTTTTAAGGGCCAATGTCGTAACTGAAATTATTTGTTAGCCAACAATGTTCTGATTTTATTTATTTAACTCAACAATTCCTAAAACCCATATATCACAACTTAATTGGATTGGGCTTATCGAATCTCTAGTATCTTTAATTACTTAGTACAGATAAACGACATGTTGTACTTGTTCTGGTATTTTATTTATTGAACAAGGTTCCTCTTGACGCACAACAAATGCACGTTGCGTATACGCCATGTAAGCCTTGGCCAGACTGATAAGTCCTAAAGTTCAGCCAAGAAACCCTTACAAACGGGTCAAGTGCTTCGGCTAAAGGCGTTGAAATATTGACACTGTAATTTCTTATCGATGGCTGTAAGAGAATTTTTTTTATTTTTCATATATTTGTCGCTATTGGAGCTGTTTTGGAGCTTGATAAAGTATCGTTCCTATCGATTGTGAAAGCCTCTAGGATGCCGGACTCTTAAGTGGGCTTTAGATATTATCAGCCATTCCTGGCTGGGGGGATTTCCCACTCACAGAGTAAAAGTTTCCGCTTTGAATCTGATATACATTCCACAACCTTGAGCCGTGCTCCTCCCATCCATCTAATTGATTTTCAAGCGGCAACTCAGTTACTTGGAAAAAAAGTTTAAATTAAAATCGCTCGAAAATCCCCTCCCGCGAAAAAAAAGATATTAAGACTGCTGTCACTGACTTCCCTCCCTCATTACGATGCGGATCGCGCCCAGCGTTTGTTCCTCGCTGTCTGACCAACTGATCGAGCTTCAACAAATGGAAATGCTTAATGCCTGCAACTGGATTGACGAGAATCTCGCATCCAAAACGTAATGTTCATAATATCGCGTCAAAACAATAAATAAAATAATTGATTTGCTTCCGCAATTGGTTTCCGGATCTGCCTTCTCGAGCTCGTCGTCGGTTTTTGGGGTCAAAACGGTTCGAGTTCGAGCACTGAGTAGGTAATTAATTAATTAATTAATATTCACAATGCGCAGCGCATCGCCTCCAAAGATTGTCGCTTCAGATTTAGATTTGGATATACTCGAATCCCATACAGCTTCGGACGAGTCTGAGTCAACGACACTGACCTTGCTCGATGTCAAATACCCGAATTAAAAGTTAAACCACCGATAGTTAATTTTTTAAGTGAGTGGGTGTACTGTGACGTAATGTAGATGCGAAAAAAATTCACAAATCTGGGCTAGTGGGTATGATTTAAGTTCTGCGAGGGGAAACAGAATATGTTTCCTAAGATGCCGCCGCCAGAAAACCGGTTAAAACTGCCACGGATGTTTCATTAAGTGATTTTATTTAGCGCCTGTTTTGTTTCTCCTTGTTGTCCCCCAGGTGACAAAAACCTTTGTTTGTGTCGGGCCCCGAAAATAAAACAATCTGTGAAAAGCACGCCCCTTGGGCGAGGTCGTAATGCAAGATATTTATATTAGCAATATGCAAATTACTGGCTGTGTAAATACAAACAGCCAACGATGGCTCAGTCACCCAAGCACTGGAACTTGTGGGTTGATTACACATCGGACGCATGACAATAGGAACTTTCTAACCGACTCTTGACAGTTTCCAAAGAAACTGGCCATAGTCATTTCCGCATAGCATAGACAAGGTGAATTTTGCATTTGATTTCAAGTTCTATGCCGTACATGCGATGCAAATGGGGAGTGTATGTCGATCGATCAGCGGCAGTAGTGGTGGCGGTGGTGCTGGTGCCTTTTAATAGCTGCAATTAGCCTTTCCACGACTAAATGGAGATGCGTCACCCGGCATCCGATTATAAAATTGTCGCTAGTATAGCAATTATCGTAATTCCAAGTTATTTGGCAGGTTCATAGAATTGAAAGCTTTTTATTTAAAAACAATTGAACTGGGCTATGCCGCATGGGTGTTTTTCGATAATAGTATCAAATTAATATATAAATGCAATCTTCAGCTTAAAGTTAGGTGTGTCCTCTCATTTTCAGTAGCTATTCTCCTTTGTAAACGGGCTTTCGCTTCTCGGCAAAGGCCGCTAAACCCTCAAGGCGATCCTTGGTGGGTATCACCTGCGAGTAACAGATCTCCTCAATGGAGTAGCCGGTGGTCAGATCCACCTGCATGCCCTTGTCAATGGCCAACTTGGCCATGCGCACACCAACTGGTCCGTTGGGGAGGATTTCCTCGGCCAATTTCAGAGCCTGTTGGTAGGCGGCGTCTTTGGTTTCGTTTTGTTGTACTACATGGTTGACTAAGCCCAGTTCCTTGGCCTCTGTTCCGTCAAAGACCCGTGCCGTAAAGATGAGCTCCTTGGCTAACGCGGGCGATAAGATGCGGGGAAGACGCTGGGTACCACCGGCTCCAGGTATGATGGCCAACCTCGTTTCCACCAGACCCATTTTCGTGTTCGATGCTGCTGTTCTAATATCACAGGCCAGGGCCATTTCTAGGCCTCCGCCCAAAGCAGCGCCGTCCAGGGCGGCAATCACGGGCATGGGCAGTTGCTCAATGCTGATGAGCAGAGACCGCAGGGTCTTTACAAACTCGGTGGCCTCCTCAGGGGTCATGTCTGGAAATTAGGACTTAGAAATCTTTTCATTGATGTTCATTTATAATAAGATCTTACCTTTGCGTTCCTTCAAATCCGCACCGGCACAGAAAATGCCGGGGGTGAGGCTCCGTAGAACCACAACCCTTGATCCATTGTCCCTCTTGATCTCCTCCAGGACGTCAGTAAAGGTCTCCACCATGCCACGACTGAAGGAGTTCTTAGCTGCCGGCCTATTAAGGCCAATCACAGAGATTCCCTTCCGGGGTCCCTCCAAACGCTCCACCAGAACCTCATCTCCATCGCCAAATGGAGCTTCCAGGGCAAAATGTCTAGACGATACGAGAGGACGGGTGATGTGACGCGTGAATTTCGCAACGCCCTGCAGTAAAATAGACATTTTCCAGTCAAAAAGTGGTCAAAACAAAAGGAACAGCCAAAGAAGTTGTTATAAAACCGGCAGAAACAGCTGTGGCGCCCAGTGCTGAAAAGCTCGGCAATATTTATCGATATTTTAAGCGATAGGTTTGCATCTTCGGTTGTTTAGCTTTATTCTGAGAAGATTTAAAAATTTTATTAAACCGCCTGGAAGATTTTTAAATCAGATTGATTTCCACTTTTCATTAGTAAATTAAAGCCTAATTATTTGAAAAATAATCAAGTGGAGACATTATGGCGCGACACCTAGTGTGCCCAGATTATGTTGGCAAAAAACGAAAACAACAACAAGAAAGTTCAGTAGAAAAAGCGACAGCCGGGTAATGGTTAAAAGTTTAGTATAAAACAAATTCCTAATGTCTATTTAAAGCAAAATTCCAAGTAAATTTCGACCCTAGGAAGCCCGCACCAAGTGGGACGTGGGTAAGAATAGCTTATAGTTCGATCAGGATCTCTTGAGCACGCCGCATGACGTAGTCCAGCTTTAAAAGTGAAACCCTTAAGATCCGCCAATAGAAAACAACTGATCGAAATCTATTATCTGATAGTGACGCAGCGCGCCGTGTAAGTAGCCAAACTATAATTAAAAAGAAAAACATGGTTTTTGGTGCTATTCAACGGCTTATTCACAGGGCATTGCTGCCAGAGCAGGATGCTGATGCGCGGCGTGCAGGTCCTGCAACGTAGACACCAGCAGATTGGAAGGGCTTTGAGTCAATATTCATCATCCGTGCGACAGGACTCTTTACATGCTTGGAAACGTCATGACGGAGACACCTTTAAGGCACAGCTGTGGAAGCGGCCTGGCGGGTGCTATCCAATTCGCTGCAGCTCGGAGGGCAGTGACGACAAGAACAAGAATGTGGAGCTCGCCAGCACCCAACAGTTAGCCCAAACGAAAGAGGTTCCAACTATCAAGCAGACTAAAAATTTTGAAGTGAAGACCACCAAAGGCATCCTGACCATAAGTACAACCATCGAGGACTCGAAAATTAATGAGATTGTGTTTGAGAAATCTGACCTGCCGCCAGTTGCAAAACTAAAGGAACCATCTTTGCCATCGGCGGTTGCCGCCAAGGCATCGGCTACCGATTCAAAGCCATCAATTCTGCCTCCTTTACCCGGAGTAAAATCTCCGGAACAGAGCAGTGGTGCTCCTATTGCAGCACTACCTGTCCTGTCACCTTCTACAGAGGTACCACCGACCACACCGACACCATCTCCGAAGCGACCGCGTTTCGATTATCGAGCTTCCTTGGAACGCAACTTTATAACACCCAATCGAGCCATTAGCGACTTTTTGTTGACCGCTGGGGATCTCGAATCTCTGCCCAAGATAAAGCGACGATCACCCTATGAACAGGAGCCTCCGATGACCGTTTACTGGCGGCGTGATGTGGAAGCTAAAGCCGTTGCTGTTTGGGGTTCCAAGGAAAGTATATTGCGAGAGCGGCTCAAGAGAGAAGTAGAACGCAAGCAACACCAACAGAGTGAGTGCATGCTTGTCCATACCATAGGGTTGATGCTAATGTTTATGATTCTCCAGATCTGTTTACGGTTAAACGACGATTGCGTGACTATCGCAGGGAGATTGGTGTCCGTAACTTGGTGTTTGAAAACGAAAACGATCCCGCAAAGTCAGGTCAAGTTGTGGCCACTGCCATTGCCATGTGAGTTTTAACTTTTAATTAACAGAACTTACGACAATAAAAATAATATTTTTAGCAATGCAGCCAATTTGCTTTTCAAGGCAGGTGGCTGGATGTACAGCGGATCACACAGCATGTTTGCAGAAGTTATACACTCATTGGCCGATCTGCTTAATCAGCTCATTCTGGCCTTTGGCATCTACAAATCAGCCCAGAGTCCCGACACTGATCATCCATATGGATATATGAATATGCGCTATGTCTCATCCTTGATCTCTGGTGTTGGCATTTTTTGTTTGGGCTGTGGACTGTCTATCTACCATGGAATCGAGGGAATTGTTCATCCTGAACCGGTCGCTGATCTATTTTGGGTGTATTGTATTTTAATGGGTTCTCTAGTTTCTGAGGGAGCTACCTTAATAGTGGCTATCAACGAACTTAGCCGATCGGCTAAGCTAAATAATGAGAGCTTTAAGGATTATGGTAAGCCTTTGCTAAAACTTAAATGTGCAATCTTATGAACATATTTTTATTTCAGTTCTTTCTGGAAAGGATCCCTGTGTAAATGTGGTGCTGTGTGAAGATGCTGCCGCCGTGGCAGGCGTAATTGTTGCTGGAACGTGCATGGGCCTGAGTAGCTACACCGGCTCCCCCCTATTTGATGCCGCGGGATCGCTGATCATTGGAGGTCTTCTGGGTGCCGTAGCATCGTTCATCATCTACACAAATGCTAATGCCCTAGTGGGAATCTCCATATCCTCTGCGCGGCTGGAGAAGATCAACGCTGCCTTGGAGGCTGATGTGATGATTAGAGCGATTTACGATGTCAAGGGTATCGACATTGGCAACGCCCGCGTTCGCTATAAGGTGAAGATTTTCGCTTACAGAAAGTAAAACTGAAATTAAAATGAAATATTTACAGGCTGAGCTTGACTTTGATGGTCGTGAGCTTACTCGTTCGTACCTGGACAAACAGGATCTGGCGAAACTGCTTAATGTGCGTATCTGATTGACAGACTGACCCACTACTGGGCCGGCCTTTAACCGGTTTTTGTTTGTGCTCTTACAGACGGTTCGCAGCTTTGAGAAGGTCGAGGATCTAGAATGCTTTTTACTTGACCATGGCGAAAACATTGTGGACCTGATGGGCGGTGAAATAGATCGAATTGAGATGAATCTGCGGGTGAGTTGTAGATTCTTATACTTTTAATTTTCATTCTCTTATAATGATGTACTTTTTAGACACAATTTCCGGAAATTAGGCATGTGGATCTGGAAATACTGTAAAGCCCTTCTCGGAAAAAAAAAAACAAAGCATTGGGTGATTGGTTGCTGTCTTATAGAAATATTGCCTGTTAAGCTTATATTTATTTCCCATTAATTACTTTTAGATATATCTGTATAGTTAAGCAATTAAAGTGTATTGCCATGGGCCAAAGGGCCTTCTTCAAGTTTCTATTTAGCTTTTTGCAGTTTGTTGAATTGTAGTTTTCCCAATTGAGATTCCGACCCGCCTGTTCCAGTGAAACTAAAACAGATTTGTGTACTATAAATATTGTAATTACACTTTGTACTGTGTTTTTTCTGTAAGATGGGTCAAGTCGAAGGTGAACGAAAACGAGAGTGTGCCAATCGAAAGTTTTGCCTTTTTTTTGCATGCAACTGCAACGCTCTCCCTGGCGAACTTTTTATCTCTTGGCGAATATTTACATTTCGATCTTTACAGAGCGCGGTGCTTTCACTGTTAAAGGTCTGTGTGGGTTGGTGGATGTTTGGGAATTATTTTCAGTCTGGTTTGGCGCGTGAATTAAAACGGTGGTCCGCAGGTGACGACTGGCTGGCAATACCAATGAGAATAAAGTAAACAACACCCAAGTGTCAGCTAATAACTTAAGGCCCAAATAAAATATAAATTTTAATACAAGTTCTAACGTAAAACAAGTTTTGGTTTTATACAATCCAAGTGTATTAACGCCTCTAATTGATTCTAAATTAAAGTAAACAAAAACAATGGCAGCAAAGCAGAGGGCATAAACCTTACTAGCCAAAACAAATAATTTTGCATAAACAGAATTCAGTATTCAAACTGGGAAGAGGGCTATTGACCTATGACACAATACCAAGATAATGGATCTGTTGTTTGATCCAACAAACTTCTTAGGGCATTACGTGTTCGGTTTGAAAAGAAGATGTTCTGTGAATCTAATTTGGTATTTTAATTTGAGCTTCTGATTAGCGACCGCTGTGATGGCACTTGTTGACCTATTAACGGTACACAACGCAATTCACATGCTAATTAGATGGCACTAGAAATCGCTTTCGACCATAGCTCTTCGGAAAGGGTGTACGAAATTCTGGATTTCTGAAGCATAGAACTTCGTCAGATGGCGAATCAATTATGCACCGCCTTTCAGGTGAAGTGTGGCCCATCCGTAATTGAGGTCGCATTGAGTGCAATTGCTGATTCAGTTCCATTTCCACTGCCAAACGAATAAAGACTCGGATGACGATCAATGCCATGATTGATGGTGGAGACTGATCATAAATTTTAATGGATCTTCAAACAATATTGCTTCGAATTTACATAAAATCATAAATCAAAAGGGAAGACCAAGCTATAAAGTGTTAATTTTTCAAATTTAAGAATCATTTTAGAAGCATAATTTTTGTGAGTGTAATCAAAAATGTAGACAATAAACTGATAGTCTCGTAATTGCTGTCACTGCAAATCTCGTCAATCTCAAACAGTTTACTAATTGTGTTTATTGAATAAATATTTATTTTCGTGTTTTAGTTCAGACAGGCCAACTATGCAGCTTTTGTGGCTTTTAATATTCTTGATTCTGCCGCAATTTTTGAAAGGCGAGGTGGGAAAATCTCCACCAAAGCCTAATATTATTTTTATCCTAGCTGATGATTTGGTAAGCTTTTAAATGAAAAACTAATATTCAAATTATGCCTAATATTTAGTATATTTAGGGCTTTAATGATGTGGGATTCCATGGTTCTGCTCAGATACCAACTCCCAATATTGATGCCTTGGCCTATTCTGGAATTATTTTGAATCGTTACTATGTAACACCTATTTGTACTCCCTCCAGATCGGCACTTATGACAGGAAAATATCCAATACATACAGGTTGTTGCTTTCATATTTTATTTAAGCTATAAATAAAATTTTTTAATATTTATATAGGAATGCAACATGCTGTTCTTTATGCAGCCGAGCCCAGGGGCTTGTCTCTCAAAGAGAAAATCTTACCACAATATCTAAACGACTTGGGGTAGGTCTTTATCATTTTCAAAGGCTATAATTTTCATTCTGAATCTTATCAATTAGCTACACCTCCCACATTGCCGGCAAATGGCATCTGGGGCACTGGAAACTCAAGTATACCCCCCTCTTCAGGGGATTTAGTAGCCATGTGGGCTTCTGGTCCGGCCACCATGACTACAATGATCATACCGCCGTGGAGAACGATGAGTGGGGTCTGGATATGCGAAATGGAACGGAGGTGGCCTATGATCTTCATGGACGATACACGACGGATGTAATAACCGATCACGCCGTCAAGGTGATTGCCAATCATAATGCGACCAATGGTCCTCTGTTCCTGTATGTGGCCCATGCGGCTTGTCATTCAAGCAATCCGTATAACCCACTGCCAGTGCCGGATAATGAGGTGATGAAGCTGGGACATATTCCCCACTACAAGAGGAGGAAATTTGCAGGTGAGTTGAGTTTTGAAAAGGATTTACTTTTTATTAAAAACTGATAGAGAACCGATGGATATTGGCAAAGATATAGCCTTTTCAGTAGGCCATAATATGCTCCCCATGGATTTTCCACATTTTGAAGGGGTCTACCCAGAAAATTTGACAAAAAATCTAAAAAATATTTGGTTTCTAGATTTTGATGCAGATTTAAAGAAAATCGATCCACAAATCGTTTAAGGTATTCCGCTCAAGATTCGGATGGATATTGACAAAGATATAGCCTTTTCAGTAGGAAAAAAAATGCTCCCCATGGATTTCCCACATTTTGAAGGGGTCTACCCAGAAAATTTGACAAAAACCCTAAAAATTATTTTGTTTCTAGATTTTTATGCAGATTTAAAGAAAATCGATCCACAAATCGTTTAAGATATTCCGCTCAAGAATCAGATGGATATTGACAAAGATATAGCCTTTTCAGTAGGCCACAATATGCTCCCGTTGGAGTTTCCACATTTTGAAGGGGTCTACCCAGAAAATTTGACAAAAAACCTAAAAACTATTTTGTTTCTAGATTTTGATGCAGATTTAAAGAAAATCGATCCACAAATCGTTTAAGGTTTTCCGCTCAAGATTCGGATGGATATTGACAAAGATATAGCCTTTTCAGTAGGCCAAAAAATGCTCCCCATGGATTTTCCACATTTTGAAGGGGTCTACCCAGAAAATTTGACAAAAACCCTAAAAATTATTTTGTTTCTAGATTTTTATGCAGATTTAAAGAAAATCGATCCACAAATCGTTTAAGATATTCCGCTCAAGAATCAGATGGATATTGACAAAGATATAGCCTTTTCAGTAGGCCACAATATGCTCCCCATGGATTTCCCACATTTTGAAGGGGTCTACCCAGAAAATTTGACAACAAATCTAAAAATTATTTTGTTTCTAGATTTTGATGCAGATTTAAAGAAAATCGATCCACAAATCGTTTAAGGTATTCCGCTCAAGAATCAGATGGATATTGACAAAGATATAGCCTTTTCAGTAGGCTATAATGTGCCCCCAAGGATTTTCCACATTTTGAAGGGGTCTATCCAGAAAATTTGACAAAAAATCTAAAAAATATTTGGTTTCTAGATTTTGATGCAGATTTAAAGAAAATCGATCCACAAATCGTTTAAGGTATTCCGCTTAAGATTCGGATGGATATTGACAAAGATATAGCCTTTTCAGTAGGCCACAATATGCTCCCCATGGATTTTCCACATTTTGAAGGGGTCTACCCAGAAAATTTGACAAAAAATCTAAAAAATATTTGGTTTCTAGATTTTGATGCAGATTTAAAGAAAATCGATCCACGAATCGTTTCAGGTTTTCCACTCAAGAATCGTATCAATATTAACAAAGATATAGCCTTTTCAGTAGGCCACAATATGCTCCCCATGGATTTTTCACATTTTGAAGGGGTCTTCCCAGAAAATTTGACAAAAAATCTAAAAAATATTTGGTTTCTAGATTTTGATGCAGATTTAAAGAAAATCGATCCACAAATCGTTTAAGGTATTCCGCTTAAGATTCGGATGGATATTGACAAAGATATAGCCTTTTCAGTAGGCTATAATGTGCCCCCAAGGATTTTCCACATTTTGAAGGGGTCTACCCAGAAAATTTGACAAAAAATCTAAAAAATATTTGGTTTCTAGATTTTGATGCAGATTTAAAGAAAATCGATCCACAAATCGTTTAAGGTATTCCGCTTAAGATTCGGATGGATATTGACAAAGATATAGCCTTTTCAGTAGGCCACAATATGCTCCCCATGGATTTTCCACATTTTGAAGGGGTCTACCCAGAAAATTTGACAAAAAATCTAAAAAATATTTGGTTTCTAGATTTTGATGCAGATTTAAAGAAAATCGATCCACAAATCGTTTAAGGTATTCCGCTTAAGATTCGGATGGATATTGACAAAGATATAGCCTTTTCAGTAGGCCAAAAAATGCTCCCCATGGATTTTCCACATTTTGAAGGGGTCTACCCAGAAAATTTGACAAAAAATCTAAAAATTATTTTGTTTCTAGATTTTGATGCAGATTTAAAGAAAATTGATTCACAAATCGTTTAAGGTTTTCCGCTTAAGATTCGGATGGATATTGACAAAGATATAGCCTTTTCAGTAGGCCAAAAAATGCTCCCCATGGATTTTCCACATTTTGAAGGGGTCTACCCAGAAAATTTGACAAAAAATCTAAAAATTATTTTGTTTCTAGATTTTGATGCAGATTTAAAGAAAATTGATTCACAAATCGTTTAAGGTTTTCCGCTCAAGATTCGGATGGATATTGACAAAGATATAGCCTTTTCAGTAGGCCAAAAAATGCTCCCCATAGATTTTCCAAATTGTAGACCCCACCCAGAAAATTTGACAAAAAATCTACAAATTATTTTGTTTCTAGATTTTGATGCACATTTAAAGAAAATTGATCCACAAATCGTTTAAAGGTATTCCGCTTAGAAATAAAATGTTAATTGAAAAAGTTATAAAGGTTTTTGAAATGGTCTATCTACTTTATAATTGGTTTCTAACACCTTTTTCTACCTTTTTCTTAGCAATGGTTACCAAAATGGATGAATCCGTCGGACTGATTGTGGATCAGTTGCGCAAGTCCAATATGCTGGAGAATTCCATAATCATCTTCTCCTCTGACAATGGGGGTCCTGCCCAGGGATTCAATTTGAACTTTGCCTCCAACTACCCGTTAAAAGGCGTAAAAAACACTCTATGGGAAGGAGGAGTTCGAGCTGCGGGTCTCATTTGGTCCCCACTCCTCAAAAGCCGACAACGAGTGGCTAACCAGACCATACACATTTCTGACTGGTTGCCCACACTCCTGGAGGCAGCTGGTGGTGTTCCCGCCTTGTCCAATTTGAGCAAAGGCATAGATGGCCAGAGCATCTGGCAGGCTCTGGTACACGATCAACCTTCTCCCCGGCTGAAGGTGGTTCACAATATCGATGATATCTGGGGCAGTGCCGGCCTTAGTGTGGGTGATTGGAAACTGGTAAAGGGCACTAACTATTATGGCAAGTGGGATGGATGGTACGGACCGGCTGGTGAAAGGGATCCCCATCTCTATGAGTGGCAGCAGATACCCAAGAGCAGGGCGGGCAAAGCTCTGCATGGACTACAAATGCTGCCAAGCCAGGCGGAACAGCAGAGGCTAAGAGCTGCAGCCACAGTTTCTTGCTTGGGTCAGTCTTCTCAAGGAAGTGTGTGCAAAGCCACCGCGTTCTCGGCTCCGTGTTTGTTTAATATTCATGACGATCCCTGCGAACAGTTTAATTTGGCGGAACAGTAAGTATAAAGTTACTTCTAGGCCTAATTATTTACTCTTGTATTTGCTTTAGATATCCCAAAGTACTCCAAACCTTGATGGAAGAGTTAAAGTATCAAAATTCTACAGCAGTACCACCTGCCAATAAGCCTGGAGATCGTCGTGCGAGTCCCAAGTACTGGAACTACACATGGACTAATTTTGGAGATTATGAATTATATAACAATAAGCCAGTTTTAGGTGACTTGGAAGTCCTTTTGTAAATTTCTCCAAAAAAGACTGTTTAGATTAAAGATATTTGATTAATATTAAAATTATTCTTTTTTGTGAATTTAGAATCAAACATCCCGCCTAAAACGGTGGTTTAAGCTTGGCTTGACAGAGCTATCGATAGTTTTGTAATCGATAAATTAGAGTTAACAGACTGCTGTTAAAAAGACGTTTGAAGCCCTCATTTGAAATGAAAGTTTTTTTAGAAAAAAAGAATAGTTTGTTATGAGAACCCACTGGTAGGGCAAAGTTGTATTTTTTATTATTTGTTGTAAAATTGGTTTACAGCTTACATTGCTTAGCGCATTATGAAATACAAATACTTGCACAATTACATAAAAAAAACATCAAATGCTACATTTTGAGTTCGAGTGCGTACATTTAATGCGTTATGTGGTAGAAATACATACACTAGTTACATGGGCTTATATCAAAATTCTACTATAGATAGTACCGAAAAAACTGGCTAATCCTTTATGTCTGTATATAATTTATGTATGTAGTATGTGCGTAATGCATCAGAGTAAGTCCTTCAGACTGAACACGTTAATTTTGATTAGATTTGCTGGCTTGGTCGGCGGCTCTTCTCTCTTCTGAGATTCCTAATCCTACACATCTACTGAGAAGTTGAAAAGGGAAGGAGTAGTCAAGTTTTTGATTAGCGCGATAGTATAGTAGTAGCCTAGATGATTCTTTTGATTTTCGATCTTTAAAAGGATTTAATTTGGCATATAAAACGTTACAAAAGGTTCGGATAGAGATGCAGAAGCGTGACCTCTCTGTGCTAAGCCCGCCGGCGGCGGCGATTGGGCCACTTGGATGATCCGATTCTGTATTTGTTTCTGTTTCCTTTTTCGTTCTCCCCGGTAGTCCCTTTGCCCGGGATCCGGAGGTCCAGAGCCCCATTCGATTCTCGGATACACTTGCTGCGACTCGCTTCCCGTCCTGGTGGTGACCACCGTGGTGGTCGATCCCAGCCGCTGACGGAGACTCCGACGAGCCGGTCGGCTCATCTAAATGCGTTCGGTCACGTAGACCTTCGCCGAAGCTGGGGCGTTGGAGCGCCGCACGGCAAAGGTGACGATGATGCCGATGAAGATCAGTGTGATACCAATGGCACTGGTTATATAGTGCTCCACAAGCTTGTTCTCGGTACTGCAAACGAAATGGGGAATATTTTGAAATACTACCAAATACCTTACACCATTCTCAGGCTGTTACCTAACGCTGGTTTCCTTGACGGTTTCGCGCTCTTTCTCGATCAGTCCCGTGACGGATGTGGCAATGGCCAGCCAGAAGTTGGCCAGACCCAGACTGGCGTGAATCGGCACCATGGCGGAGCGGCAGCTGTATGTCTTGTTCTCACAGCAGAGCATCACCAGAAAACTGAAAAACGTAAATGTCATGATTAGTATGCCGGATTGGAACACCACCTGGTCAACACTATGATGTCTCACCTGAAGAAGCCAATCACAAACTGGAGCACGAACATGCCCATTGTCACGAGACCCAGCCAAGAGTGGAGACTGTAGAAGTTCACCTTCTTCAAAGCATCATGGGAGTCGAAGACGGCGAGGAATCCGAGGGCGATGCACGGAATGGCCACGGCATGGAAGAACATGTGAATGAGCTTCACATAGATGTGTTTCACGCAACGACACAGGCGGTAGATCAAAATGGCTATAAAATAACAAATTATAATCAATTTAAAGATAAAAAATTCAATAAGGAACTTACAAAATCCTGACAAAGTCACGAATCCTGCAATCATCAAAATGGGATGCAAGTTGAACTGCTGCTTGGGACTCTCCGACCAGGCGAAGCCATCCCTGTAGAACATCACCCAGAAGAGGGTCAGGACCAGGACACCCACCAGCAGGATGGTGGAAAGGATAACGATCAGCAAGTACTCGCACCAGGAACAGCAGTTCCAGGCGTTATCTGGATCCTCCTCATAGCGCCTGTGGACGGGATTAGGAGCAAAGGAAAACCCATGGAGAGTACTTAATATAAAGAATTACTATTACTTTCTCTTGCGATTATATAGGCTGGGTCGACGAAAGATCAGGCGGTTGAGTTCATCAATGAACTCTCCATCGATTGGTTTCATACTCATTCAGTTAGCAGACTTCTCTTATTATCTCTAAGCTTACAGGGAATTAAGAATATGTTTTCTTTCAGGGATTACAAAGCCATTCCGAGTAGTTTAAAGATTGTGTGGGCTGCGTTCTGTGGCCCTCATTAAAGGCAATTTATGGAGATTCTAGATGTGATCTAGGGGATGCTCGAGGGAATCTCTTGAGCCAGTCTAATTGTGGGCTGAATGTGCTGCTAATCGTCTTAATTGACAGACAAGGGAAAAATCTCTGAGAAACGCAATTATCTAATTTGATAAGCAAATTTCCAATTTCCTGGAATGGCTCTGTTCCGAAAAGTTCAACAATTCGTACTTGCTATTTAACTTCGTTCTTAAAAGGACCAGAACCTCATCCAACTTATCCTTAACTTTTCGCTTTAAATTTTGATCTTTTCTTGTATTTTGTGTATTTTGTGCGGCTAGAGTGGAGTCAACATGTATTAGATCCATTGAGTGTTAAAGAGTAAAGTTGAATGCCCCAAAAAACAAAAATTCGAATAAATTTTTGACATCTGGGGAAAAGGTCTATTGTTTCGCCGCAATTGTGGTCTGTCTGTCATATTAATTTCATCACTTGTCGTGCTATCGGATGACATACATCCAGTTTCGATGGATGCTTCTGGTGAATCTGATGATGATGAGCACAATGATCTCACCATCAAAAAACAACCAAAACATATCATCGGCAAAGTGCAGTGGGACAGTGTTTGGTGTTGGGTGTTTGCTGTTTGCTGGGAGAAATCCCACAGATACGCAGATACAATGGACACAAAAAACCAAACCGCAGCCATCTGTTAAAAGTAAACAGCCTCTCTGGCCAACTGGAGTACTGGATGGGGTAATTAGGCGCATTGCTGGCAGCCAACGAGCCGCTTAATCATCCGCAAGTGCATTTCCACCAGATCTTTGACTGGAAACCAGTCCAGCCGCGTATCGAAAGTAAACAAAACTATTATTTAAATTAATCGTGCGAGCCCCGGCTGTTCCATGCTGTGATAATGAAAGCAAAACTTAATCAAATTACCAGACGTGGTTATCATCGAGCACTCTCGCTTTCTCGCGGCGTCACCTCGGGAGACACTTGCATCATTGCGCCGATAATGATATTGGATGATCCAATTTACATGCAACACGAACTGCGGAGAGTGTTCAGATGCAGATACATAGCTAGAGCTATGTGAGAGGGCTAATACACTGAGACGAAATCACTATCCAAAGGCTAGTGGGTTAAAATTAAAGCTCAGATCTCTTTTTTCAGTGTATGCACTCAATGGCGATGTCAATGAACGGCTGTGGCAGCAAGACTCCTCCGCTGCAGTGGCAGCATCTGCGGCGGCTGCAGCTGTCTGGGACTGGGACTGCGGTTGGGGCAGGCATTTAGCTTTTCAACACATCCCAGGGTGACGGCGGGTAGCACCGGGGGCTGGCTACAGACGCTGTTTGCTTTAACATACATTTCACTTGCCACAGATTGTTGGAAAACAAGCGCTAGCTTGTGGGCTCACAAACGGGCGTATCGAATCTATATCTGTATCTGTAGCTAGACAAGTATCTGCATCTACTATGCTGCATTTGTATCTCTTTCACTTTCCAACCGAATGGTGTGCTGGGAAATTTTCACTAAAAAGCTTTTTGTTATTATGGAAAACTCGTTGCCAGTGCCGGTTGCCACCTGTTCGGGATACATTCGAACCTGAACCTGAACCTGATTCAGAGTTTAAGAGTCTGAGCTGCCGAGAGTTAGTTGGCCTGGGTGCAGCCACTCATGGCTAATGGGTCATCGCCGGGAAAAGGCTATTGACACTGCACCCACGGTAGATGCAAGAAAAAGTAAACAGAGAAAGCGCACCAGCAGCAGCAGCAACAATGTGTCATCGTAATCTGCAAATTCCAACAGGCGTTTAATTTATGCAAATTGTATATCAAAGCCAAAGGAAATTAAGTTGGAAAAATCCAATAATCAAATAGAGAAAAGGTTCCTAAAAAAGTAAAAAGTGAGTGCATAATTAGCCTCAAAAAAATAAATTATTAGTATTAAAGGTATGACTGGCAGATAATGATCATTTTATGGCCATGAATTAACTGTTTTTGAAACTCAAGTCATTATAATCAGTATTCATCATATATTTTATTATTAAAATGTTAAAAATTAGGAAGAATGAGCCCACCAAAGAATCATCATTAAAACTCCTATATAGCTTTAGCTTTACAATAAAAAAAATATCTAAAATATATGCAAATAATCTTTAAGATCTTATCTTGTGTAAATATATTTTTCTTATAATCTCAACAAATATCTTTGTGTGATATCTAAAGCCAGCATCCATCAAATCTTATCTCTAGAATTTTGGGAACTACTTATCTCAGTCATGTGAGTGAGTTGAGATGATCATGGACACCAAATGTCTGGCTTTGAAGAGGAATACTAGATAAAAAAGACAGAACTACTTAAATCAGGTAATAGGGCAATATGAGTGTTTATAAAAACCCTAATAAAAGCAGGCTAATTATGGCAAAACTAGAGCATTACCAACTGGAGGAATTGTCAACGAATTGACACAAGAAATGTAACTATAAAACGGGAATGGAAAATTATACATTTCTTTTTAGAAGCAGCCAGGAAGTCAGGGCACAATTCAATTAAAGAAACCATCAGATGTAACAAATAACGAGCTGGCGCGGAATGTACAATTAAAAAGACGTTGGGCTTGGGGCAAATTAAAACATTTGCTGTCGCACGCATGGCTGAAAATCATTCTCCCTCCGTCAGAGCCCCTGCATCCAGCCTCTCAGCCTCCTCCTCACTGGCTGACTGTATCCTGCGGGTTAATTATGACTATGCATGTGTACGAGAACGGTGGCATACTGGTGTTACTTTACAATGCCCGGCAATTGTTTAGAGTCGAGCCGTTGTCGCGGCGTTTCCAATTGAAGCGATCTCCAGGGAGTACTACCCGTACTCGATCATATTCATGCCTGCATCTGTATTCGTAATCCAACATATACAAATGCATATGCTTGAAATTGTAGCTTGCAGATACAATCGAATTCGCGCTACAACAACCTGACACGAGCCTCTACGGGAAATTGAATCGAGTACGAGAATTTTTCGCCCTAAGCCGCAGTTGTTTAAATTGAATAAATATGCTTAAGGCAAGTACGCAAGTATTTTATTGCGACTATGGGACTACACTGAAAATACAGTATTTGAGAAGTAAAGGGGGTGACACCGTCTGGCATTGAGATCCAATAATTGGGGCTTGACTTACGCTGTTGTTGTTCCTCCACGCGGCATTTTGGCCAAATGGCGATCACGCATTTAGTCAAGTGTGTTTCTGTTTGGTTTTTTCGATTTTTTTGGTTATTTTATTTTTTGTCACCTCGCGCCACCCACTTGGTCACAGAATCACTTGGGGGGGTATGCGTCACGGATCGGTTTTATATAGTGGCCTATATGTATCAGACTAAAGGTCGTTTATCTATAGAGTGCGCTGGGTGTTTTCCGCGTAATTGATTTGGCTTCTATTCGAAATTCTCTGAAATGCCACACAATCGAGAGACAATTGAAAACCGGCGAACTGAATCTAAATGTCGGATCTATGGGATCGCTAATCACTAGAACCTTTTCGACCAAAAACAGATATGTGCACGGATCGGATACAGATGCTAATCAGGATTGTGTTAATTTGTCAATCACACAAAAATCGGTTCTCGAAGCCTATAGCGATTCCATAGAGTGACAGATTCGATTCGTTATCTATTCAAAGTGCCCCAAAAGTTCACATCGCATTTAATTAGAGCGTTTCGATTTCGTATAGATGCAAATTTTGATTTCGATCGTAACCACTCTCGATTTCTTGTACAAACAACCGAAAAATGCCTGATGTAGGCAATATTACAGAATTTGGTTTAAACAAACCCGGATAAAAGTGGTTTTATTTCTCTAATTTATGTTATTGTTTATACAGCTCCTTTAACACAAACACACACTATTTTAAAGTCTAAGTTTTTGATGAATAAAAAATTATTTTTAACAGCTAGCAACGAACCGATCTCGACGATCCACAAGAAGCAACTGAAAAGTATTTGAATTTTCATCTGGGAAAATGTTGATAAAAAATGAACTTTTTATATAAAAGTTCGTTTAGCCAAGACAAATACCGATCGAAGGAAATTAAGCCAAGACAGAATACACTCTATTCCCATCTTGGGATATTTTCATTTAGCGTAGACACAAACCTCCATACAATTTTAAATAAACCTTGTAGGGTTCAAACAGTTTTTTTAAATGTGATAATTGTTTGTTTATGGCTTAATTTCAGTTATGTTTCATAGAAAACTCGTATGTGGAAGAACCTTGGGCTATGTGAAATTTGGTTTTAGGTTAGATGCTTTATTTGCCGAGATAGTTCGAGTAAATATGGTTAAGATAAAAGATTATTATTAACGTCAGCTGACTGGCTACTCAGTGTCCTCGACGACATATTCCAGACATCTTGATAAGAAAAGGGTTATCTTTGCATATGATGAAAAAAAATAAAGTTTGCATAGAAACAAAATTATCCGAAATTATTATGTATCTTAAAATATGACCTTATTTAGGACTCATTTAGGATCTAAAGTTAGCATGGAATAAACCACAAAAAGCTAATTAATGGGACACCTGTGTGTGTGTCAACTTGTGGCTATAAATAAATAAGTAAATGCACGTATCAATCAAAACACCTGCCAGCAGCAGCCTGTGAATCAATCAAATATTTATGGAAGCGAGGAAGCTTCCACTAATTCGCAGCTAACTTAGTGGGTCAGTCCGTCCCAATAACCCCACTGGAAAAGGAAAGGGATAAAACCAAATCCACTCCCGCGCCCAGACAACAAACACACCCTGTCCAGAGTCCTGGCTCTGGAGCTTGGGTCATTATGCCAGCTCCTCCTTTGGATCCTTGGAGCTCATAAGCCGAAGGGGGTTTTGTGTGGGCAACGCGCCCAAAAATTACTTGAAATCAAATGAAAACCGAAATGAAAATGGAATGAAAAGGAAAGGGTCACCACGACGAGCGACGGAGGACTACAACGACAACAAAGACATGGAAGGCGGCGAAAAGTCGGAAAAAATACCCGTAATTACATGAAGCTCTGCGGACAACTGGTGAGCTGCGTGCCAGAAATTGGACAAGGACAGGCAGACGGGTTACAGGCGGAATGTTTACGGCCAAGTTAGTATATGACTAGCCAAGTGTAAGCCTGCACGCGATCAACTGTTGAATGTGTGTGCGGGTGTATTCCGTTCTCAAAGGGAATATCCAGGATATAGAGTAGGGTTTTTGTTTTTTTTTTTTTGTGTGATTTGCGACCTCGTCGCATTAAAATAAAATTTACGACTTTCAAAGATACGTGAATTAGGAAATTGGCGCGTAAAAATAACAGTACCCCATCCCATTCTCCGAAAGGGTGTGTATAGGCGTCGACAGTTGTTCTTGTTCTTGTTGTTCTCCTTAGTTAATTATCCTTTACCGTAATGCTAACGTGCCCCGGTCCTATTCAAAGTAAATGTTACACATACGCCGTGTGGTGCCATTAAAATCGATTTAAGGCAAGCTATTCTCTAACAAGTCTAACTACGGATTCGGGTTACTTTTCGTTTTGTGGATCTTTTTAAGAAATATTCAACTGCCAGCTGAGCAGTCGAGATGGGCAAGGCCAATTGCCGGCTAGACAAGAGTTCCAAATTGGTCTCTCGGGGGATATAAGTCCCTCCGTCCGATTCCATTCCAACTTGTTTGCCCGCCACTCAAATTTTCTATGCCTAAGTGACACAATTTACTTAAATATTGATAAACAAATGTGTCGGAGAGTCTGCTCACTAAATTGTGTTGAATACTGGGAAGTATACCCGCGGGATCCAACCGACAAACATGACAAGATATCTTAAATAATTTTGTACTTCCATGGAACATTTAACTTATAGAAGACTCCAGATTTCATCGAATGATACTCACTTTTCATCGGGTGGTGGTGGCATCTCGCCATTGGGAGTTCCCGGTGGCGTCTTGTCGCTGTCCAACATGGCCATGGGTGCCTCCATCGGTGGCAACGGGCTCACCGAGTTCGTATCCATGTGAAAGCAATCAATTGTGATGCTGCTGCGCTTTTCACTGCGAGGAGAATGAGTTGTGATGAGGTGGGAAGGGAAAACATTTATGAGGCTCGGCATTTAAATGTGGCATTTTAATAAAGAGAACAACAGCAGGCATCATCCTCCATCCTCTATCCTCCGGCAAGGAGCCCACTTCCGCAAATCCCCCCTTTTTGGCCTCTATTTTAGTGGAGAGGGTGTAAATCTCATCTGGTGATGAATGGCGATGGCGGCGCCGCTAGATGCCAGTTTTCATTACGTCTGGGATGTGTGCATTTTATATTTTGAAAGGGAGCTTCACCCCTCACCACACACCCACCCACCCACAGACACACACACAAAACCGAAAACATAATGAGCGGGGAAACCGCTTTTCCGCAGCCCCCGCACTTTCAAACAAACAGAGAATGAAAACAAAAAATGCAAACATATTTACCATGCCCAGAATGGGAAATGGAAAATGGCTTTTGGCTTTTATTTTTGGCGACTCCGCGTTGCGCCGCGTAAGGTGGCAAAACTGCAGCGTCAACTGAAGTCGGGGCAATGCACTTGGCTTGGATTTTACGTTCTTTTTTTTTTTCAGCCCTTTTCTGCCGCCAAGTGTAAAATTGGCTCATCACACGTCCGAATGCGTTCTGCAGAGCCGGAGGAGAGAGAGACTATAAAGAGGGCGCCAATGTCCGATTCACGTCCCTGTCAAGTTGAAGATACTCCAGATACTTCAAATATTCCGGAATCGAGTGTGTGTGTGGGATGTTTCGTTCTCCAATCAATTATTATCGGACGTTCTAGTTCTTGGCAGTGACGATGGAGCAAGTTCAGTGAACTCGATGCGGCGACACTTGATGGACACATCAATGCCGCCTGTCAAAGGCTGATACCGCTTCCTTTGCTCAGCCAACCAACCATGTGGCGCTCCAGGCCCTTGCAGCCAACTTCCAACTTCGGGCTCCACCCCCATGCCAGTTGAATTCCGGCCAAATTGTTCGTCCAGCCCTTTTGGACACACACATGTCCAGTTCCCACGGAGTGGACAACATGGGGATTGACTTCCTATTTGCTTGGATTATGCTGATTATACACAGGCCACAACTGGCGGGGTATTATTAGCAAATGAAAGGCAGAGCGACAGTTTTCGACTGGTGGCCTGTGGGGGAATTCAACTCTGTTTTGATTGGCATCTAGCGACAGTAACACCCGCTCCAGGCATTCTTAAGAAAAATACGAGATATACAATCTGGATGGGGTGAAAAAAATGCTGAATTAATATTAATTGATTAATTGAAGTGGGGAATTTGTTGGTCCATTTTTGCAAATATTATTGAAAGCTTCTCTTAACTTTTACTGCTTCCTGCAGTTAGCTTCCCCAGGGAATAAATATTACTTCCAGTGCTCTTATTTGTTTTTAGGTCATAGAGAAATGTCCCAGATAAGTACACAAAATGCGATTGGAACATAAAAATGTTGAAATATGAAATATGCAGTTCCCAATCCCCCAATTCCTATGCTGATAGCAGCTTTCTGGAGAGGAAACTGGACATTATGCAATCCCACAGCTGCTGACACAGCCCCCATGTATGTGAAACGACCCAAAACAAAGTGAACGGCCAAAAATCCCCTCACAAAAGACGGTCTTCCAAATAAATTTCGAGGGCCCGGAAATGCAGTAACTTGTGCAGTGACATTTTCTGAAATGGGAGGGAAAGAACTCCCCCTCAATAGCCTTCACAATAGACATCCTTTTTGTGTGGCGACAACAAACAGAGACTCAATAATCCGATTTTATGGACTCTTTTGAGAAACCATCAAGCGTCTCAGCTCAAAAGGGACACTCACATATACATACACTCACAGGGATAAAGCGGAAACGGAAGTGGGGATAATGCTGATGCTGCTGGTTTTTGTTTTTGGTGGCTTTCGGCTCAGACCTACCCCAAGATACTTTCGATTGTGTGTGCAGTGCCAAAAGCCCTTATTCACTGGAAAATTTAATCACTCAATTATGCAGCACTCTCGGCTAAAGTCGGGCTTATAATATCGTATGCCTAATTAGATTTGTTTGCCGCTTCAACGAGCTGGAATTTAACTATGTAGTTTCCACAATTAATTCATTTGCCCGAATACGAAAACGAGCAGCGAATTATGCAGCATCCCTCCGGCGGACATGCACACGGAGATGGGCAATGGAATGGAGTATCTGACGGATGCGGTGGAAAAACAAGCAGGCTGACATACACGCAGACCGGCCACTCGGATGGAATCACGCGCTCCGCTCGACCACGTCCGAACTCCACGATAGCTCCAAACGAACTGGCTGCCGCCTGTCGCTGGGAAAACTCTGCCGGCGACCGGACCGGACCGCAGCACACCCGACCACAAAAACACGACAGCGCTAATGGGTGGGTGGGTGACGGGAGATCGGAGCGACCCGAATGGGGGAAAAGCCGGGAAACTGAAGCTGGGGAGCTTCGTGTGTCTCTTGTCTCCAAATGTAAATTACCTCGGGTCGGTGTTGCTATTTCAACTATTTTTTTGAAATAGTTGATTTTTTATCTATGCTGCTTTTTAAATAATATATTTTTCTTAATTCAAAATTTAAGAATTTATTGCTGACATTTATTTATTTATTCAAGTTTGCCTCTGGGGCTGTTTTATTTAATGAAAATTAAATATTCTTTAGGCGGTTTCGTTTTGTATTTTAACGTAGATATTTGTGACAGCACTGGTTGAATTATACGCGCTATCTACAAGATAGTTGTAGACAAAACTCTACAGTCAAATAAAATGTATATAAAAATGTAGAAACACATTTTTTAAAAATGAAACCTAAAAAAAGGGATTTCAAAATATTAAATTAATTTAAACTTTTATTTCAATAACAAAATAACCCTTAATAACTTTTAATGAGATTACTTGACAGTTTGAAACCCAATAGGGAACAATAAACACCTATTTCTGGCATCCTAAGTACATACCTTCTAGTTCCCATTAAAAAGTTGTAAAAAAAGAAATATATCTTTAATTCAGTAAATATTTATTTAAATATAATAATAAATATATTTATAATCATAGTACTAACACACAATTGAAATGCAAAGTAAGTATTTCAAACACAGATATTTGTCGGAACCCATACATATATGTTTTTAGATCTCAAGGTCCTGAAACTGCTAGCTAGTTTTAAATACTCTGTACAATTATGTACATGATTCTTGGATAAGAAAGGATAGTTATCTATATCCCTAACAAATTATGAAAATAATTTCTTTTTAAAACCAGCTCCATGAAGTAAAGATACAAATGTGTGATAAAACTATTATATTTATTTTCGATCAGCTAACTATATATGATGTATATTAAATGACCAGATCGCCTAAACATGGCCTGGCTTATTGGAACAGGATAATCAATACATGTATAGAAACACACATACATATACATATAAACACATACATACAAATATCAATTGACAGATTTGAATGCAAAATACAATTAAGACGGGTCACAGACCCTAATTCCAAGTGGGTTAGTCGATATTTGTTAAGATTATTGTCATTGTTTCGAAGAATACCCTGGAATAGATGTGGCTAACTAAGCACTACAAGTACGTCCTGATCAAAGGACGAAAGACTAAGTGACCAGTGCGAGGAACTGGGTATTTTTTTGGATAGGGCATAATCTTATTTTTTAATCTAATACCGTATTTCCTAAGGTTTTGTGCGAATAATTTAGGCGGATAGAGGGAGGCGAGATTCTACATGGCGGCAACGGCTGCTCCGGCTGCTCATCTTGCTGCTTATAGTCCTGGCTTGGTCTTGTCCTCTCTGCTGCTTCCGCTGCCGGCGCTAGCAGTACTGCCCGCATCCGAAGGCACCGGGCTGGAGCGGCCAGATCCTGCTGGCGTGCCCGATTCGACGGGCGTGGGAATGGGGCTGGTGGCCGGGCTGGTCTCCAGGTCGCTGGTGCTGACAATTTCCTGAAAAGCAAAGTTCGATTTGTGTTTTTCATCAGACGCACTTGGACTTGAATTCGTGGGATTGGTCTTGACAACTGGTCCTGACTCTTGATCACATTTTAAACTTGAACTGACCTCATCTGCTTGCGTCTTGGTGGTGACCGCCTCGGTCTTGCACTCCTCGCTGGCGACGTCCGCCTTCTCGGCCCAGGAGCGCAGGAACTCCACCACGTGGGTGTGGCCAAAGTTCTCGGCCTCGTCGACTGGCAGGTTGCCCCAACGATCCTTGGGATTATGCGGCACATGGCACTGCTCCAGCAGGAACTTGACGCACTCCAGATGCCCCTCGGATGCGGCAAGATGGAGGGCTGTGCGTCCGTCGTAGTCGGCCAGGGTGATGTCCATTCCCGAGAGGCGATGGCGCCTCAGGGCAGTCACATCTCCGCTTGCTGCCGAGAACAGAAGATTCACAATGGACAGGCCCTTGGTTTCGTAGCGGTGCTTGCGGGGATCCTTCTTGCTGGACAGATGCTTCAGGTTATCGTAGCGATGGAAGTTGAACATGTTGATCAGTTCCTCACAGAACTGCAATCCTCGCACAGTGTTGCCGAGATGATCCAGAGGCGGCGACCAGGCGAAGATGCCCATCACATTGGGGATGACCAGCATCATGCCGCCGCTGACACCTGACTTGGCCGGCAGACCCACCTTGAAGGCGAACTGACCGGAGTAGTCGTAGGTGCCGCAGGAGTGCATGATGGAGAGTACATCCCGTATGACTTCCGGGCGGAAGACCTTCTCCTCGGTGGTGGGGCAGATGCCACCGTTAGCCAAGCTGGCGGCTATCACCGACATGGCCTCGCAGTTGGTCTCCATGGAGCAGCACTGGAAGTAGTAGTCCATCACTTCCTTGAGGTTAGTGCGCTTGGGGAAGCACTTGTTCTCCCTCATATAGAAGCCCAGGGCATAGTTTCTGTCGGCAGCCTCGCGCTCCGACAGGAATACGGCATTGTTGAAGCCAATATACTCGCCACCGGAGAGGCGCTTGAACCAGGACATGGTATAGTCGAAGATCTCCGCCGAGGTCATGTCAGGTTTGACGAGAGCATTCATCAGGGAGCAAGTGAGTATGGCACCTGCATTGATCATCGGGTTGTGGGGTTTCTCTGAAAGAAGTATTTGAATTAGATGTGTGCCTAAAAGTCTGATAAATCCGATAATTGCAAACTTTTTGAACAAATACGATCGAAGGCAGCTCGTATGCGAAAATATTTGCTTTATCTTTTAAAGACTTTGAAAGTCTGGGTGTGTGTCAAGGTGGAAGCCTCCCTAAACTTACTATTTTGATCCAGGACCAGTTCATTAAAGTTCCTGCCACTTGGCTCCTGGCCAACATACGAGTGCACCACCTTGGGGCCCAGCTTCTCCAACGCAATGGCATAGGTCAGGGGCTTGCTGCAACTCTGGAGGGTAAAGGGCTCCTCCACATCACCAATGGAGTACCGCTGGCCATCCACTGTGCAGATGCTGACGCCCCAGAAGTCAGGACTGTATCGGGCCAGCTGTGGTATATAATCCGCCAATTTTCCCAAGGTATTGCTCTTGCACCGACAGTAGATCTCCTCAATGTCCTTGACGAAACTCGAAAAGTCGGGAATGATAAACTGCTGTCGGAAAGCCTTGGCTATAAGGACGATATTTGGAGCCACCACACTGTGGATTAAAAGAATGAAAGTTAATAATATGGAAGTAGATTGGGGAAAGTTCAGAACTTACGCCTTGAAAGTCTCCCGATTCAGATGCTGGGTTTCCGCAGAGGAACCCGTCTCGTAGTTGTTCAGTTTATGAACTTTCTTCAGATTATCCATCAGTTCTCGCACTCGAGGATCATTCCTACGAATGCCAGTGGTCTTCAGCCCGGCCAGGAACTTTCCCATCGATATGAGGCCCGTCTCCTCGCTGGCGAACATATCGAAAAGAACGTCCTCGGCATTCCGTTGCTCCTGTTCGCGATGGCTGTGAATTGTGAAAAATAGAATGAAAATAAAATACAATACAAAATAAAATACAGTCTTGAATGATTAGCGAAATACTAGTTGCAAAGCAAAAAAAAAGTACAAAATAACAGCTATTGGGTTTTAGGGCAGTTGCTAATTGAGCGGCAATCGCCCGTCGAATTTTAGCATGCGTGTGTGGAAAAGCAAAATATAATTCGCAGAAATTATACGGCTACAGGTGGATAGGTGGGAGGAACTGGTGGGGGATTTTAAAAGGGGTTTGTCTTTAGCCAACTGGCGCTGAACTCTCCTCCAAGTGCTAATTGGCTCACAGACACAACTAATGCAGTTCGGCAGCTGAAAAAACTGCAAAGATCCAGTTGGGACGTCTAAATATAGATCTTCCATCGTTTATGCTTGACTTGATTGATTTGATTATTTTGATTTTTTTATTCTGGTCTTCGGGTAAACTATTAATTTGGGAAATCGTTGCTAGCTGGGGAGACTTCAATCATTGCCAATTAAGTTGAATTCGGGACTCGATTAAGAGATACATTCGCAATTCTACACAAGGAGGAAATTCAGATTCGTTCGATTAGATTACTCACGGCCGCATCGAATAGTGGCGTCGCTGATTGCTAAAATAGTAATAAACAGGATTGATCAGACAACATATCGTTAGTCAGGTCAGATTTGCATATATTGGCCATAATAGAAAGGCCATAATAGCTGTGTGTAATAGGCGTCAATTGACGCAGTCTGTTCAGAGGCTAGGGAGGTGTGTCTGGCTGATTGTGGCACTGATAATTTTTGTGGCATGTGTTTGCAAACTATTTTTACAACCCACTACACTTAGAGAATGTCCCTGCCTCGGCTGGTCTTCTTCCGGTGACTATTTTTACCTGATAATCGCGGAAATCGTACGGACTATGGTGCCGCGACGATTCTGCAACGAGATGCCCTCGATGATCTCCTCGATCATGGCCGCCGTCTCAGTGGTCACCTGATCCTTGTCCTTTCTATAGTTCTCCTCCCGCTCTTTGGCATCTCGATCCTCGCTCTGGCGCTTCAGAGCATCCAGTATCTCATCCGTTTGCACCATGGTGGCGGCGTATAGTACGTGATATTACAAAAGGGCGTGTGGACTAGTCGGGGCTTTTCAATTCCGGATGAGATCAATCGCCTTGACTTGAACGCTGAACTGTTGCAAGTTTAATGGGCACAACTGTAAGCGCTCCGGCATTTTATACATTGGCGGAATGTGTGATTTTTTTTCGCCGAGCACTTAGACAGATACCGCAGATACAGATACAGATACGGATGACGGATGCGTGTGGAGGTGTTACGGCGGAGAGCAGGGCACCACTGAGAGCAAGCCACTCGATGTGCTAATTTCTAAATCATGTTATTGCCAATAAAATAAATTAATTAACTCCTTTTTCTCTATACACAAATACCCATACACCGCCACCTTTGTGGGCTTTATGGCATTATAATGGCACATTGTCTGCCCCGAACCGCTCCGATGTACGAGAGTTAGATAGTCCGTTGTGGAAACCGTGATAAGACCCCCGAAAAAAACGTCACGCGGAGCCACCCCCTTCTTTTTTTCGATTCCTCGCCGTAGATAAGGAGTCACTTGTGAGTCACATTTACCTGATATACTTCGTTATCACCTTGACGAACGTCTCCTTCTGGCTTTTGGTGCAAAGTCCGGCCACCATTTCGCCAATGATTCCGGCATCTATCAGATCCGCATCGTCCTGAATCCGCTGCTGGCCTTTTTCGGTGGCTGATGTCTCTTTTATGGGGATCTCTTGGGCTTTCTCCTCTTCCAATTTGGCGGCATTTTTCTTGACCAGTTCTATTAGTTCCTCGCCGGTCATGGACTTTAGGTCGTCCACTATTTTCTGCCGAATGCTATCCTTGAACTGAGCGGCCTCCTCGGCAGTGTAACCATCCAGGGGTAGTGGTGCCTTTTCGGTGGCATATTGCAGCAGGTTCCAGCTGCGATCTCCCATATCTGGTATTAGTTATCCTCCGGCTCTCTATGCAAACTTGTGGCCCGTCGCTGCCGAAATGAGCGCAACCGCCGATCGTCAAATGGTTTTATAGTTGCCAACATCAGACATCATATTGGACATACACTCATGAACACTCATAAACATATATACATACATATATTTGAGCGAAATTCGATTTTTATCTTCGTTTAATAAACGTATGTTAATTTATTTTTATTCGCTAGTGATTGCCGGCAATTAGCGCGTGTTTCGGCCCAGAGATACCGACCCTCCCATATGGATGGAACCCTTTTCATCTTTTGATTTATATTTTTGAAACAAAAGAGATCTCAAAATATTTACCCCAAAAAAGTGTCAACCAAAATATTTTTGCAAATCAGAGAACTTTTCTTTGCAACTTTGCAACCAACTGCGAGAGATTTGTTGCTAATTGTGAGGGTCAACCTGCTGATGTTTTTCGAAAACAATATTTTCCGAGCTATTCATAGTTCTGTAAACTGCAGTGGGATCTAAAAATGGATTAGTGGGCAGTGGGCTGCAGTAGTCGCCAAGTGGACCCAACTGATTTGAGCCACGTGGCGGAAGAGCTAGAGCAGCCGAGGCAGGTGCCAAATAAGTGGGCAAATATTTTGCAATTCTGGCAGTTAGTGACTGGATGCAAGTGACTTGGATTGTTTTTGGTGTGAAGTGGTGAAGTCTGGTGCAGGTGATAGTTGATACTTATTCCAGTTTAATACTTACAGTTTTGCATTCTCGTCATTGTGGCTCTTGGGTCCAGAGCTGGTATCATAGAAGGATAACTTGCGATTGGCAAAAACCAAATTCAATAGCGGGGGAGCGCGCAGTTTATTCTGAAATGTTAAAACAATGAATTAAAAACAATAACTTGGCTTGAGGAATTCCCCATAAAAGTCACGTCTTCCTGGTTATTCGTTTTAATCACGTACTAGCATATTCACAAGCTTTAGTCAATGTTTTCAGCACTCGAAACTAAATCCAAATAAAGACCAGTGCCATTAAGAAGTCCATTTTATAGCCAGTTTTGGAATTAATTGCTTCTTTCGAAACATTAAGGTTGCCCCTAAAACTCTGCAATGATTTTTTGTATAGCTTACGAGGATGGTTTTATGCCGCATATTGCTCGAATATTGGACTCTAACCAGAATTCTCAACCAATTCGACGTCGAATTCATTGAAAATTTAAATTTTAGTAAATTTAATTTAAAGATCTTAGCCTACTAGAAATAATCTATCTTGGCTAATGGAACTAGAAGACTAATTCGTTAATGTAACTTAATACTTCCTGACCTGCCTTGGATAAAAATGGCAGTCGCCATTATCATGTTACTGCAATGACATCATCGGAATGATAAGGGTAGGTTTACTTAATGAATTCTTTATAGAATTCTCTACATTTTTTAGTAGTTTGCTTTGATTAAATAAAAGTTTACACGTGCTTAACTATTATTTTCCTCTTAGTCTCCAAAAAATCGATCGATCTTCAAATATCGATCTCTGTTTTCTTTGTTAAGCTCTTTTCGCACTTGCTGCTTATTTGCATATTATTAAATAAAAAGTACATATAGGTATTTAACCGAAAGAAAGTCATGTGAGGGCGAGTATATCGCAGAATAACAACAACAAGAGCATTGTCAGGTGCGGGGAATAAAAATAAAAAGAATAAAATATTTGGTAAACAAGTTTTTTTTTTGTTCAATATACGTTCAAGGGGCCTGTCAACCATTAGCGCGTGGGATTTGGCACCTTTAAATAAAAATTTGAAAAGTTGACGAAAATCTGACGCAGATTTCGCACGGAAGTGCAGATATTCTCAAAAGAGAAAGGTGCTGAGAGAAATGAGAAAACTACTCGTATCTGAGAATTTTGTAAGAGATGTAATATCTAACAATGTATTTGAATATCTTATGAAATAGTCTAGACTTGTTTATTTACAAAAAAAAAATAGCATTATTTTCTTAGTTAGAAAACAGGTGGACTTTAATAGGCTAACTTATTGACGACTTGGCAGGAATATAATAAATCTTTACATCATTTTGTTTGAAATTAATTGTTGCTACTATAGGAGGCTCTAAAAGTTTTTGTAAATCCCTAGAATAAATTACTAGTTTGACATAATAATTAAGTGAAAACGGAAGCAACTGATTTAGAATTCGGAGGAAAATATTAAAGCCTTAAGTTTTGCTTAGTTGTGAGTGATAAGTTATCGAAGAAAGACGGTATATCTGATAGATTTAAAAAAAAATAAACAAATTTAATCAGAAACTTGATTGCGAAATTAATTTGCAAATCGGCTTCAATATCTTTTAGAACATTTAAGCGGTGAAAGAAGAAATTTTTGATAAATAATACAATTTATTCCGCTCTCTATTTTATTTACTCTCTTTCCCCCAATCTCACTTGGTAACCCATGCGAGTGGAGGGGGCTTGATTTGGTTTCTGTTGTTATGGCAGCTAAATTATTAATACATATTCGGGTATGCTAAATATTTATGAATGTGTGTCTACAGTTTGGACTCTTCCATGGCAACAAAAGAATTTGCTAAAAAAAAAATGTTTGTTTAACTTCTGCTATAGCCCCTAGGTTTTCCATATCTCTAAGCACGAGGTGTTCCATCTTTGGTTCCGATTTGTTGCCATGTTCACGTTTTCATAATTTATTTTCGGTTGACACTTTCCCGTGACTTTGACACTTCAAGAGCTAGTGAATCACATACATACACACGAAGAAATAATGGCACAGAAACCTCTATTTTATCAGGGAAACAAATGAAATCTTTTCAGTACTTCAGAGTTTATGGTATACCCAGTAGACATTCTAAATTATTCCAGTGCTATTTTTAGCTTATCAGCATTATATTTATTTTTTTTTAACAATTCTACAAGCTTTGTATGAATAATATTTTTCCACAAGGGATCAAAGATTAAAGTAACTAAACTATCTTGATTCTTTGAAAGCAATATATTATTGGAATTATTTTGGATTCTACCAAATAGATTAAGAAGAAAGACTCGTAAATTTTGACAGCAATAAGGAAGTAAGTAATATTTGAAAGATTTTGATTATTTTCCAAAGTGTATGGGAGCTTTATGACCCACGATTGGGTCTGATGATAGATTCAAAGCAGATTGCCCCTTCCGATCTTCAGTCTTCCAATCAGTATCTTTCAATGACCCGGCGTGTGTCTCGCCAAAGTCTGGTATTTGGACATTTTTATTAACTTGTTGACTTGTTGACAACACAACCCAATTCTGGGAGTTCCACACTTGTCACATGAGATTTTCGGGGGATTAGTGATGACTCTGTCGCTTGATTTGCACCTGATTAGCACCTACAACTACCGAAAAAATTGTTCATGATAATTTCACAATTAATTTTGGTCGGTAGTCGCCGCCCGCAATCCCAGATCCGATAAGATAACCAAAACCGATTATAAGTTTTATCTATTCCCCTGGGATGGCAGGATGGCAGTGGGCGTGTTATCTGTCATGGGCCGGGGGCCAGGAGATTGCGTCAGTCACGCTGGGCCTGGCTTTTATCTAATTAAACTAATGCGCTCCGGCGTTTTCATTAAAATTTCCTTTTTAGCAATGTCAGCCTGAATGAATGGTTACGTTTGGGTTTCAAAGGTAGGCGAAATCGCCCCGTCCAGACCCCAGACACCGTCATATCTTTTTCTTGTTTAATTTCCGAAAAATATCTATTTTTGGGACGTCTGCAAATTGTTTGTTTTTTACGCAAGCATTTGCGCATCTGAGCGGATAATGGGCTCCGTTCCACATGATACGTGAAAAAATCAATAGTCCGGGAGGAATATTGTGGCCAAAAAAAATATTCGTTTAGTCAGCTGTTCTTTTTTGGGGGTTCAGCCATCAACCCCCTGGCCCAAAACGCTTTAAACTCACCTCGCTGGCAATTTTCTGCTGCAGCTGTTTGCCCGTGTGTCCGTACTTGGCGCGCTTCAAGAGATTGGGTTCCTGGTCCAGAGCCAACAACGTCGGATCCTCGGCCAGCTCGGCGGCGGAGGCCTTCGAGCGACAGGCCAACAGTACCTGTCCGTGTCCCGTCAGAAGGCGCAGGTTACGACCGGCTAGCGTGGGAACACCTTTAAGCATTATCACAATCACAGATTTGTCTAATTGGCTGCCCTAATGACGATGTCTTTGATTCACTGAATCACGGATTCCTAACCGGGATGATAAGGGTACTTGCTGCTTGGATAGTTTCTTCTATTTTTCGTTCACGTTGCGTATCCGCTCTGGTGTCTGCACATGCGTTCTTTTTCGCCGCTCGCTGTTGAATGGTGGCCCAAACGCCAGAAACCCCATAATCAGCTCGGCACTCCGGCAGCGGCAGCAGAGGCGAAGCAGCGACGCTTACTTCTTCGGGTTTTTTTTATTTAATTTTTTAGCTGCTTAGTGAGTAAGCATAAATGGCAGCTCCTTCTTTCGCACTCTCTTTCTGGGAAAGGGGAGACTGTTGAGTAATCGCTAGAGTGCTCCAAGGTGTGGGTGAGAGCTCCCAGGTCCCTCTCTCTTGCCTCTCTGTGTAGGCTGTGACGTTGCTGGGGGCCTGTCTAACCAAGTGACGTCACTATTAATAGCCAGAGCTACACTGAGAATAATAATCTTCAATAGAATATTTTAAAGAAAATAATATTTATGAAATTTTCCAAATCTTACAAACTTTATTACAAAATTCATCAAAAAACCAAAAGAAAGAAAATCCATTTCATTCGCAATGAGGCATCGCATTGAAGAGGCAGGACATCACATGGAGATAGTCCTCTTCCACCAGCTGGACCTGCGACTGCTCACAAAAACCGCGATCCGTCGGCGGGGGAAAGAGCTGAAGATCAATGGCGGCCAGTTCATCTTCCAGGAAGGATTCCCCCATTTGGGTCGAAGGATATAAACGTTTTCGGCTTTCGGGGCTACCTCTAGCGCCAGCATTTGGTGTCGTCGATATGGGACTCAGATCATGGCTCATGTCGAATCGGTTGGGCGGCGGAGTGCGCAGCTGCTGTTGTAGATGCTGGCGGCGAACCACATTGACACGAAGCTCATTGGTAGTACTGCTGGCTCGACGCACAACATCCGAGGTGCGGGACGAGCTGGGCATTCCATAACTTTTGGCCGGATCCGAAAATTTGAGCTTAAAAATGCCTTGTTTACGTCGCTGGTAGGGGTTTTTGTTGTCTCGGTTGTCGACCAGTACCTTGCGGCGCACAAACTCGTGGTAGAGACACAGCTCGTTGCTTATCTCCCGGCGTACGATTTGCTTCCAGCGCGGCTCCAACACCGGCGAACGGATCACGCAGATGCCTTGCGACGCCACTAGCATGAGCAAGTGCTCCAGTGCCAGCTGACACAATTGGCCGTCCATGTTCGACAGCAGCTCACTGGCTGGACAAGACACCGAGGAAATCGAGCTGATGGATAGAGATTTGGAAAACGTACGATCGCTATTATTGCCAAGGGTACCATCCGCTTCATCGTTCCCAGTGGTATCACCGCCTTGCTCGACAGTGGGTAGGGTATTTATAGGCACCTCACTAAAGCCATGGTTTTGCTACGAATATTCGAAATTAAGTAAAGAATTACTTCTTAAATTAAACATCTTACCATATTTAACGACTTTACGTAAATGTTAATCATGTTGAGCACCATTCCAAATGTAAGACACACATTGTCTTCACTCATTTTTGGAGCCCCAAACTTGACATCCAGTATGGGGTTCCATTTGTGGGGATGGTAGACATTGTTGCACAACAAATCCATTAAATCTGGACTGAATTTCAAAAAGGTCTTTGTGCAATATATTATAATTTCCGTAATGCTAGAAGAAAAATAATTCAAAGTCTAAGAAACCAAAGAATCCAAAACCTATAAACTATAACTCACTCATTGCAAGCCGTGATTAGTTCATCGTCGATGGAGATGTCCTCGACTCTTCGGAGAATCTCCAACTGCGAACGCCGACCTACCAGGAGGCATTTAAGGTTCCTTTTCTGATGGAACAGGGAAGATATATGGCAGAGCAGACTTTGAAGTGATCGCTGAAAACATAAATAGTTTGAGTTATGAACTAAAATTTGTGAAACACAAACACCCACCATTATAGTTTGCAAAGATTTGTCGTCATATTGCTGCCACTCCTTGTGGTCCTCGGCGAGACAAGCCACAAAGGTAACAACTGCCTTGATCAACTGCATGGCAGCTGGCTCAAGAGACTTTTTGCTCAGTTGCAGGGCATCCACCAAATAATCCTCATGGATTCCCACAAACTGGAGGGTTGGGTTCAGGAAACACTTCTTATGCTTTTCGTAGATGATGGTGATGAACTCGATGCCACGGGCGTAAATGGGCCACCACATCTCCACTGTCCAGTGCTGGGCCTCCGATGCGGGTGGCTTGCTGAAGTCAAGCTGGGATTTCAAGAGTTCCCTGGGTGGCTTTAAATGCAGCCACATATACTCGCCGATATCGCAGTGCAGGAACTCCACAGAGCAGTTGCTTTTGGCGAAAACGATGAGCACATCCAACAGCTGGACACTGAGGAGCTGCTTGCTGACCAGCGGCAAGGTATGAGAGATGCAGCGAAGAATTCGTGGAAACAGGCGAACGGATACAAAGGGCAGATCCCAGTTTCCAGGACCATCATTGTGAAATATTGTGGCCACCGCCTTGAGGAGGTTCAGACACAACAGCAATGAATTCCTGGAGTTTTTGTTGTCCGAATCTTGGGAGTTGTTGAGGGAAATTGGCTGCTCCAATGCGACGGAGTTCTCCATGTGTTGCAGTTCGCTGCAAATGATGCTCAGCACCGAGTTCAGGAAGCGCATGGCGATGGACGTGTCCCGAATGAGCAAGCTCGTGTAGAGATGCGCACACTTCGTAACGATGGCGAGGCAGGCCTCCTTGGCCCTAACATGCAAGTCCTCGTAGCAGGAGCAGATACGGCTCATGAGCTGCAGCAACAGCTCCATCAGTTCTTGCTCCTCTTCGGCACTGTTGGTGTATGAGTGCTTGAACTGGAGCAGCAGGAAAACATAGAGCTCCGCTAGCATGATGAAGGGACGCATGTCTTCCAGATAGAAAGAGCGATCCACCAGCACCTTTAGACACTTTTGAGCCATTAACTTGAATTGCGACTCGGGAATGGTCATGAACTTGGGCTGTTTCTTCAGCATGATCACAATGAGGTCTTTAAACGCTTGCAGGCAACATATCCAGTCGGGGAGTTCATCGGAAGAACTGGGGACTGGGGTCACTGCAGGCACCTTTGGCATATCGAACACGTAGTTTAGCCAAGGCTCGAAGTGCTTGGGTTGGAACAACTTGGTCATGACTTCCAGCAAGGGTGCATTCTTGCCATTTCCCGTATACACTTCTATGGATATGATGTTTAAAAGCTGCGTGTAGATCCTTACATTGGGCTGCAGCTCGCTGAAGAGCGGGGCGCAGAGTTTCTGCCAGAAGTTCTTATCCTTCAGCAGATCCTCCACCAGCATTTGCAGGTTATGCTTCCACAACGAGTGAAAGATGTTCATTATTTTCCCGGGCAAGGCTTGTTGAATGGTACGAGGCTCCACTTCCAGGGCGTCGAGGAACTCCTTCATGTATGTCACGATGCTTTCTCCTATGTTGGGGGCATAGTCCTTGCCGAAAAAGGATCGGGACCGATTATTCTGGGCATAGTTGACCTTGAAGAAGGCCTCGGTTACACCTGGCTGTTTGGCAATGCAGGCATCTACCAGCTCCAGGATAGCTAGCTTGATGGAATCGCTCTCTAGCTCGTCGGGGAGCTTTTGCATGAATGTTAGCCGAATCTGGTCCGCCTCCATGTCCAAGCAGGCCAGCAGGGACATGTTAAACTCCAGGGCGATACGCTTTAGCAGGCGGCAGGATAAGATTGGAAGCCACCTGTCGAAAATGTTGTTCATGTAGCTGCAAACTGTGGGAATTATCCTCAGAGTATCTCTCTGCTTAGGCTGGGTGTATATCAGGGCCTCCAGGGGAGACAGCGAGTCGGTCTGTCCATAAACCTTGTCCTTCAGACGAAGCAACTGCATTAGAATACGCATAGAGAGTCGAACCAGCATCGTAAGACCATGGGGTTGCTGCTGCATCCAATTGCTTTCCAGTTCCATGGAATATTGGACATAGGCATTGCCCACTCCAACAAATCTGAATAAAAAAGAATATATGTCAGTGATAGAAGTTAAATAGTGAGGTAGCTCTTACTTCAAGAGGATTAGACCATTCTCCAGATTCAGCAGCGAATAAACACACATCTTCAGGAGCAGATCACGCTGTTCACACTTTGTTTCTTCGCCGTTTCCAACCAAATCAAGGATGTCGCAGATAAAGCTCAAGACTTCAAAGAAGATCTTATTTTTCTTCACCTGCGACCTAAAGTGCCAGGAGTGCAGATGCGGAAAAACGTCCCTCAGAAGGAACAACAATCCTGGTATCTCCACCTGTATTAACTGATTCTTCTTTAGCTTGGTGTAGGTGCGCAGAAATCCTAGGTACGCGATTAAGAAATCGTATCGCTCGTTCTTCTTTTCGACATTATCGATGACAGAGCCAAGGAAGCGCGACTCAAAGCCCACGCCACTTGCGGCGGCGTAACGCTTGAAATCATAATCGTTTCTATAATTGACAGTCGGCAGAATGTCCAGGTTGCTGACTCGCGCAAAGATCTCCTGGTCCACCAACGGTAGCAACGCTGTGCAGACATTTAAGCAGGTGGAAAGCAGACGAACTGGTGGATACGGCACACACTTGAACTTGTGCAACAGATCCACGCACATCTCTGTGGGATGCACCATCTCAACGCTAATCTCTGACACGGCTTGGCTGCGCTTCACGACACCCTCCAAAAAGTTCAGCCCAGACTCTACGCGATGAATGCGTTCAGATGACTCAAAGTCCCCATGCAAATGGCCGGTCTCCCTCAGAAGGCAGTTTATTTCATGATGCAGGGCATCAAAAAAGTTCACCTGAGTGCGGAAGTGCATGAAGCAACCATTTGGGTGCTGAACGGCTGTGCAACTGGTGCCCGCTGGAATGGTAAAGTCGATTCGAGGAAAGGGAGAAACACTGGCCGTTAACTCAAACTCATCCGTGTCTATTTCCCTAAGCTTGTGCACACTTTCATCGTAAAGAATGGCCAAAATGGGCAGAGATTCCAGCTGTCTTTTGATCTGTAAGTGGATTTCATCAATAGACTATAAATTAAGTATATTATACTTTATACTCACGTAGTTTCCCTGACCAGCTTTGGTCAAAGAGTTGGCCAGTTTGGCAAGATTTGTAAACTCAAGCGGAAACTGTTCCAACAAAGTTTTGTACAGGGATCGTGGTCCATAATCTATCAAAGAGTAATTTCCATATTAGCTGATCTTTCATATGTATAATGGAAGACAAACCTTCATTACTACAGAATTCCTTTGCCAGCTGTGGCCAGGCCACGAGCTCACAGAGTAGCTCATAGATTCCCTCATAACGTCCACAACTTCCATCGCCATCGAACAAGTCGCACATGTATCCTAGATGGTTGTATATGGTCTTTCGGGCAATCCGAGAAATTATTGAATCATCTGCATAAATGGAGTGGGAGGCAATCTGATGAAGTTGTACGAAGCATTTCAGATCTGCAGCCTTTTTCCCTAACTGGCGGCAACGAAGCAAACTGGAGGCATCATCTGCATCATTGGTGCCACGCAGGCGGAGCAGCATCCAAACTAGCAGCAGGGGTCCATGTTCTGGGCGATGATGCAAGCCAGAGATCTCCCCGTTAAGATCTTCGACCAATTTCTCAATGAGATCGACGTGGTCCTGAGGGTTTTCAAAGTCAAAACACTTCATGAGGAGGACGAGCTCGGAATAAGCCAGACCACGAATAAGCTCAGAATGGTAGGACTGGTTTTCGTCCAAGTAGCTCTGCATCCGGCCGAAGGAGTGCTGCTTGCAGGCGGAAAATATTCTCTTGATTTGGGCCAGTTCCATGGGCAGATGCTCTGCCAGCAGAAGCAGGATTTGCAGAACTTCGTTGATCTCACGGGCGTTTCTCTCTGACCAAGAAACGAGTCGTTCCGTCGAATGGAAGCACTCGCCCACCATGAGCTTCCTAGGCGGCGTTTCGCCGATGAGGCTCTCCAGCTGCTCGAGGTACGAGTCACGCAGACGCGTCAGTGTTATTTTCTCCACCACCTTTCGGTACTCCTGGTGGTATGGATGGTTCGCCACGCGGTGGAACACGATCATGTTCTTTATGATCTTCAGGACTATCATGCGTTCTAGCGAGTAATAGTGTCGAATGTCCTCGTGCAGCTTGGCCATGTTAGTTTCCGTGGAGATCAGCTGGGTCAGCAGGCTGGCCGATCCACGGTACTCCTGCGTCAAGTAGTAGCATAGAATTTCCCAGCACTGGGCCGACTCCAGATCCAGCAACTCCTGGAGGCCCTCGGTGAAGGGCAGCAGCTTTTCCTGTTTCTTTTCCTTGAGCAGGGCACTCAGCTGGACGTTTGAGGCGCTCTTGGGCTTGAACTGGAGCACTCCAGCTTGGAGTTCTGACACCACCTCCATTAGCTGCTCCAAAACAATTTCTTGCGGAGTCTCATAGTGAATGCCGGATACGATTTGCCAGAGGCGCTTCCAGTCGGTGCTGGGGAGAGAGTTATAAATGAAACTATGATTGGGATGTGGTTCCTGCAACTTACATCACACACTTTTCCACCGCAGGCATGGTCTTTGTTCTCTTAACAGCTAAAATACAGAAATTTAAGATTGTTTATTACAAACAATTCACGCGCGAATCCGGTATGGCTCCGGTCAGCTGTAATGGGAGATCCACAGTTTTACAGCGCCACCTGTGGGGCTAACTAAAATTTATCGATAAATTTCGATAGTGATAACACTTTTTTAGGGTTGGTAAGCGTTGAAATACGCGCCAAGCAGATAATTTAAAATTCTTCTGGTCTTTCCTTTATCAGGTCTTTTGCAGGCTCAAATCATTTAATTAAATAGTTTATATTTTTATTTGGTAATTGTTTATTTGGTAATTCGCTTTTTGGTAAATGTCTCACAACAACTATTTTACGACTAGGGTAATGTATGCGATTTTCTGAAGACAAGCCTCCGATTTGTCCTATTATAAAGTTATATATGGGTATTTGTAGTTCATGTCTTTTTTAACTCAGTTCTTTTTGCGCAACTTTGGTGCTCAGTTGTTGGTTTGTTTGGTTTCTTCGTTTGAATCCCTTCTCACACATCCGTTGCTGAAAGTAATTCCAGTTGAAGCTCAACTAAAGGATAACAAGCTGCAGATACATAGATACACAGATTCTTGGGTGCGATTGGGGATGGGGTCGTTACAGAGATTAGATACATATATGTAGTTATTAGTAATTGGTAGAATCAGCAATATCGGTGAGGCATTCGAACTCTGAAACTCAGGAACTCAACTAGTATTTGATCGCTACTAAAACACGACTAACTTATGGGACAACCAACTAATTTTTGCAAACATTCAAACGCTTAAGCATCCTAGGCCTCCTCGCAGTCCTCGTCCTCCTCACGCTGAACAAACAGAACATGGTTTCGGGCCTCTAGGATGGACCACACAACCAGGGGCGTACATCCCAGCACCATGCAGGAGCCCATGCAGTAGAAGCAGATCTCGTAGTCGCCAGAGAGGTCCCTCATAAGTCCCGCCAGCGGTGGCACCGAAATGGCACCGATACTCTGGAACATCCTCACCAGACCGTAGCTGGAGCTGATCCTGTCCGTTCCGAAGACGTCCGCCAGGAGCACGGGCATCAACACGTACCAGCTGCCCAGGCATAATCCATAGACGGCAGCTGACATTCCCACCAGAATCAGCGTCTTGGCGAAGGGTATGGTAAGGACGGCCAATCCGGCTCCCAAAATGCTGTATTTTGAAGAAATGTTTGAGAATATGTTACTTATTTTTAGCTTGAACTACCCACCATAGAGTATAGGTCTTTTTTCGATCAAACAGCTGCAGGTCGGACAGCCAACCTAAGCCAAGGCGACCACAAAGGTCTAGGACAGCACTGATGGCAACCAGATAACCAGCCTCGCTTTTGTTGTATCCTGGAGGATCAGAGTAATAGTTTCTATCAAAATATCCTTAAAAGATAAGACCCAAAACCCACCTATGGAGATGACGTGTGCGGGCAGATAGTACAACATGTAGGGACATCCCACAGACATCAGGGTCACCGACAGGCACATCAGGATAAAGCTTGGCTCCTGCAGTAAGCTGATGTCGAGGTACATCTCGATTCGCTCGCAACAGGTACGCGGTCCCTGCTCCTCGTCGTCGTCCTCGTCATCCTCTCCGGCTGTTCCATGGCAGTCGCCGTCGATGGACTCTACCAACTGGGGGTCCAGGATACAGTTTTCCGCCTCTTCCCGGGGCTGTGGCTTTAGATCGCTGAGATTGCTCACCGGCGTGGGTATCTCCATGCTCTTGCTCAGCCCACGACTCACGACACTCGGCGGCGAAAGTGGCTTTTCCAGGTGGGCCTGGATCTTGGAGATGACCTCGTCATTGGCGAAGACGTTGCGCCGACGACGACTGCCGCGATTCGAGTCCGTGCCGGAGTGCTTGCGGTAGACCCAGGTGCTGTCGGTGCTCAGATCCTCCACGGAGTGCAACAGGCCAGAGCTGCGAACCTTTTTCATAGGTTTGATGAAAGTGGTCTCGCCAATGATGTCCTTGACCTCGTCGTCACTCTCCTGGGCTGATTTGTCCTGAGCTATAATGGATGATGTTAGTTTCTATTCAGAATTCTCCTGAAGAATCTCCTACCTGGCTGCTTGCTGGCATAGTAATTGAGATGATTCTTGGACTCCTCCAGGAACAGATGCTCTATGAACTTGTCACTTATCTCATGTCCCGCGCCGACTTCGTAGGTGTCCAGATAGGTGGAGGTGGTCAGAATACCAGTGGTGCTTGGATTAATGTCCTCTGTCATGGTCTTTGTCGTCTCCTCCTGCCCCTGGTCTTGTTCCTGGTCCGTGTATGCACTTATGGGGCGGTAGAGAGTGGCCGAGACACAGACGTGCAACATGCAACCACCCAGGATGAGAAGTGTTCCATGGAAACCGCAGCTCTCAGCTAGATGTTTGATCAGAACTGGCAGGATGAAGCTGCCGGCCGCAGTTCCGGATACACAAATGCCATTGGCCAGGGCTCGATGTTTGTCAAAGTACTGAGACACAATGACTATGCCCGGAGTGGTGGAGAGGCCTCCGCCGATTCCTAAAGGGATTCAAAAGCTGTAGTTAAGTTTGAACTTTCAAAGGTCACTCCCTCACCTGTCAGGATGCCAAAGGTGAAGAGTAAGTGCAGCAGACTGGTCGCAAAGTAGCTAAGAATCATTCCCATGGCACAGAAGATTCCGCCCACGAAGACCACGGCCCGGCAGGAGAATTTCTGGCACAGGGCACTCGACAAGGGAGCCAGGACCAAGCAAAGGGCCGATAGAATTGCAGGAATCCAGGAGGCTACCGTGGCTGTGGAGCTGGGAAACGTTTCCATAATCTCTACGTACAATACGCCATAGGACTTGACCAGACCGGCCACCCAGAATTGCACGGAAAAGGCTCCAAAGACGATGACCCAGCCGTAACCACCATCAGGAGGCTCCACATTTCCGCCTCCACTTTCCGTGGTCGTTGTGGAAGAGTCGCGATCCTTGGCCAGCTGCTTGCTGCGTTTCTGGGCAGGCACACGATCCCGATCCCGCTCTCGCTCCTTGGCCCGGCGGATGCACCTGCTCCGCGCCGTATTCAAACCGGTTGCCGAACCGGTACCGGAGCCAGATTTCCGACTACTGCGCAGTTCGTGCGACTTGGCGATCAGTGGACGCGCCGTGATGCTGGACACGGTCAGCAGGTTTTCGTTGTCGTCCTCCTCAAGTTCGGAGATTTGGTGCTCCAGCAAACTGGCGTGCAGGGTCCTCGGACAGCAGGGCGCATCCAGGGTAAGAGTGGCGGGACGTCGGAGCGGCGATGGGGTGGGGGAGCAGCAGCGGGATCGAGAGGGCGAGGGCAGGCACAGCGACTCCATTTGCTTGACGTCCAGCTCGGCGAGCGGCAGGTTGACGTGGCAGGGCATGTTTGTGGAGGGCATCGGCGCCGGCGGAGCCGAGACCACCGAGAAGAGGGATCCACATTCCATACCCACTCCTCCTCCACTGCCAACGCCGACACCAGCGCTTCCAGCCACGCCCTCCCCTCCGCCGGAGCCGGGCGCTGGGTTTGTGTCGAGAAGGAACCCTCCCGACTGGTACTGGACTCCACCAGTTGGGTCAGGTTCACTCGCGCAGTAAACTGATCCCCGGGAACCCTGTAATTAAAAAATTATTAAGTTTTTAGATAACTTGAAACCTTAGATATTTTAACTTAAGACCTATATCCTTTTTTTTCTAGAATATTCCTTTAAAAAAGGATCCCCTATCATGGCATAACAAACGTTGTTTATTTGCCTTCCTGCCAAAACCACCTCCCCAATTGAAAAACTTTGATTGCCAAAGTATCTCTCATTAACCATCATTATCCGGTCTTTTTGGCCAATTTACATGCATAACAAATGCCAGCCGCCTTCCTTTTGGCCATTAAAAAGTAAGTTAATTTGTCGTAAGACCGATGTTGTTGACAAATAGCCGGAGGGGGAGGCGGGCCAAGGAAGCAACAATTTAGTTTAATTTGCCTTGCAAATCGAATGGGAGAGCCGCACGCAAACTCCAGAAACTCCAGCGGCCGACGATGTCGCTGCAGCGCCCTAATGTATGCAATACGTTTCGTTTAATAGAGTTAACATCCCACGATTCTGAAACTTTTCAGTTGGCCCGATTGGCCGGGATTGTATGACCCGACTTGGCTAAACTATAATAGACATGGACTTTGTTAAATCGATGCAGAGCTGCAGGTGCATGCTGTGTGCCCCGGTCGGTTGCTGGTTGGCATGACGTCTGGGAATTTTCCATTTTCATTTGTCTGCGGGATATCCGTTTCCTCCCGCAACAAAATGTTTTTCTTTTCTTGTTGTTTTTTTTTTTCCCAAAGAATTCAGGGTCAAGTGCAAGGTGGGGGTGGCCTACAATGTGGTTGCTCTTTAGGGTTTGTTGCCGGAAATTGGTGGTGGGGTTTTTGATTGAAAAACTATTGGGTGTGGGAGTATTTTCCTAAGCTCAAGGCTGATGCAATGCCAACTGATACCGCTAAGTGAGTCCTTCAGAGATAGTGTCTCTTTTCAAAACAAACTACTAAGTTATACTAGGAATGCTTCTACTAAGTAATTAGTTAGGGTTAATCCTTGCTTATCCTGCCCTACCCAACTGGGTTTTCCATTTTTCGTATCAACTCATTTCCTAATAGCTTTTTAATATTTTTTTCTTGCTACTTTATATTTACTCGGGCGTATACGTAATATGATACACATCAAGTATGCGACGCGTGAGCCCATCTACAGCAAGATTAGCCCACACAGTATTTGCAGAGACCCCACTACATACTCCCCAATCACCTCATTGGGAAAAAAATGGTTGTCATGGCGTGAGTTCTGGGAACGTGACGCTAATGGATCGCCTGCTGTATTGATGGCGGAAAATAACCATAATGGCAAATATGAAACAATAGGCATGCAACATTCGAATGCACACCGCTGTGAAAAAAAGCTGACATGGCTAATGAGAACTGGCCAATAACTTTTGGCATTTGGCATTTGGAATTGGCTATCAAACACTAGACACTAATCACTCCCCCAATCGAAATGAGTCACAGCATCAATATACCATGACCTTGTCGAATGTCAGAGCCTAAGCTGGCATCCTTTTTATTATATCCTTGGGGGCCGGGACCGCCTCTGCCTGTCATCTGGGATCCGGCTTAAATTGTCAGGAAGTGTGCGCACAGCAAAGTCTGGGGGGCTGGTGATTTTCAATCGCGTTTGTTTTCAATTTCCCCCTCAGTATTTTCAAGGCCTCGCTTGCCTCGTCGACTTAATGAAACGTAAAGCCTTCCCCCTGGCCAAGTTAGTTGGTGGCTCGTGTGTGTAAGGCCAGGATGGGTCGGTCAGGTGGTGAACGATAAGCGGTCAAGGTGAGAGGTCCACCCCTCATCAGAGGTGTAGTCCCCTTGGGGGTGGCGGCCTAGGCCACGCAACTTGTTGAGCCGCTTTTGGTTATTGAGAGTCTAAAATGGCCATATAGTTTATGGCCAATAAATTTTGAGGTTTAAAATAAATAATATATAAAAATAGCTTTAAAGAATAATAAGTACCAATGGGTAGGAATTGTTTACATATTCAATATCTCAACTATGAAACAAATCCTATTTATAAAGAGGATTATTGTGTGGTTCCCTGGGACAAGTGAACCTGCATCCATGGCCAAGCATTGTTTACTTCCGTGTCACCTTTGATGATGATTATGATGGATGCGCTTACGAAAGCCATGCCAGCCATATGTGACGTTGACCCATTGTCGTATCAGTGGCAGTATTTACCTAGTCGTAACTAGAGTCCTAGTTGGCACGGCGCATGCTCACCATAGCACGCCTGCCCCAAACTACCTCAATAAGTTTGCCATTGGCCCACTCCCCTGACCCGCACCGATTCCCAGAGCGTTTCTTGACCTTCCCGTTGTGGTTGAAAGGCAAAGAAGCAGGTGGATGCAATGGCCACTGCATCGTTACTCACCTGTAAATGCCAGTCACGCTGTAGGGACGACATTGGCGTCCTTTACTAAACGTGAAACGTCTCTGATGTTTCTCTTGTTGCTCGCGCTGTTGTTGTTGTTGCTTGGGGCGTTGTTGTTGTGCACCCAAATGCATTGGGTTGCCTCTGAATTGGGTCCTGAAAATCCTGATAAACTGATGAACGCGGGCCCTCACCGGCTGGCCCAGTTTTCCCTCGGATATATCGTCGGATCTCCTCCAGCTGCTACGATTACCACCGCCTTCGCCTCTCCTTTGGCACTGAATCCTTGTACGGGTTATTTTGGGGGATGCTGCTGGGGATTTCCGGTGCTAACTTTTATGGCTTTTTTTGGCGAGAGAAATCCTTGCTGTTATGGCACCATGATTGCCTCAGATGTTCTGATAACACGCAACGCTGGGCTTTTATTTTGTTTCTGCAGCAGCTGTTTCCTGATTTTGATTCAGTTTCCTTGTCCCTGTCCCTGTCCCTGTCACTGTTTCCGTTTCCGTATCCTTTTCCGCACAACAGCACACAAGCGCACTCCTCCCACTCTCAGTCGGTGTGTGTGTGTGTGTGTGTATGTCCAACGAATATGCAGTTTTTGGAACAAATCGATACGAGCCTTGTTACAGCTGCAATATTTTTTAATTACTTGGCCGACTCTCGCGATATGAATTTATGAATCAGACTGGTTTGAAGCACTCGATATTGCGCCTTTATTTTATCCTTTGACTGGATAACACGGTCTTCGAGTGAGAAAACCCTTGCAAAATCCTTTTCTTGTGAGTGATTTCTGCCTTCTACTTTTGTCTGAATTCGTCTGTTCGGCTCTTGCCGATGTCCATGTCCTTTTATCGAGGATAACCCAACTCGGCTGTGGTGATTGAGGTGAAGGTGAATTATCCTTCGTGTCGCCAGAGAAAAACATCCAGCGAAGTAGGTTCTCTCTCTGGCATGTCCTTTAGCTTTTTTGTTTTGCTAGGCATTTTCGGCCGCTTGTTGCCTACTAAAGGACCTCCCCACACACACACACACACACACAATCTAATTCAATATCCACACAGCTGATGAAACAGCATGGAAGTATACCCTTTGAGTTTAAAAAAAAGACGTTACCTTTGATTTTTTAAGCTTTATTATTCAGTTTGCTGAAAATTTCGACAATGGGTTTTTGAAAAACTACACATCTGCGACCAATTTTATGACAAGGCCATCGTAGATCTGTCAGGCCTACTTCTTGTCTCTGTTCTGGCAATGTGCAGAGCCAGACCTAGAAAAATGAAGCTTACAGTCACGGCTGCGAAAACTGCAATCGCCAGATTATGGATAATGAAGTCAAAGACCATGGTATACACGGCAATGGCCATCAGAAGCATGCACATAAAGGGCATCATCAGCCATCGGATTCTCTGCGATTTAAAGATAAATTATTGCTCCAAGAATCTCGAGCATATTAGCCTGCCTACCTTCAAAATACCAACGAGGAAAAAGAAAGCTGTAACAGCATACGCGGCGGATCCTGTGGCCCAGACGATTTGAACTGCATTCGAAACGCCGTTTAATTTTGACAGAAACAGGTAAGTAGCGAGCACTCCCGATCCCATTGAGAAAATGGCTATAGATGTGCCCACTGGTCTTGGCCAGAGCGGTCTACGCAGAGTGTCGTTCCCATCTGACATAATTTTAAATTCAAACTGACGGCGCTCAAAAAAAGTGCTGCCTATCTAAAAATACCACAGAGCTGCCACATCTTTGAGCACCCATGTTGTTCAAATTCTTGTTGCCAAATATTCCGATCACGGTTGCAAACATTTTTTCGCGTTTGTGTTACGCTCAAAAGCTTAATTTAATTGATATTTTCGTGTTTTTTTTTCGAATTTGTTTCGGTGAAAGAAAAGTCAATTCTAACGTTTTTCAACTCTGGCTTCTAAAAATTAACATGATATGTTAACTAACAGGGTTGTATGTTAGCCATGTTAACCAACAGATTGTCATCTAAATACAAATAAATATTAATAAATTAACAATTTATTAAACCAAACCTTTTTTCGATTCCATAGATGGCGCCGAGATGGACCCGGTAGTGTTCTTCGTGGTACTGACGTCGATATATGGTGTCCTGTATTTCTTCGATCGCTTTTTCAAGGTGCGTTGTTCTTATTCTTCATTGTCTCCACTAAACCAATCTCATGGATCCTCTAGAGCTGCATGCACTATCCTTACGATGCCTTTCTGAAGAACACTGGTCTAACCGTCAATTTCCTGACCATCCACTGGCACACGACGGCCTTCAATAGAACGCTCCTGCGATGGGGATCCGCCGGGAACAGCTGCAGTCGGAAGATGAAGCTCGTCAGCTTCAATGTGGGCGTACTGCTCACCTTCGCGCTGCTGCCCATCGGGCTTATTCTGTTGATCGTGACCATTTTCAGCAGCGGCGAGGCGGAGACCGGTGCTGCCGCCGGTGGAGTACCGGTCCAGCTGGAGATCCTGTTGCCGGGTGTGAATCTACCTCTGGAGGAGTTTGGCTACTACATAACCGCTCTAGTGCTTTGTCTGGTGGTCCATGAGATGGGTCATGCCGTGGCTGCTGTGCTGGAGGATGTTCCCGTCACGGGCTTTGGGATAAAGGTAATCCCAGTCCATGGTTCTAAATGGAAAAGAAGCTTACTTCCCTTTCCTATTTTTTTAGTTTTTCTTCTGCCTGCCTTTGGCCTACACGGAGCTGTCTCACGACCACCTAAATGGCCTTCGCTGGATTCGTAAGCTGCGCGTTTTGTGTGCCGGCATCTGGCACAACTTTGTCTTTGGTGGCGTGTGCTACCTACTTATCTCGACGGTTGGCATTACTATGTCCCCCTTATACTCTTACAACGAACACGTAGTGGTTACCGAACTGACACGAAAGTCCCCGCTACGTGGGGAGCGTGGTCTCCAAGTCGACAACCAGGTCACCCAGATCAACGGTTGCCCAGTGACCAGCGAGGAGAGTTGGCAATCCTGCCTACTAAGCTCCGTGAAACAGAAACCCGGCTACTGCGTGAGTGCGGACTTTGTCCAGCTGAACGATGAAAGCAGCGCCATTTCGCATCACGCCATCGATGGCCAACTGCAGTGCTGTGACGAGCTGAACCCCAACGTGAGCTGCTTTGAGGTGGTGGAGGATGCGAACGGTGATGTGCCTGTGGAGTTGCCCCAGCATGTGTGCCTAAATGTGCGTCGCACTCTCGAGGAGGTCACGGAACACTGTTCTTCAGGGGTCTGCTCCGAGGGCTTCTGCCTGCGCCCCTTGATGCGCAATATTACTGCCATAATGACGTTCAAGCGCACAAATGCCCGGCGGGAAAAGCTCCCTCCCGTCATCTACGTGGGCCATCCGTGGGATGTGATCCGTACAGTGGGCGTGTCTGCCTTTGTACCCCGCCACTCGTTTCTAAAGGCCGCCTGGCCTGATGCTTGGCTGTTGCTCCTCAAATACAATGTGGTCTTTAGCATCGGTTTGGCTCTGGTGAACGCCATTCCGTGCTTCGGATTCGATGGGGCCCACATCACCAGCACCGTGATACACAGCTTCCTGATGGGTCGGGTGGATCAGTACGCCAAGCGCGACCTCATCTCGGTGATCATCACCAGCGTGGGATCGCTACTTTTTGCGTTAGCTATGCTGAAGGTGGCTTGGCTCAGCTTTCTCCGGCCACTGCTTTAGGAAATGTTTAACGGAATCTAGGAGTCCAACTCCGCTTAAGATGCTAGACTGCTATTTCACTTTCACAACAAAGAAACACACTGGCCAGCGAATGTAGCACCTCAAAGATTCGATAGCTTTTGTCATAGTCGTTAGTCCTAACTTTTATTTATTTTCAAAAGGCTGTCGAGCTCAAAAATAAAATCAAATTAAGCTAATGACTATGTTTTTACTTTTCCTGGCTCATACCGCTCAAGTGAAGGCTGGTTCTCAGCTCTGTGAGGCTGCGCCTTCCGTGCTGGAGGAGCATCTTAATGGCAACCTCGTCGCTCTGGTTGCGGTTTGTCTCAAAGTCATGCCGTGCCCAGGCTCGCAGCTCTGATTGGCTGTTTTTATCAGGAACCTGGCGTATCGTTCTGAAGATGTCTCTGTAGAGTTTGAGGACTTCCTGGCGCAGCATAAACTAGAACCCCATGGGTTATATGAGTTTCTTAATATAATTAATGCCATTATTGTCGTACCTGCTTTAAACTGAGGGCCGCTTTAGGTAACTTTGACATTTCAGCTCTTTCCTAATCTATTTTTCTTATTTTAGAAAGTTGACATATATTTTTTTGTTTATTTTTTAAAGTTTTCCGGCCATTATCAATAATATTTATGCTGAAGTGAAAACCAAAACAAAAACAGCTGTTTACACAGATGTGTGGCTGGGTTGCCATTGAACTCAAAGAAAATGGTTGCCTCCGCCATTTGTAATTGCAACGCCATTTTGCCACAAGGAACCATATTAAATAAAATTTAGCTTTAAAATTAAATTAAAATAAAATAATATTTAAAAAAAGAAAAGATTTTTCTTTATCTTTTATTATATTTTAGCAATGAGTCCCTTATCTAAAAATCGATAACCGATAAGAAACCAGAACGGTTACTTTTTAAATTTATTTATTATAAAATTGTTAAAATTTGTACGAATTTAAGTATACTAAATGGTAATTTATGTATATTTTGCTTTAGCCAAGCATGATTATGTAAGCAAATTCTTTGATTGAAAAAGATATAGAATCTCCCACGGTTATACGATACATTTTAAAATAGAAACCATCCAAATATATGACATTTTATATAATGTGTGAAACACAAAACAAAAATCTAAAACCTACAAAAATTAGGAAGTATTAAAAATTAAAATAAAATTAAAAAAAAAGATATCTTCCATTTGACCCCGACGTGATTTGAACACGCAACCTTCCGATCTGGAGTCGGACGCGCTACCGTTGCGCCACGGAGTCCCTTGAAATGTTGCCAGCCCCGAACCCAACTAGAACTATTAGCCAGTCTATGATTCAGGTTCTATTTTTATCATCTTCGAACGACAAACACATTCTTTATATATATATTCATTAACTAGGATGAAAAGATAAGCGCATTTGAAATCAGTTTTCGTTATCTTTCGAGAGGCATAAATGTGAGAATTTAAATTGAAACACTTTGCTGTGCCAGAGGGAGGCAACCTGCAGCGAAAAGTCAACGACAATTAATGTTTAAATTGCAATTTTCATCAACTGTCACTAATGAGTCAGTGGCAGAAATAAAATAAGTAGTTTAAAGGCTCTAACAGACCTGTGTGTTCTGGGTGTGCGGTGGCGTGGGAACAAAGGATATGGCATGTAACACTAAATCTATCTGGCTCTTGTTCAATTTAAATTAAATTCGTGACATTAAACGCTACATCTATCTATATGAGTACATTGTTTATCCACGTCCTCATCCACGTCCACGTCCACGTCCGCGTCCACGGCCCATTGCTTGATTGGCACGCCAGCTGCTTCTGGTTCTCCTCTCGGTGGGCGCTGATTATGATGTTCTAGTTGGGCGATTCAATTGTTTCACCGGCTATATCCCGAGAAGAACAGAAGACGTCCCGGCACGACCAAGTTACCAAGTCATATCTCCTGATAGCAGTACTTGGTGTGTGCTGTCGTGGTAAGTCTGTCGTCTCCAAGTACCGGGCTCCTACTCTCTAAGTCGTTTCAATTGCCAACTGTTTTTGGTTTCGGTGCCCAGTGCCAGTGGTCACGTTCACTTACCAATTATTGTGTTTACTTACGGTATGGCCCTTTTAAAAACTGTGATTTAATAGAGCTCTAAATCTATAAAATACTAACGTAATTGATCAATTTCTCAGATATTTATACTCTTCGTTTGTACGACCTTTGGGGCTGTCAAAATGCATTTTCTCCTCGCATTACTTAAGATGCCCCCCCATTAATTTCCCATAGCAGTCTCTGTGATCTCTGCTCAAGTGCGTTTGTCCGAGCCAGTACACGTATTTTGTGCAAATTAAAACATATATTGGACATAACATAAATATCCGTGGAACAGAACAAAACGAAGGCAGGTGAAGCGGTGCGATTTATTTTTAACTATCCAATTCTCTAGCAGTACTAGCGCATATATGAAAAATTATGCAAAAGAATCTCGCGCACTGCAGCCCCCGAATGCAGTTTCGTTTTCGTTTTCATCCGCCAGAGATGTTGGCGTCTGCGCTTCTCTCTTGAATCATAGCACTGAGAGAAATTTTTTTTTTTATTTGAGGAAACTCAACTTAAAAATGGCATCTATACCTGCAGAAATAAATCTTTTATCAAAGTTATAAAAGTTAAGAAAGCCCTGAAGAACACTGTTAAATTTCATTAGTATTTTTTACCCTGTTGGGGGGCATTGGGGGGTTGGTGGGTGGCAAGGGGTTGCCTCTACGTCATCGTCAGCAGACCCACAGCTGCGCCAAAACGATGACGAAACCCGAAGGCAACAACACCGACCAGTAGCAGCAGCAACAGCAACAGCAACAGCAGAGCAAGTAAAATCCACATGCCAGGCAGACGGCTGCCTCAAATGTTCATGAAGCGCGGACGCGTGTGGACGTCGTTGTTCTCCGTTGTCGTCGATTCGAAAATAAAGTTTTTGAATCCGTTTCCGAAAACCCAAGCGGTTTTAATCGGTTGTATTCGAGGCGACACGAAACGAGGCAGCAAACGGCGGCCAAACATCTGTGTGTTTGTGTGAAAAATTCAAATAAAAAGTGAAAACGAAATGAGGATGGTGCATGAGTTTCCTTGACGGTCGGTCTGGTCTTGTCGCTATCGACTGTTGTCGGAAAATCCATCCAAAGAAAACACACAAGAAGTATAGTCAAGAAATCGGGGGCTGAGAGAGTGCGAAAGCAGAAAGGCCAATTGTGAGTGAGAGCTGAAAACACACACCAAAAATATAATGTTGAAAATATCTGGCTATTTTTGGAATATATATTTGTTTTCCCGCATGTTGCATTGGAAAATTTTACCTCAAAGTGAATGAAAATCGAAGAAAGAAAAACGTTAAAGCTAAAAAATACAAAAAAAAATATAAAAAAATGTTTGACTTGCCTTGTCTGCATTTCATTTTCGCATTGGATTAAAATTGAATTGTTTAAAAAAAAAATAAAACAATTTTTAAAAGCAAAACAAAGCTGCGATGAAAAAAATAAAATAAAATATAAAACCAAAGAAGCAGCACAAGGCAAAAGAATATACAAAGTGAAATGTTTTTAATGGGCAATCAGAAATGATGAAGATCGGGTAGATATGCATATAGTATCAACGACGAGGAATGAACGCATTAAATATGAACAATGGAGATACTTAAACGATCTTGAAAGTGATTCGGACCGGACGCTGAAGGATTGTTTGAAATCTTTCGAGGGCAAACAATGATGCGTATATACAATATACCCCACATTCTTAAGTTTGCTACATTTCCTGAACAAGTTCAAGGGATAGGGACAAGTTCAATTCCAGACACACCGGTTGTTCCCTTCCAGAATCCGATTCCGATTACTTCCCTTTTGGTTTTGCCAACATTTTCGACTTTTTTTTATTTTTCTAAAGTCTGATTTCTTCAGAAACCCCCTCGCGGCAACAAAAACAAATGCATACCACAATATATATACCTCATATTCAGTATATATATATATATATATATATTCGGTTTGTTATTGTGTTTTGTATTTGAATTTGAATTTGTACGAGTAGTCTTGTGTTATGCGATAGGTGGTAACGTTTCGTACGAGGTATTAAATTACAAGACACCAAAGTGCGCGCCAAGCGAACACGCTCACACACAGATACTCACACTCCCAGATACAGAAACTTATACTCACATATGTATAGGCGGCCCGGTGTATAAATATATCTCTCGCATGCGTATCCAATGGATGCGAAACAGTATGCAAAGCGGAGGGCCAACAAGAACCAAGAGTATCAGAAAAAATAAATAAAATTAAAAACTGTGAACTGCTGCGACGCTGTAATTAATTATGCTACATGGCACGACACAGTATGAGGGGGAAGGTGGTCCGGTGGCAGCTCCTAAAATGTATCTACATGATCCGGTGATTGATGTGGCCAAAGTTCATTTGTTTACAGTGGCAAGATCAATGACTCGGCCCCCTATTATTAAGCATACTCGCCTCCTGCTTGAATAGTATCTGCCGGATACCCTCTGACCCATGGCCTCTCTTGTGTTCCAGTTCCTGCAAAAATCCAGCCGAAATGTCCGCCAAGACGTCGCCTTCGAGCTCCCGGGATGCCAGCGTCGGGGGAGCTGCCAATGTGGTTCTTCCCAGTTCCGTTCAGATCAAAAAAGAACTGCCCAGCGATGAGATAAAGGTGAGTATCGTTTTTTTTTCGCACCTCTTTTTAAAGATGTACATATTTGATAATTAATTACCCCTGTCTGCATATTATTTTGTTTTTTGGCCGAGAGCGTTCAGTAACAAGGATGCAGACAATGTATGGAGGGACAAGTTGGTGTGGGATTTAAAAATAATATCGCTCTCTCTTGGCAAAACATTGTATCTGTCTAAAATGCATATACCCAGATGCAGATAAATTATTTTCTTTCATCTTCAGAGTGGAGAAAGATCCCACACATTAATTATACCTTTATTCGATGTGTGGTTCTGGTTTTAAAACAAATATCTATGGAACTGAATGTTGCAAATAATTAGCTCCATTTACAACCAAACGATACCCCCCAACACAACATTTCCAACTAAGCACTGAAATCAAAGAATCAGTCTCGAAACGAACCACGAGCCCTGTCCAGGGAGCCAAAAATCGTTTCAGATTTCGGATTTCAGTTTGCAATTCCAATGATTCAGAACTGTTGAGCATTTAGCAATGTTTATGCAACACCACCACCACCGCTGCCGCCAGAGCATGATAATCCAACTCCCACGCAAATCGTGAATAAAATTCCGTGCAACTTTGTTCCCGGGTCCGGTATTTGTAAGAGGAGTTGATGGCTGCCAGTCGCAGCTGAAGCGATTCCAATTGCGATTTTGATTACGGGCTGTGTAAGTTGAGCGGTAGAGTTGGCCGTAATTTTATATTGATAAATTTTTATAATCATTTTAACGAGTGAGCGAGTCCGATTCCGATTCCGATGCCCAATCCCATCTCATCTCAGCTGGCCAGAGCAGAGCTGAGCTGAGCTGGCTTTATCCGTAAAATGAGAAAAATTAATTTAATGCCAGAGAGACAGGAAGGGGGGGCTAGCAGAGAAATCCACAACAACTGTCCCGCAGCAACATTTTTGCAGCACGTGTAACCCGATCGGCGAATTGAAATTATAGCCGTTGACTTGCAGTTGAGCGCAATGATACTTATTGTCAGGCATGAAGAGGGAGAAACAATAACAAAAACAAAAACATTGGCCAAAACCAAAATTATTATAATGAATGTGCTTCTCGGGGGCTTGGGAACCGAGTATCAAGATATACGACTGGTTGTCTAGATGAACAGGGGACTTTGTCTCACTTGTAATAGCTTAGAGCGACTTTTCAGAAGGTTTATTAATCAGTCATAGTCCTCTTTTTTTAATTTTGGCTACAAAAATTTCCTTTCATTCAAGCTCTCAATGTCATCCTCACCTGCTTTGTGTGTGCAACACTTTGCCGGCTAAAAAATATCAATTAAAATTTTGTGTAATTCATACCTTCATTTTTTTTGCTTACCTCACCCAGTTTCAGTTTCAGTTTCAGTTTGAGCTTCAGTTTTTAGCCTCAACTCGCTCCGGGCTCCCTTGTTATAATTACAAGCTGCATTTGGTGCAAAGACAACCAGAAGCAGGACAAATTTTTATATTTAATGGCCCCCGAAGGCAAGCCGAAAACAACACACACACACAACGTAATTAAACAACAACAATAAATTGAGTCCGCTCCATGGGTGCCATTTGATAGGACTGTGGTAAGGTGATATCCTTCAAGGTTTCCGCTTTTGCGACAGGAGAGGCTGGGCGATATACATACGGACATGTATTTACCAAAGAGCATGTCTTTGAGGCACATTAATAAACGAGTAGTAGTAGGTACAAGGAGTGGGGAAAGTGTGAAAGGTGGCTCATCAATAACTGAAATCAATAACCCTACGAAGGAGGAAATTAGAAAAGCCAGGATATAAGCTGTAAAAGAGGTTTTTCTTAATGATTTTTCAACATATTGGATTTAATCCTGACCATCTTCTAACTATTGATGTACCCACATAATTTTCAACGCCTACACACCGTAGCTCCCGAGTTAAGTGATGGCAGACTCCAACGAGCATGGCATACTATATAGCCCGGGCCAGGGTTCCGAGCCATCGGGATTGGATTACTTTCACAGTGATGCGGCGCATAGAACGGGGAGACTTTGAGGGGCCACAACACAATGACAGGCAGCCACTCAGGGCCACAAAGGGGAAGGGCGGAGCAGCGGTACCGGGAGCGGGAGCGGCAGTCGAAGTGGCAGTGGCAGTGGTGGCAGCTTAGCTCAAATGTCGCCGCAGCAGCAGAACTTTAATAACAGCGCCGCAGATTGAGTTACAAACAAAATAGAATATGATAAATTCTACACAAAACACCCGGGAACCAGAGCTCCAAAGGTGCGATAGAGATGGCCAGGGTGCAGGCTAGGGCAGGGGACGTGGTACTGGTAGTGCACAAAGAGCAGGGCGAACGTAACGTGAGGCATCCTATGCTGAGGGCAGGTGGCATGCAGCATTACCTTTCTGCTACTGCCCCACCAGCAGTGGCTCAAATTTAAATAGCGTTAAATTAATTCGAGCCACTGCCGATGGCCGGGCCAACACGAGTGGCCAGAAGACAATCGGCTGTGTGGGCTGGAGGGTGGCTGGATTGGTAAATGGATGAGCAAGTCAGAAGCTTCAAAATGCAGTTAGTGAAATATAATACTTTTCAATTTTAGTCTAATACCCAAAGGGAATATATTTTAAATATTATAATCTATAAAAGTTATAAACTATATGATACCTGGTACCTGGTTAGATCCTCTTAGCTTTTGATACTTTCAGAAAATTGTAGTATACCTAAGGGGGCTTATAGGGATTGCTCGTAGTTCTCGAGTGCTTTTACCTAGTTCCTTCTTGTCTCAAGATCCCACTGTCTGCAATTGTATCTGCTATACATTAAAATAAAATAATGTATTAGGTTGCCGAGGAGACAGAAGAAAACAGAACTGAAAACTCAAAAGGCCAAGTATGTCATGTAAGAATTCAAAAGAAGGACGCGTGTCATTCAATCCTGAGCTATCGATATTTGATTACAACAGACTAAAAACCGACTGACTTTGTGCTCGACTCACTGAAACACTGAAACCCATACCCGTTTGTATGTATGTCTGAGAAAACTAGCGTAATTCTAGAATTTGTTGCCATTGGGTGTTGTTTCCACTATATATATATTTTTTTTTTTTGGGGTGGTGTTCGAGGGGGGCTTGGAAGTTGGAATTGGGATTGGGTTCTGTCCGGACACAAGCTCTGGGTGCTCTGTTGCAGCTCGGTTTTAGTTTGCCTTAGACTCAGTTCAGTTTACTGGGTTCAGGGTGAGTTATTATAAGCGTATTGGGTTGCCGGTCGGTTGCCACCTCCCCGGCCTTCTTTGGGCAACGGATCCGGACCCGGACCCTGGTCGGTGTCTCCACAGCTGGGTTGTCGTAGTTACTTTGGCATTGCCAGTGCTGCCGTCGCCGGGTACTTAACATTATTCTATTAGGTTTCCTCGCCGGTAACCGTAGACGTGTATTAATGTGAGCGACTCGCATAACACGAAGACGGTGGTCTTACCCCACTGCAGCGGGATAAGCTTCCTTGGATATAAGAACTAGGTCAGGACACGAAATCAATTCCAATCGATAATGGGAAATTATTTTTTATCTTAAAGTTTTGGTTCATAAAACATTAAATGATATAGGACTACCAAACTGATATGTTTTTTTTTCGGTGCATTGAATGCCAGACAAAGAACGAACTTGGTTCCCAGTTCTCAGTTCCCGCTTCTCACTCGTCAAGTCGGTTCATTACGATTCATAATAAAAACGAAAATCCGATATGTTTTTGTAAGTTGAGATTTTGCAAAATGGAAAAGCGAAAAAAAAAAATCCTCAGAAAACTTGAACAGTCAGAAACAGAACGAGTATGGCAAATGTATCCACTGGATTGAGCAATAATTACGACAAAAAAAAAATTATTCCAAATGAAAAGCCAGCCAAGAATCCATGCAGATCTGATTGCTTAACCACGGGGGTGGAGGGTGGTCTTTCATAGGGAAAAAGGGAAATTCGAATTGAAAATGTAAAGGTAGACGCGTTCGTATATATTTATTTTTTTTTATACATTTTATATAAGTAGTTAGTAGGTATATATGTATGTAAGGCTGGGCGGCCTGAGAATCAGATCCCAACTCCATCAAGAAAAACAGCAAACGGCATACAATTTCAGCTTTTAATTAATTGATTTTTATTCGCATTTCGGTGTAGGATTTCAGCGCGAGTTTGAATGTCGCTCCATCGGAGGCTGTGTGATCCGAGGTCTCGGGTCCCCCCTTTTTTGGTTTATTCCCTCAAAATAAAGTGAGAGAAAAAATTGGTAGTATTTAAAAAGAGATTAAAGTATTTTAAAAATAATAATTATCATAGATACCAGGAATAGAATGATTTCAGTTTCGTGATAGGATTTTTGAAAAGTCCAAGATTTAAGACTTTTTCTTTCGGTGTATCCTTTCAACCCGTTGAGCCACTGTCAGACAGCAGAAAACTGAACGAACGCACAAATCAGAAATTAAAAACCGAACATAAATTAACAGACAAATGATACTAAAAACCGAGCTGCCGAAAGAGATGGCGCATGGGATAATGAGAGAGAGGGAATGAGCGGGCGTTCCTCCGGTTACCGCACAGTCGTACTGCAAAAGCTGAACTTGAGCCGAGCGTGCGTCGCCATCCTCCACTGCGCTCTCCCCTTGCGCCTTAATCCCACCTGGACGACGAGGTCGCACCTGAGGCGTGTAATCGATACCCCTCCAGCCAGCCAGCCAGTCAGCCAGCCGGCCCCGGAGATTTTATCGTGCGAATTTTTAATACTCTTTTCGCAGCGACAGACAACTAAAACCTGAATGCGATTGTCACCGATACGCGACTTGAGAAGCAACAAAAATAAAACAACAACAATATAACCAAGCGAGCGTGTGAGCGCTGTATTATGGGTATCGTCTGGAGGGCTATGGTGGGGGTATATTAGACGACTTGCATTTGTCAGCAAGTTGGCAGCACCGCTTAATTTGCAAACAGTATCGGATGTCCTCGGGGATATCCAGTTTGTCTAGTGCCAGTGATAGATGCAATGATGATTCATCTGGCCAGCGTTGGGCAATCTTGTGGTTTTGTCTTTCGATGCGATCCGATTTGTGGCCATTTCCTTGGAATCTTAGCATCGGATACTACTTGAAGACTATCCACCACCCCAAAAATCTGTCAGTGAGTGGGGCCACATGGCGTATGAGTAATTTCAAATTCCCCAGAAGTAGTCAAGGGAATGAAAAAACCGAAAAAGCAAAGGGCTTGACTAAAGGGGCTTCAGTATTTTAAAAATATATATAATTGGAGAATATTTCTGGTGATTTTAAAATTTCTACTTGCATTTCATGATTAAATAAATACCATTCTGAAAGGCAACATTCCTCGGACAAAATCTTCAAACCATTTTTGCAGAGCCTCTGCCACAAAAACTCGAAAAGCAAAAAAAAATTGGAATGTAACCTAATCTTCAGTTCTTGAAACTTTCATAGCCTTGTGTGAAATTTTTGTGTGCAACACAGACAGGAAAAAAACGACACAGAAATACATGCATTCCTTTTGGGGCAATACGAATGCAAGAAATGAGCAACTTCAAAAGCCGCAAGATTTTAGCTTAAATTTTTAAACAGAAATAAAAGACACAGACACGACAGGGCTGGGCCGGGCCGGTGGTATTCGGTATCGATGTCGGATGCCCAGCAACAGGAAAGATTCCTGCACTTTGCCAAAGGAAATATGCAAATGCCACCCACTCCCGCCCATCCGAAAAAGCCAATGGGTCCGGCCCACTGGCCGTAATGAAGTTCTCCCTTACCTGTTTACCTGAACGTGTGCTCACGTTTTCAAAATCACAGGTGTAAGAGTGGTTGGGTGACGAAGTGTTGGGTGTGATGCGTTGCCTTTTCCATCAGGGCTATCGATTTCATTGCAACTTTGTCGGCCCGAGGCGAAAGCTTTGATATGGTAAGAGCCAAGTTCGCATAATTGGGCATTTGAGATCAGAGGTCATCGAGGGGGTGGGGGTGATTAAACGGGTCCAATCGATAGTAAGTGAAAGTTCGCGGAATCCTTTCTTCTTGTAACTCTTGATTTATTTTCTTCAATCGAATAAAGGCACTAAAACCTCAAGTTGGTCAAAAGTCAGTAAAAAAACCTTTTTGTCAGTAGTAAGCCTCAGATGTCACGACACTGAAAGAAACATTAAATAGCTGTTATTAAAAAATTTTAAAAATATTGATTAAAAATTGTGTTTTTAGATTTATATGCTGAATGTGAGGGAATTGAACTACGATTCATACCAGGTGCTCATATTAATAATCAGAAAAATATTGGGAAAGATATGGACTTCGTAAGGGACTATTTATAAAAATCTGGATTTTACAAGGGGTACCCCCAAAAAAAATTTGAAAAATATCGATCGAAAATTTTGTTTTGAGATTTTGATGCAGAATGATGGGAAAATGAACTAGAAATCGATCAAGGTATTCCTTTTAAGGATCGGATAGAAATTGGGAAAGATATGGACATCTGAAGGGACTATATATAAAAATCAGGATTTTACAAGGGGTACCCCCACAAAAATTTGAAAAATATCGATCGAAAATTTTGTTTTGAGATTTTGATGCAGAATGATGGGAAAATGAACTAGAAATCGATCAAGGTATTCCTTTTAAGGATCGAATAGAAATTGGGAAAGATATGGGCATCTGAAGGGACTATATATGAAAATCCGGATTTTACAAGGGGTACCCCCCCAAAAATTTGAAAAATATTGATCAAAAAGAGATTTTTGAGGTGTTTTGAGATTTTGATGCAAAATGATACAGAAATGAACTACAAATCGATCAAGGGATCGGATAGAAATTGGGAAAGATATGGCCATCTGAAGGGACTATATATGAAAACCGGATATTACAAGGGGTACCCCCCCCCAAAAATTTGAAAAATATGGATTAAAAATGTTGTCTTGAGGTATTCCCCCTAAAATTTGTAGCAAAATTGATAAATTTATGGCCGACTTACTTGCAGTTTAGTTATTGAAGTGTACAACTGTTTCGATCGCTGAGAATATCGAATGTCTCTTGGGGGGCACTGGTAATGGAAACTTGGGGAATTGTGTCAGCAATTTCTGGCCAACAGCCACTCATCTTTCTGGTTTTGTTTTTTCCTCCTTTCCAGGAATTCGCTCACAACACCATGAACGAACTGCTCGGCTGGTATGGGTTCGAGGGTGTCGATGTGGACCGTCTGGATCTGACCGCCAAGACATCGCGACTGCTGCAGAGTGCCGCTGCCGCTGCGGCGGCCAACCAGCAGCAGCAGCATCGCCTCCACCACCAGCAACAGCAGCAGGAGCAGCAGCATCTGGAGAGGAAGAGGAGCAGCTTGCTGCGCAGCAGTCGAAGTGCTTTGGCCGCAGCCTATAAAAATAATAATAACAATAATGGCAGCGGAAATAGCCTTAAAAACAATGGAGCTGGGGGAGCAGGAACTGGCGGTGGACCTAATCGGAAGGGAGGTGTATTGAATTGTAGCAGTACCACGACCACCCCCTCGGATCCCGACACTCGCAGCTCCCGGGAGGAGGACTCCAAGAGTCCGAACTCCATTGGCAAGCCGTCGGGGGCAGGCGGGCTGGCGCATTCGGAGGAGAAAATAGGTGAGTTGAACAATAAATTTCCTCAATCTGTGCTAAGCATAGTTAGTGCATAGGCAAACAACAGAATTTTAATGGTAGTTTCAATGCGAAACCCGACCTCGAACCGGGTGCATCCAAAAATGGACAGGCAACAGTCAAAAATTACAATGTGCCTGACCGCCCACAATTCGTACCCCATTTGGCACTTTTCACCTGAATCGAGTCGAGTATTTTGTTTTTGGTAGGAAATTCGATATGTTCGAGTTTTCTGCTCCGGCACTGGCACATTCAATACCTGCCACCCCCTAAACCATTTCCCCCAGTTCGATCCCAGCAATCATTACGGGCATTTTCAGTTGCAGACAGGTTCGAAACTTTACTAACTTTCCGCCAACTCCCGCCGGAGTTTGCCGATGCGTCTGCATTATCGAATAACAGATTCATTAAGATCCAAATATGGTTTACAAAATTTTTGGCAGGCTATGTGAGGAGGCCGGGCCGGGATGGGCCGGGCTTCCATATTAGGAGGTGAATGGATATCCGAAACTCAATTTGTACGGCAGCCAAGGAAAATTTTTGAGTTCATCAGGAATCGGTTTTCATTTCAGTAAATCAAGGAAAGCAATATTTATGCTTTTCTATTCCTGGGAAAATTCTAAACGAAATGTTTTTAATTAAAGACTAGAATTCATAAATTGTAGGTGTTTATTTTATCTTAAATGAGTTTTTTTCTATGAAAATCCCAGCTAACAAATTTTTTAATAATTTCCTTCCTCGGCAGACTTTAACAACTGCTGCTGGTGTCATCGACCGATCGCGGAGAATGCTCCGGATTACTTGACCAGCAGCGATGGCCCGCGCTACTGCTCGGAGTCCTGTTTCGCCCAAAGCCGGCGGGCATCCTTTAAAAAGGCCAAAACCTGCGACTGGTGCAAGCACGTCCGGCACGCGGTTAGCTATGTGGACTTCCAGGACGGGGCCTCCCAGCTGCAGTTCTGCTCGGAGAAGTGCCTCAACCAGTACAAGATGGAGATATTCTGCCACGAAACGCAGGCTCACCTGGACATGCATCCGCATCTGCGGGATCAGGCTCTGGATGCAGGAAGCGAGGCTGGGCTGATTACGCCGGACTTGTGGCTTCGCAACTGCCGGAGTCGTTCGGCTTCGCCCGCCTCTACGCTCTCAGTATCGCCGGGACCACCTGGTTCTGCCGCACAAGTCGCCAATCGGTGTCCAGACTCGCCGCCTAGTCATCCGAACCCCAGCAAACCCCTGATCTCAGTGGCGCCCGTTTCAAAGTTGCTGGCCCAAAAGAGCCCGGGTCCAGCCGTGGTGCCTCCTCCACCGCCTCCGCCGATTAACCGGCAAATGGGTTCCAAGTTGGGTCGCCGAAAGCGACAGCATAGGGGACTGTCCTCTTCTTCTGGCTCTGAAACTGTGGCCAGCTTGCTCCAGAAACAGCAGCAGGCGCAACAACAACAGCAGCTTCAGCAGCCTCCCACCTTAACTGCGGACTTTGGTGGCTCCAGTGTTCCGCTGCCCCCCATTTCGCCGATGCCCAACATCCCTGATTCGCCACAGCAACAGCAGGCTCCTCCGCCACTACCTCCCCAGCCTCCGATGCCCAGAGGTCCGACCGCCATCCCGGCCAGCTATTTTGCCACGCCCTCGAACGGAGTGCCAATGGGTCATCCGTTTGGCGCACGTCCACCACCTCCACCGCATCATTTTCTCCCACCGATGCCTCATGGAATGATCCCTAGAGGATTTCCTCCTCCATTTCCCCCAATGCTTCCGCCACAAATCCCGGAGCTGGGAGCCTTGCTTGGAGGTGTTCCGCCAGTGACCGTGATGGTGCCCTACCCTATTATCATACCGCTCCCCATACCGATTCCAGTACCGCTGCCAGTTGTGGATTTCTACAAGGCCCACCTCACACCGGAGCAGAGGAAGCGTTTCGACGAGGAGCGGGCAGCACCAAGTGCTGCAGCAGAAGCACAAGATGCACCTGGACAGCAGGAGCAGCCGCAACCACTGGACTGCAGCAAGACCAGAAGTGATCAGGAGGTGGAAAATAAAGAAGAGGAGCCAGCGAAGGAGACCCAGGAGGAATTAAAAAACGATCAGGATGGGGAGGAGAAGAAATCCATACCAAAGACTAATCCAGAAAGGAACACCACCTTAGCATCGCCATCCATCTCACCCGAGTCGTCGTCCTCCTCATCGGAGACGCATTGTATTGTCCAGGACTCGACGCCATCCGAGCCAGAGGTGGACAGCCAAAAGCTACCCAAGCTAAAGATCACCAGGTTGCAGACCAAGCGAACCCTCATTCAAACCAAAGAGGCAGCCGCCGAGTGCAGTCGCCCGTTGCGCAAGCGGAAAAGGATCATAGATTGTGATTTCCAAAAGATGGCCATCAGGGAGCTGGAAGCCACCGATGCTGTTGGTGCTCAAGCCCATAGTAGTAGCAACATGAAGGAGAGGGATGCAGATGCGGATGCAGATGGCAATGGCGATGGCGATGGGGAGTGCAATATGAGTAACAACAATAGCAGTGCTAAAGCTAAAAAGTAAAAGTAGACATTAGGATTTATCCTTAAAAGCTAGTAGAATGTATTTATCTATGTGTGTATGTATGCTTGGGTGTGAATGTCAGTGTGTTTGAGGAAGCGGAAACGGAAATGGCAGAGCGGAAAGCACAAAGTGCATTCGGTAATCATAATTGAATCTAAACATTTAAATAAACTAAAATATAACTTATTAGATGACAATGTTTATAATTTCCATTAACAGGGGGCACTTACACTATTAAATAAAGATACATTTTCTTGCTCAGTAGATATCCTGAAGTAATGATGTATTTCACAAAATGACCTTGATTTTGTGTACCTAAAACAGTAAACTTCAAAAACCTTTTCTTGCAACTACTTAAGATAATTTCAAAAGGATGTCAAAACCGTTCCAGTCAAACGTATCTAAAAAACCAAAACTTTAACACTTAAAGCTAATCAGAATTCAGTTGTAAAGGTCCCAAAGCGATATCTGGCTGTCCATGCCAGCTGCTGCCATAATATTTGCATGCCACATGGACACCGGTTGATTGGAGTAGACCAGGTCCATGACGCCGCCCTGCTTGTGCTGCGTGAGCACTGCCAGGGGTCGGAGGCTCTTCCACGAGAAAATGCGAATACGCCCGTCCCAGCCGCCGCTGGCAAACACCTTTTGGTCAGATCGAATTCGTACGCAGTTTACTCCAGGATTTTTAATGCTAAGCTCAGAACCGCGTTGCAGTTGCATGGCCGGTCGTTGGTAACTAAAGCTGACCAGCTTATCGGCTAGAAAATAAGAGTTCATTAGGAAACTAACGCATAGAGTAAGTTCTGGTCTACTCACTGGCACCCCCAACAATGCCACGATTTGTAATGGGGCAATAGTCCACGGCCATGGCATCGGTCGCTAGCTCCAGCACGTCCAGGATAACTCCAGAGCTAATGTCCCACGTCAAAAAGTGTCCCGACTCGTAGCCGGCAAGCAAGAAGAGCTGGGACGCACATTCAAAGGGCTTAAAGCAGGTTACACTCCCCAGCTTGGGCAGTTGTGGATCGTCGGGCACTAGCATCTGCGTTGGTGCCGAAGCGTCTGTTACATGAAGCACTCCGATGGCTGACTCCTCGCAGGGATAGAAGAGCAGTTGCTCGCTAGTGTTACTGGTGCTAGTGTGGAGCGCTGACCGGCAGTAGCCCAGGTGATTTCCTGGAATAGTGCGCTCTTTTACATAGCTACTGCTGCCTATGGAGAACATGGAGATGGTGCCGCCCTTTTCCTGAGTTATGAGTCTGTCGGTAGTGTGGTGAAGGCTGGTTATGGGATCGGGACCCACCTCGAAATGGAGGGCGGAGCGATTGGTCTGGAAAATAATAGAAACAAACACGAGTTGGCATATGAAAGGCATTGTTTGGCAGTTGTTTGTGTCTAAAAATAATCGCCTTAAACTTGGCACGTGGCCGTCTAACATGGCTAAAAATATTTAAATAGTTGTAAGCCAATTAAACTATTGTTAATTTATTTTAAAATAAATAAACAAACACTCAGTACATACTATCATCATACATTTACATATAAGCTTTATATAACTTTGAGATATAGTTTATTTTGATAATGTCTCAGGTGTCTCACCTGTAAGTCCCATAGAAAGACACTGCCTTTGATGGTTCCCGCCAGCAGGCGTTCGGATTCCTGAAAACACAGAGAGTTTACAGCGCCCATTTCGGGCGATCGAAGACTGAACACAGGATCTGGTGGTAGCACAGCCATTCTCTCTTTAATTTTCTTTATAATTTAATTAATTAAAAGATGTTTTTGTTTTGATTCTGTGTATAGGTGTTGAAAAACAGCATAACTGCTTGGGAGTGTGGCAACACGCCTTGTGTGGCTTGTTTGAAATCCCCCCAGAGGGCGTTACAAAACTGCCACGTCTTTGAACTTCCAATTTATTCTCATTTTCGATGTCCTATAGTTTATTAACATTTTAATTAAGGTATTCACAGTTTACCTGTCTGATTCTTGTTTTCTTAAGTTATTGTCGGTGAAAGTCAAAATCTGAGGCTTGCCAGCCCTGGTCCCTAAAGAACCCTTCGTTTGGGAGACCGTCAGAGGGCGCTGCTTTTGGCGCGCAACATACTGAATTCAAACTAGCTTGGAGTCGCCTGACCCCGTGGGGGAGCCATTGCAAATTCTTCTGCGGCAGGTAGTCGCTGCGGAGAAAACAGGCTTAACATTTTACAGCGAAAAATCATTAAGTCGCTAAATGCGCGGACTATTAAAAACATAACGTGCACCAAAGGCTTACCCGGCTTTAATGGACTTTGTCAGCAGCGTCGGCCGCTTCTCATATGAACATATACACGCATATATATTTTAGCGGTATGGCTCACATGGGCTCATAGACGCTAAGGCCTGGATCGTAAAAGACTTGTCAGTCGCGCACCCGCTGCCGCTGGCCAAGATTGCGGGCGAAGAAAACGGCCCAAAATACAGACCATTCTACTGGCCGGCCGCAACAAAGATCGCAAAATAAACATGCCATAAGCTCGTTAATCAATGCTAAGTTGACAGTTTTAAGTGGCTTTAGCGAGGCAACACCACCAAACGGCAAATAAGTCGAAGACTCCTGTTGTGCCGCAGGCTCACCATGATTTACGGACCCAAAAAAATGCGCTATATTTTAATTGAGTGAAAAAAACTCATTTCAAAATTTTGCAAGTTCTACAGAAGCAGGGTTTTTGCAAAAGCTTTGCAGGTAATACTCGTATATTGAGGTAGAACGTTAAGTATATCCTGATTGTCAATACACCTGAATTTACATTCAAACCAAATGCCATCAAATTTAATTTCTTCCCCCAGACGTAATTCGTAATTCGATTTGGATGCAACAAGTTAACGTGGTTGCCCCTAACCCCAACCCCAAGTTAGGCAACCAACAGTTTCCCCCCATTTGGAAATGCGGCTACAAGTTCATTTAACGGCAGAGCACATCATAAAAAGGGTTAAAGCCTGTATGACCATTCCAGCTCATTTGCTTTCGTCTCAGTTAATTTTTCCCTTTTGTCTCCCACAGGATGAGGGCCAAGGGTGGCGGCATCGGGCCGGCGAGGAGGGAGGTAGAAGTCCAACGAGAAGTCCATAAATCTTTTCGCCACAGAGCCGGGGCCACAAATCGAAGAGACCAAAGACGAGGACCCCGTCGGTGAGGAAGTGAGGCGTTTAAACTATTTATGCATGTTGGGTAATCCATTTGAAATGGGTCAACGACTACAACAACAGGAACACCGAGCGCATAAAACTCCTTAAACGTTTCCAATAACCCGAAACGCAACCAAACCAACCCAGAGCAACCCAACCCAGTTCGAAGTTGAAAACATATTGGCTTGTTACCTTAATGAAGTCATAAATTTTCGCTATCGCATTCGGGGCATCTCGCCGCAGAGAAGATAGAGAGAGAGTGAGATGCCCCAAGTCCCAGATCGAGCTACAGGTTTCTAAGGAATTCCATTTCGGGATAGAATCGGGATACCACCAAGTCTTACCAAGTGTTTTGGCATACATATGTACCATATATGTAGAGACGCACGCGGCCAATGCTCGATAGTTAATCAGGCTTAGGCTGATATATGCTGACAGAGCCGTTCTCTGGTGTAGGCCGCCACTCTCGGAAAAGGATCGTCCAGGAACAGGACATCCCGCTGGGCGAGTATTCCGCGTATTCGCGAGGCGGGCACTGAAAATGAAGTTATCACGCGACAAACAATGTCTGTCCCCCTACCGATGCCCTCCTGGTGGCTCCTTGGAGACTGCCCCTTTACTACCAATAACTTTATATGGTTGTCATTATTAGTCTGAAATTAAATGGGATACCGGCCACAGAGGACGACACTTGGATGACTACCCGGCTTATTTATGTGCTACCTTAATGGAGCTTCATCTACTCGAAATTGAGACGGCGATTTGTTCTACTCCTCCTCTGGCTTGCGTTGAGTTTTTATTTCGCATTACTTGGCCATGTCCATGAATCACTTTATGGGCCAAGAAGGCAGCCACTGGGTTCTCTAGGTGATGGTATTTTGATTGTACAATATCACAAAGGACAGATCTCCGGGTAAGCGGAATTCCAGACCGGGACAACTGGGAGTTCTTGATTATATTTATGAATGTATTTTTGAAAACTTTTCTCTTCTATTTTCTCTACAATTCCCAGTAGAAAGTGTTGCAATCTGGCATGAAATTCGTTTTTAGAAAACACTTCAAAGCAATAAACAGATTCCCCCAAAAATAAGTTGGAAACTCCAGTCGAGCGCAATCAATTAAAATATCGACGTCTATCAGCATTATTATAAATCAAACGATAACATAAAATTGACACTAAAGGCGTTTCGCCCATTTTTCATGCCGGCCGACGACGAGGAACGACTCCGACGAGATTAAGGCCTCGGATATGGCATCCAATGCGGCAGAGCTGGTGGCCACCAGCTAACTTAGATGGAGTCACATTTTCGGGGCATTTTGAGTTTGCGTCTGAACTTTGTTTCGTATTTATGCAAATTATCCGTTGCCGGACGGGAAAAACTGGTCCAAAAAAAGACCAGAGCTCTGCTCTGCTCACTGTAATTGATCAATTTCCGCCGAGCAGACCAGACCGGATCGATTGGCCAGGGTGAAGTGAGAAGTTGGCAGACCCGCAGCTTGCCAGATCCAATCCAATCGAATCGCACCGGATTGGGTCGGATAATGTGATGGCCACTTGATCTTCGACTGATTTATGGCGTCTCCCAACGAGGGCTTGGCTAATGAAATGGCACTTTAGATAACATATTTTGTGCCCGTTTTGTCTTTGGCCACGCATCCACCTACTACTACGGCTGCTCGCCATCTAGGGGTCATCCATGGCGAGTTATGACACCTGGGAAAGGTGCACCCACATTGGAAATTCCACTTGATTGCCTACGACTCTCGACTCTCTGCCACGGACCCTCGGACCCTTGGCAATCAGACGCACTCAGCGAAAGTGCCAATCAAGCGCAGGACACGTCAACAAAGGATGGATGCATAATCCTGGGTGTGAACCAGTAGATAGGGACGATGGACAGTGGAGAGTGGAGGG